TTGTGGATGGAAATAGCTTAAATTCACCAAATGTTGTTGGGAGTAACTCGCTCGACCCACATGACACTGTTATAAAGAAAGCTAACAGTAAGTAGCTAACCGGCAGGATCTGTCATCACGGTCAAAGGCCGTGAACACGACTTTTAAGGAAGTTAAACAGGTGCCTAGTGTAATCATCTGGAACTTGGCAGAATCGAAAGACACCAATCCTGCTAAGAGACATGCCCACGACCTGCAGTTAGTGGGATCTCTCATCAGAAGTATACTGCCAGAGGAGGTCCCAGGGGTACATATCTCGAAAGTCATCAGACTTGGTAAGTATGTTGGAGGCGAAACCCAACAGAGAAGGATCCTTAAATTAGTACTCGGTAATTTTGAGGAAAGGGACGTATTACTAAATAACGCACGCAAAACTCGTGACTTAAACATTCGTATTCGACCTGACTGGCCACTTGAGGATCGGATCAAGTGGAAGAATGCCCTAACAGAGTTAAAAACTCGAAGGCTAAACGGTGAAGCGAACCTTACGATTAAGGGTTTTCGGGTAGTCAGGTCTTGGAAGCCAATGCTTCCGAGACCTGTGTGGGTAGAACGCATGTCTCCAAAAACACCCTAAATGTGTGTTATACGAATGCTCGTAGTCTTCGGAATAAGATGTCTGAACTAAGTTTGATGGTAGACGACTTAAATCCGGATATAATTGTTATCACCGAAACTCGGCTCACTGTAGATATAGACTGTTCTCCAGTCATTTCAGGCTACATCTGTGTCAGAAGTGATAGAGTTAGAAGTCGCATGGGAGGAGGCATAATATTATATATTAGGGACCACTTCCGCATTAACTCGATCATATCGGAGGCGCATGTGAGTGGTACGTGTGAGGTAGTATGTTGTACAATTAGGTCTAGAAACGGGTTAGTGACGATAGGAGGAATATATCGTAGTCCGTGTTGTCTCGCTGACGACTTTATCCTAAAACACGTCTGTTCTTGGAGTAAAGCAGAATGTTGTCTCATCGTTGGAGACTTCAATGCACCCCATATAAACTGGATAGAACTCACAGCTCCAGGTGGGGGTTTCAATAGCGTCCTTCTGTCATCAGTTATTCAATGTGCACTTGTACAATGTATCGTTAAGCCGACGCATATAGACTTGGAACATAATCCTTCATTGATAGACCTTGTCCTCACACACCACTGTGAAGATATTATCGACATTCAACACCTTCCCCCAGAGGTGAATAGTGACCATGTCGTACTTTCCTTTAAGTTACGGATACATGGTATAGAATTTGCATCAGCTCCACCCCGTCCTAATATCTGGAGAGCTAATATTCCGGCAATAAGGGACTATGCTATCTCAATTGACTGGTCGGTCGTTGATGATGGATCGATTGATGATGCATGGAATAGGTTTAAGTCCGTAACTCAACCGTTTATCCCATGGTCAGCACGTAAGTTATCATATTGCCCTCCATGGATTAATAAGGAAACCCGGAAGCTGTTGAAGCGTAGGAAACACTTCTGGGACTTATTCTTGTCAACAGGTCAGGCATCATTTAAGTGCGAATATAAAAAAATCCGGAATATGTGTAAAAAGACCATAGCTAAATCCCGCACGGCTTACGAACGACAGTTGGCATACGATAGCCGTACCTGTCCGAAGCGACTGTTTTCGTATGTTAAAAGGCGGACGAAACGTAGTGATGGTATCCCCTCATTACTGTTAAGCGAAAATTCAGCTTTATTGGCTGAATCTGATCTAGCGAAAGCGGGGACACTTGCAAACTATTTCAGTGAAGTCTACTCTACGTGTAGTGTTACAACTACTTGTCCCGTTGACAATGAGATACCAGCCATAGGACCTTTACACGTGACAGAGGATATTGTTCTTCCTTTGATAACTAACTTAAAACCTTGTAAGATACCGGGCCCCGGTGGGATACACCTACGTTTACTGTCGTCGCTTGCGGACATTATCTCAAGACCGCTCACGATGCTATTCAACATGTCCCTTTCACAGGCTCAACTACCTAGAGATTGGAAAGACGCCATAGTTAGTCCTATATTTAAGGATGGTCAGAGACGGATCGTATCTAACTACCGGCCTGTTAGCCTGACCAGTATAGTAGTTAAGTTACTTGAAAAATTTATTCGGGCTAAGCTACTAAGCCACATAGATTTGTACAATCTGTTAACTCCCGAGCAACATGGGTTTCGTAACAAACATTCATGCTTGACTAACTTACTCATTGCGAGAGAGGATTGGACAGCTGCCCTAGACAACGGCCAGTCTGTCGACGTGATATTCATAGATTTTAGCAAAGGTTTCACACTTAGGTCTTATGCAAAAGCTCTCGAGCTTTGGTATAACAGGTGCTATACAGGAATGGATAGGAAGCTTCTTATGTGACCGCAGACAGAGAGTGAGGGTCAATGGAACTCTATCCGAATGGAAACCGGTCAAAAGTGGTGTACCCCAAGGCACCATCTTAGGCCCTTTACTTTTCCTTCTGTATATTAATGAACTACCTTTATTACTTAAGTCGTCGACGTTATTTTTTGCGGATGATGTTAAAATCTGGAGAACAATAAGAAATGAAACTGATCGTTGTTATCTGCAAGCAGATTTAGACGAATTAATTAGGTGGGCTCATGATTGGGGCCTGGAAGTTAATTCCAGGAAGAGCGTGTTCATGCACATCGGGCACGATATTAGTTACCACTATACCATTAATGGTACATCTCTGCCACGCGTTCATGAGCACAAAGACGTAGGAGTAATTATAAGTCACGACTTAAAAACTACTACGCACTGCAATGCGGTTGCTTCCAAAGGTTATCGCGCGCTATGGTCGCTTCGCAGAGCATTTAAATGCTTTAACGAGGATATGTTTCGAATTTTATATCCCACCTATGTAAGGCCACACTTAGAATACTGTATCCAAGCAGCTAGCCCTTGTCTGGTAAAGGATTCTAAATCTCTTGAGCGTGTCCAGCGTGTAGGGACAAAATTGGTAAAGGGTCTTTCTAAACTCCCTTACGATGAGCTTTTAAAACGTCTAAACCTTTTCCCCTTATCTTATCGTAGGACGCAAGGTGACCTTATACTGGCATTTCGTATCTTTAATTATGATCTGGGTGTTAATATGTCTTATCTTTTTGCTCCCTCCAGCACTAATAATCTCCGGGGTCATAGCAAGAAGGTTCTGAAACCGCGATCTAATAAACTAAAGGTGGGATCCCGTTTTTCTCATCGAGTGGTCAATGACTGGAACGCTTTACCAGAACAAGTGGTATCAGCACCATCAGTGAACATTTTCAAAAGGAAGCTGGACCTTCACTGGAAGGAAATCTGTCAGGATTAACGCAGGTTCATCAACCTACTATCCTTATTACTGAAGACTGAAGTACTTTAGTGTAGAGATATTCGATCGCATAATGTCACAGCTCACCAACAAAACTTACCATGGGAAGCCGATATTGTTCGCAATTTTATTCTTTCTTCACACTACATTGATTAGCGTTGAGTATTAGTTCGCGAGTTGATGTTGCTACCTGTCTTGTCAAACCTTCTCCATTTCGTCCGTACCATCCTCTCAAAATTTTTGTCTCGCGTCTCACTTGAATACTCTGAACAACCATATTCACGAGACAGCTATTATAAGAATTCTGTAAAAGTGCTGTGGGAATGAAGCATTCGGCGAGACTAAACTATACTGCCGATCTTTGAACGAATCTTAAATGACCTTGAGAAATATTAGCCAATCAGAAGACAGTTAGTATACAGTAAAAATATATAATAAAAAACTCAAAAATTAAAAAGGATACTATTCTTTTACGTGACTCAAAAACTTCTCAAGGTCAGATATAGGTTCAGAAGTTCTGAAATCGTAGTGCATACGGTACAAGAACACTTCCATATGGCTCCATAGTAGTGGACCTCTGAAACCATGATAAGGTCTCAAAAACTATTTTAGCCTCGACCACATAGCTTCAGTGTTATGGGTATATTGGTATGGTTTACGGTTTAGGGTTAGAGTTAAGATTTAGGGTTAAGGGTGAGACCATAAGTTATGGACGACCTTTGAGCGACGCTAGAGTGATCCTGAGAGTGTCAACATAATAACTAAGACCAAATGAGGGTTATAAACCTGTGTGAGGAATTCAAATTATGATTTACAGTTCATGATTAAGGCTAGAAATTATACTTAGGGTTTTCATCACAAACTCGCCAGATCTTATCCCGCGTCAAATGTATCAACAGGAGACTTCAATACTGCATGCCCTGGTTAAAAAAGTGACTAGTTCTGTGCTCTGTGCAAGAAACGGCAATCGGCGCAGACAATTCGATCTCAGCTCTTAAACTTTGTGCGAATGATTTTCAGTTGATTAGTCCTGTTTGAAAGAGAAATAAGATATTTATACCAAGTCAGTCAGTCAATCACAACGTAGAACCTAGTACGTATGTACATCGGCTCAAGTTCCCATATCCCATTAGCACAGAAAGATAAAATTGTCAGACCGAATCCCAGAATAGTAGAGGTAGTAACAGCACCACTGGTAACACGAAAGATCAGGCATCGAAGACACGACTCAAAAAGAAACCATAAGTTAGTGAAATGGAAACAAACCCAATAAGAGTATGGGATAAACATCCATCATCCTCTATTGCTAAACATAGAGTCGAAACAGGTCATAAGATTGATCTAAACTCGGCTTTTGTTGTGTTGTTTAAAAGTGTAAAAGGACGTGTACTAAGATTTATTGAAGCCTTAGCCATACGAAAATTCAAACCCCCTTTGTGTATTCAAAAACAGTTTGTTTTCTCTTTAAACCAACCCTGGTAATATATGCTTATTGTCCAGAGTGATTAGGTGTCAAATTGTTTTCACATTATTTTATCATTATTATCCTTGTCTATTCTTACCCCCTATTTCCAGTCTAGTTGACCTTTTATTTTTATATATAAATGTTCTTAACAAGTATATGTGTGATCAGATTGTTCGAAATGTATTGCGCTAATATATCACATAGTTCTGAGAATCTTCGTCTTCTCATTACATTATCGGAAACAAAATAGTTATGAAGAATTTGAAATTTCAGGATTTGGGAGGAGACAAGAAGCGGATGCACCTGCGCAATTACAAACGATTTTAAGCAATGTCATCCAAAGTCTAATCATTAGTTGTGATGGATAACCTACACCTATCAGCATTGCTAAGTTCAACTGTCAGTGACTTCATGGACTAATGGCATGTTTTGGTTTGGCAGCCTTTGTCTGTCTTCCAACCTACACCAGAAAACATCGCCCATCAAGGTAAATGGTGATCGTGCATACGTAACAAATGTCCCAACCACCTCAGGTGATGAAGATTTAATACCTCATCAATCGATTTCAAATCTTTACCTAGTACTCTATTCTCGACCAAGTCATGGCTTACTCCGTGGTTCTAAAATTCACGAGTAATGCTCCTTAAACACCTGTGATCGAATACCAGTAATCCACGAATATATTCTATTTTTACTGGACACATTTGACTTCCATAGAGTTTGATGGAGCAAACTGCTGGGCAGTAAACTCGTCATGTGATTGGAGGACAGACATCATCCATATGCCACAAGTTAGCAAAAGCCATTCGAGTCTTCTAAACTCATATCGAGACTTCGTCGGACACCAGATCGTCAGGACTAATGAGACTAACATAAGTGAAGCGGTCGATGCGTCAAGCTACTTCACTCCCTATCATTAACTTAGGCGATGACTAAAGCCAATCCTGAGGTAGTACTTTACGTTTTATGCCCCTAAATGCCCTGGTACGGCCGAGAGTGGGAAGATTTAGCTTTCCCTCTCCAAATGCTCCCACATGGCCACGCGAATATACAGCCTCTGCCAGGGAAGTCCTACTCACTGCCTTCTCGTGGCATTACTGTTGTTTACGAAATTGAGAGGACGAAAAGCGAATGTCCGGTGCGTTAACCGGGTCGGTGGACACCGAAAGTTCACCTAGGGGGGTTTGAAAACCCTCATTCCAAACCAATGGTGCACATGGGCTCCAGTATCCTGAAAGAACAAATGGCGTATGAATCAATTGTTGGTCCCCGACTACCATGGAACTGCATATCCTCACGATGCTCCACTGCCTTGTGGGTTAGACCTTTAGGTCAAAGGCTGGGGTTGTGGCCCCCTAAGAAAACCACCTGCTTCAGTTTGGGCACACAAATCAAATGAGATTTGTGTGGCGCACATGTATCTGGTGCTTCCTTGTACCAATATTTATGTTTAAATAAATAAAGTATCTTAAACGGTTGTTGTTATTTTTTATTTACCGAGTTATTTGTTTTTTCTTTAATCAGGTGTATTGAACGGTTTATCGATGTTGGGAGAAGTTAAACATTTTACTCCAGACTTTCGTATGCAAAGAAGAAAGTCTACCAGAAAGAGTCTTCTTATTTGTGCTCCTTGTCTGACTGAACAGAATTTAGATGAGCATCCTTTATCTAGTGATGTGAAGTCAGATAACGAAATTAATGACGACGAACTAACTGATGAACTTGCCAAAAGGTATCAGGATGAAAGTCGGAAATGGGATCAGTTGGTGGAAGAATATGAAACACGTTTGATTCCAGCGGATAATCGAATCGATATGCCTTCTGAGGAATGGATTAAGACAGATCGTGTAACCCGTAAATATGAAGATATAATTTATCCCCAAAAGTATTTTGATTCCTATGATTCCCTGGATAGTTTGGCGGACTCTCTTTTAGACACACATAATGATATATTTTTTGAATTAGAGAAACTTCCTCACCTAATCGAAAGACAGGATATGTTTTTAAAGAGTTTGCAGAGAAAATTGCGTTTGAAACAAAATATTTTTCAAGATTCATATTTCGGTTCAGCATCACCATTGTCTGTTATATCTAACTACCTTGGGGCTGAAACGTCACGTTTTTAAAAAAAAATACAAACTTGTTTCCTCATTTATTCGGTCAATAATTTCATAATAAATAACTTAATAGAAAACCCTTATTCGTAAAACGATTATTTCCATGATGATTTCTTGCAAATACTAACTTTAAGCATAAGGAAAAACATCTTTTGACATGGTGACCCCCGAATTCGTCCCAATGTTGGACCCAATTAGATCACATCGCTATCAGCCACCGATGGAGGGGCTCGTTAGAAGACTGTCGCTCATTCTGGAGCACATGTTTAGATTCAGGTCATGCTCTAGTGCGAGCAGGTATCTGTCTGCGTCTTACTGGACGTAGGAAAGACACTGCAGGGAAGCCTCTAAGGGTTCTACTTAATGATAGGCCAGCTAAGAATATATTTCAGGAACAACTAGAAAAACAGTTAGGCAGCCATGTAAGTTATGCCCACCCCGAGGCAGCGTGGAATGACATCCGAAGAGCTGTGGAATCAGCAGTGATATCCGCTAGTAAGGTAAACCATAAGGTTAGGGAGAAACAATGGATCTCGGCAGCATCTACCGCACTGATAGATGCTCGTAAACTCATCCCACTTGGCTCTGAACATAACGAAGAGCGGAGTCAACTTAAGCGCAGGCTAATGAGAAGCCTACGTAATGATCGTGAACAGTGGTGGGTAGCGAAAGCAAGAGAGATGGAAAAGGCAGCGGCAATAGGTAACAGTAGGCAGCTATTCAGACTCGTTAAAGAAACCGGTATTAGGAACCCACGTATCAGTGAAACCATCTCAGATAAAGATGGGCATATCATTCATTCTCAATCCAGGAGATTGGTTCGATGGGCAGAACACTTTAGGGATCAGTTCAACTGGCCTTCAGCCACACTTCAATTGCCCATGATCCCCAGTCGTCCTGAATGGCGAATTGATGTAAGTCCTCCAACCCTCTGTGAGGTTGGAAAAGCTATAGGAAATCTGAAGCGAGGGAGAGCAGCAGGCCCTGACAGGTTGACCCCTGAGATTTTTAAGGATGGTGGTCCAGTACTAGCAGTGAGATTGACTGAGGTCTTAGGTAGAATCTGGGAACTGGACGTAATTCCATCTGACTGGTCCCAATCGCTGATTGTGCCAGTCTACGCAAAAGGACAAAAGTCCTCCTGTGACAATCACAGAGGGATCAGTTTGACCAATATGGTGTCTAAAATATTAGCTTCAATAATAGTAGGTCGCCTAACCAAAGCTCGTGAAGAGCAGACTAGAGAAAACCAGGCTGGTTTTCGACCTGGACGTGGTTGCATAGACCAGATATTCACCCTACGTCAGGTCCTAGAACATAGACACAATTTCAGACGTCCCACAATAGTAGTATTTCTTGACCTTAAGGCGGCATTTGACTCCGTTGATCGTGAGGTTCTATGGCAGTGTTTGTCACTGAAAGGAGTACCAAAGAAGTACATTAACCTCATAAAGGCTCTCCACTCCAACACTACTGGTCGAGTTAGAGCCTATGGCGAACTGTCATCAGAACTGATTATCTCAAGTGGTGTTCGTCAGGGCTGTCCACTCTCCCTATTCTTGTTTAACATCGTCATTGACATACTTTTAGAGATAGCACCTTCATCATCTAAACCTCCAGGAGTTGAACTTTTACCGGGAGGCTCACTTATTGACTTAGAATACGCCGACGACATAGTTTTACTTGGTGAGGACGCTGGCAACATGCAGTCTTCTGACCACTATAAGCAACTATGCAAGCATGTTCGGAATGCAATTCTCTCCCTCGAAGTGCAAAATGTTACCCCAGGATTGGGTTGCAGCGACACCTGAACTAATGATAGGGAGTGAAGTAGTTGAGCGTGTAGACCACTTCACTTATCTTGGGAGTCTCATCAGCCCTTGTGGTTTGGTGTGTGACGAAATCTCAACACGGATACAGAAGGCACGTCTAGCTTTCGCCAACTTGCGTCTTTTATGGCGTAGGCGAGATATCCGTCTAGCAACCAAAGGACGTGTTTGTTGTGCAGCAGTTCGCTCCGTCCTACTTTATAGTAGTGAAACATGGCCCATAAGAGTAGAGGATATTCGTAGGCTAGTAGTTTTGATCACAGGTGTCTTCGAAGCATTGCTCGTATATCCTGGGACCACCGGGTAAGTAATGCAGTTGTTAGGAAACGAGTACTAGGTAAGGATAGCAAATTGATTGATGAAGTAGTGAAACTTCATCAGTTGAGATGGCTGGGACATGTGTTACGTATACCCATCCACCGACGTGCAATGTTTCATGGTGTAGGAGTAGGTTGGAAGAAAGCTAGGGGAGGCCAGACCAAAACATGGGACAAATCAATGAAGTCACTGACAATTGGACTGGGCCATGTTGGTAGGTGTAGACTACCTGGTTGGGATTCGCGAGATGATAGCAACCGATGGTTAGAGACCTTGAATGACTTGGCTCAAAATCGTTTGCAATGGCGAAGATGCATCAACTCTTTGTGTTCTACCAACTTCCGAATTCCTCATGTCTCTATCTTTTTCTCTTTCCAAATGTATTTCACTGTACTTTACTCCGTCAATAATTTCTTCAAACCCTAATCTTTCGGATTTCTGATTATACTCCTACTACTTTTACCACTATGGCATTTGAATCGACAACTGCATCTCTGTGTTAATGTGGTATGGCAACTTGAACTGATGTACGTACGTACGAAGTTCTACGTTGTGACTGACCATGATGTTACATTTTTCATAAAATTTGTTGAAAGGTTTTATCATCATTTTGCCTGTTAACAAGCCTCATTCTTTGGCAAAAAAAGATAGAAACTTGTATTCTGCTCAAAAAAACTACCTAAATGTGAAATGTTAACAACCTTAATATCGAGACTTCAAGTCACTTAGTTTACCATTAAATTTAATCACAGACTAGCTTAGACGAACTTCGTTTTATTCTTAGGATTCGCTCGCATAACCCATTAGTTTGAGAACTGAGCAGTGACTTTCTTGTTGATCTTGGTGGAAAGTGAGCTAAAAACTCGGAGCGAAAATTTTTATCAAACAACATATGCTACTCAATCACAGTTCCCTCCCGTATATTTTGCTGTGAAACCAGTAGATATTAGTTGGGATATTGTTTGAATTCTTTCCCAGTAATCACAGTTGTTATTCGTCTTTCATGATCCGGTTAACTTTCAATGTTATCCTAAGAATTAAATCAAGCTAGACTAATTTAGGAACTATTTACTTATAATCGGTATTACACTATTAGTCATTCAACATGAGCTCACTATGTGCAGTTGTTAATCCCAAAGTTCAATAATTGTAGTTGAAGAGAAGAATTTTTACTTTTATCTGGTTCCATAAGATGTGGGAATGATTTCGCAGTACACTTATGTTAGCACAAGTTTCTTCATCAACCAAGTATTCTTTCTATATTTGCTAGATTTCGATTTGTTCAACACCTTTTCTCAAATAATGTATGATGCGTTTCACATGTAAGCGTACATGGTAGTTAATTCAAAGACATTTAATCTGAAATGTAAATTTCCAAACTTCGGTAAACACATGTATTTAAGACGATCAAATATATATTAGACATGCAATGCCAAAATGAAAATAATCATTACGTCTTCGAAATTTTATTCTTCACGTATTGTATTCGCTTTGGATACTTTCGTAACTTTTGTCAAAGGTCTGATGTTATAGAACGAACGAATTCTTCGTAGTGCACGTTACCATCACTATCAACTTTAGCTTTTTCTAGCATTGCATCCATTTCCACCTCAGTCAGATTTTCACCCACCGTACATAGTGCACGACGAAGTTCAGAAGCTGAAAGGAAACCATTATTTTCGACATCAAATGTACGGAAAGCTTCAATGATATCTGATTCTGTGTATATTTCATTGTACATTCGTGATGCTATTTCACAAAACTGATCGAACGTTATACCTTCAATAAGTGCTGTTTTTTCTTTGTCGACGTCAGCTATCAACTCCTAAAACCCAACAATTAATACAGATTTTGATTAGTTCACTAACCGTATAAGCTAATGGTGAGTTGTGTAATAATATACTTACTGTTTAAACAAAAGCTAAGTCATGGTAGTACTAATAGGATCCCTGGAATGTTTTCCTACATCTTTCCATTGAGTATGGGATTCACGAATTTGTTGTTCACTTATAAAGCTACTTGGGCATATAGTCGTACTCCCCTATTTTTTATATTCGGAAGATATTTTGAAATTAGGATATTCATAAACTGATTGTCATTCTGTCCTAATGGTTTTAGAAATTATCTGAATAACTAAAAGATAATAGATGGGTAGAATGATTACATGCATCTAAAATTATGGTTTTTAGGATCATATACTCCATTCCAACCCACTAAAAAGTTGTACCACTCTCGTACTGGACATTTTTTATATGAAGTATGGATAGAGATGTAGCTGGATGCGGAAAATAAAAAGAATGCAGAAGCCAACGGAAGATCCGGATGTGCTCTTCCAAAGAAACAAAGTGTCCTAACAAGTACGCGATGCTTACACTAATTATTACTTACTTACTTACTTTCGCCTGTTACTCCCAATGGAGCATAGGCCGCCGACCAGCTTTCTCCAACCCACTCTTTCCTGGGCCTTCTTTTCTAGTTCTATCCAGTTCTTGTTCATTCTTCTCATGTCTGTCTCTATTTCTCGGCGTAATGTGTTCTTTGGTCTTCCTCTTCTCCTTTGACCTTCAGGATTCTATGTGAGGGCTTGTCTTGTGACGCAATCGGGTGATTTCCTCAAAGTGTGCCCAATCCACTTCCAGCGCTTCCTCCTGATTTCTTCCTCCGCTGGAATCTGGTTTGTTGTCTCCCACAGTAGATTGTTGCTGATAGTGTCTGGCCATCGGATCCGAAGTATCTTGCGTGGACAACTGTTGATAAACACTTGTATCTTCTGGATAATGGCTTTCGTAGTTCTCCATGTCTCCGCCCCATACAATAGAACTGTCTTGACATTTGTGTTGAAAATTCTAACCTTGGTGTTGGTTGACAATTGTTTTGAGCTCCAGATGTTCTTCAGTTGTAAATATGCTGCTCTTGCTTTGCCGATCCGCGCCCTCACATCTGCATCTGATCCACCGTGTTCATCAATGATGCTGCCCAGATATGTAAACGTTTCCACATCCTCCAAAGCTTATCCGCCAAGTGTAATTTAATTGGTGCATATTGTGTTGTATCAGAGAGTCTTGCTTTTCCCTTTGTTTATATTGAGACCTACTGCTGCTGAGGCTGCTGCTACACTGGTCGTTTTCTCCTGCATTTGTTGTTGCGTTTGTGATAGAAGAGCCAGATCATCCGCTTGTAGCTCCTCTGGGGTTACTGCCGGTCCCAAGCCCGGGTAAAGGAGGAGGGTTGGGCATGGGGTTAGCGACCCCATCCCGTAGAAAATCAACTCGCTAAAAAAACGCTAACCAGAACTAATTATTACAGTAGATGTCATATGTATTTATGTTAGTTTCGTGTGTGGAGTGGTCTAACTTCGTTATTCCAATAAGTATTGAACTATATACCACTACTATCAGTTGGCAGTGCTGTCTAAAAACTAGTCCACGGCATACACTGACCTAAGACCACCGTTCGGTATAGTATTGTCTTCATTTCGAATAAAAAGAACTGGCAGTTAATTTGTACATAAGCACTACATACTAAGTAGGTTATTTCTCAGACCAGCTGTAATAGTTAAGGTGGATGATATCAAATGCGTTGTTTCCTTTTGAGATTTTCTGTGGGATTGTCTGGTTACTTTTTTGCAGACGTATCCTGTAAACTTCTAGTTGCGTAATTCTTGTTTCCTTTCATCTATATAAGACTCAAGTCAATAAATACAGGTAATGCAATACCCTGTAGTGAGTAAATTGCTTCCAGTGTTTGTAAGATACTTAGTTTCAGATCATATTTTGCAGTACTTTATATGATTTAGACTTTCGTTTAAGGACTATGGTTTTTACCATCTTGATAAAACTTACGTAGGTACTCAATATTTATTTACTTTACGCACTAAGTAATCGAATTCTCAGGTGGAGTTTGATCTTGAAACACCTAACTTTATCGAGTGTTTTTCCTTTGCTGTTCAGTATACTACTGTCAACTTTAGTCTAGCTCGTATCGAACAGGAATTATTAGTAGTTCTGTCCCGTTAGGCAGAGTTTATGGAATTATAATTGAGCAACCAACATGTGGCAAAAGACTTGGAATTATACTAGTCAGTCAGGACGTTTGTGTAGAAATTTTGTTACTAGGTTACATTTAAACCCCTCATAACATCACTAACATTCGTCTTTGATAAGTGCATTTGCACAAACTTATGCAAAACAACTGGAGGGGTAAGTATCAATGTATCAATTGCACTAAATATTAATACCTATACTACGGGAAAAATAGTATCTTCCCAACTTTTCTCTATTTATAAACCTATTAAATATTTCTTCCCCTGGTTTGTTAAAACAAGTACTAGCTTGAGGTATCGTTGACATATTTAATACCGACTACATGAGTCACTAAATTTATCACTTTATTTAAATATGTTTTTGTCCGTTATGTCCCGATAAGAATTATGAATGGTGACTTTTGAGGGCTATTTATGGACCAATATGATACATATATTTTTATTGTATGATTGTTAACTAATTAAACTAACCATATTCGTGTCCCTCTTATTATAAGCTTTATTTTGACCTGTGAACTATTGTTATATGACTTCTCGCTCTTGAGTTATACCCAGTTTATCAATTATTACCTTCCTTATTCACAGCCATATTTAGCTAAATCTTGTGCAGATGTTATTTTCTATTTTACGGTACGATGTAGTCTGTCTGGTTGGAGTATAAACCCAGTATGTTTGAAACAAAAGATTCATATTGTAGAAACTGTTATTGATGTTCTGGACTTAACTGGCTGGGCTAGGCAGAAAGCAAGACCGATAAGTACTCTAGACTGCTTGTACGGGTTTCGTGCGTCATTGGTTCGATCGATAATTCTCTGCTCTCCAATTGGCGGCATCGTCACGTCATATATTAAACAGGGCAAGCAGATCACAAGACATAATGTCATCATAAGTTTAACCAGTACATACGATTATATTTTTATTTATTTATTTATTTATTTTTATGTATTTTTTAAGGGTGCGGTTTCTGGGATTCCAAAACGGATAAACTCACCTCAATTTCTAGGTTTGACGGCATCAGACCTACTTTTCTTATCAATACAGTTACATCTGGGACCGAGACTTTCCCCGTTTTGTCATGATCTAACGCATCAAATTGTGCCTTGTATTCAGTTATCGTCTCCTCCGTTAGTTTAGCCTTCTGTTTTTTGGCGGACGATGTCATCTTTCATCCTAAAATGGGAGTTTTTGAATACGACTGTAACTAGTTTATTTTATAAGGCAACAACAGACAAAAAGAAGGGTCACGTTAGTCAATCTGAAGAATTAAAATGTATGATATTTGTCTCTCCGTGTTTTAAATATCTCAGGCAGTTCCTGGCACACTTCATATTTAAATCCATTAATGGTAGATAGTTCCCGGGAATAGTATTCAATGAACTCCAGCACATAAATATGATCAGTTTCGTACAAATTGCTAGGTAATTGTAGTCAATTTAGTTTTACACTATGATTTTTTGGTTACTCTCTCATTACTAACTCCGCCTGTAGCTCCTCCAGGGGCTACTGCCGGTCCTAAGCCCGGGTAAAGGAGGAGGGTTGGGCATGGGGTTAGCGACCCCATCCCGTAGAAAATCAACTCGCTAAAAAAACGCTAACCAGAAAAAATCATTCAAACCTTTCAAACTCTGCCCTGGGAGTAGAAGGAATAATTATGACGTCTCATGATGAAAGCCGAGTTCATTCGGAAGTCATGAGGCCGATGCACCTTCTTACAACCAGAGCGACAATTTTTATAGGTACATGGAATGTCCGGACAATGTGGGAGACTGGCAGAGTCTTCCAAATTTCTGCGGAAATGAGGAAATACAACCTGGAAGTGCTTGGAATCAGTGAAACACATTGGACGCAGGTTGGACAACAACGACTGTCTTCAGGGGAACTTCTGTTATACTCCGGTCATGAAGAAGATAATGCCCCACATACAGCAGGAGTGGCACTGATGCTGTCTAGAAAAGCACAAAATGCACTTATAGGATGGGAATCTCATGGACCGAGGATCATCAAAGCCTCCTTCAGAACAAAGAGAGAGGGCATTACAATGAACATCATCCAATGCTATGCGCCGACCAACGACTACGATGAAGACGCTAAAGACCAATTCTACGATAGGCTGCAGTCAATCTTCGAGAAGTGCCCAACCAAGGACCTGACCATTCTAATGGGAGATTTCAATGCCAAGGTTGGAAAGGACAACACTGGATACGAAGACGTCATGGGACAATATGGACTGGGAGAAAGGAACGAAAACGGTGAGAGATTTGCAAACCTATGTGCCTTCAATAAACTGGTCATAGGTGGCACCATATTCCCACACAAAAACATACACAAAGCCACTTGGATTTCACCGGATCACACTACACAAAATCAAATCGACCATGTCTGCATCAACAAAAAGTTCAGGAGGACGATGGAGGATGTGAGAACCAGAAGAGGAGCTGATATAGCATCCGATCACCATTTGCTGGTCGCCAAGATGAAACTAAAACTCAAGAAGCACTGGACAACGGCGCGGACAACATCACAAAGGTTTAACACGGCCTTTCTTCGAGATGCTGACAAACTCAACGAATTTAACATAGCCCTCAGCAACAGGTTCGAGGCCTTTCATGACCTACTCAATGGAGAGGGAACCACCATAGAGAGCAGCTGGAAAGGTATCAAGGAGGCAATCGTTTCAACATGTCAGGAGGTTCTGGGCCAAAAGAAGCACCATCACAAGGAATGGATCACTGTTGGTACACTGGATAAAATTGAAGCAAGGAGGAACAAGAAGGTAGCAATCAATATCAGCCGAACAAGAGCGGAAAAAGCCAAGGCACAAGCCGAATACACAGAGGCAAACAAGCAAGTGAAGAGGAGCATCAGGACCGACAAACGTAAATATGTGGAAGATTTAGCGATGACAGCGGAAAAGGCTGCAAGAGAGGGAAACATGAGACAACTGTATGATACAACAAAGAAACTTGCTGGAAATTACCGTCAACCAGAAAGACCAGTGAAAAACAAGGAAGGCAAAGTAATCAACGATATTGAAGAACAACGAAACAGGTGGGTAGAACACTTCAAGGAACTCTTGAATCGACCAGCTCCACTGAACCCACCCAACATCGAAGCAGCACCCACAGACCTCCCAATCGATATTGGCCCACCAACAATTGAAGAGATCAGCATGGCCATTAGACAAGTCAAGAGTGGCAAAGCAGCGGGACCAGACAACATCCCGGCAGAGGCACTGAAAGCAAATGTGACAGCAACTGCCAAGATACTACACATCCTCTTCAGTAAGATTTGGGACGAAGAACAAGTACCAACAGACTGGAAAAAAGAACTTTGATCAAGATACCAAAGAAAGGTGATCTGAGCAAATGCGACAACTACAGGGGCATCACTCTTCTCTCAATACCAGGAAAAGTCTTCAACCGAGTATTGTTAAACAGGATGAAGGATTCCGTGGACGCCCAACTTCGAGATCAACAAGCTGGATTTCGTAAGGATAGATCGTGCACAGATCAAATCGCAACTCTGCGGATCATTGTGGAACAATCAATCGAATGGAATTCATCACTCTACATCAACTTCATCGACTACGAGAAGGCATTTGATAGCGTGGACAGGACGACACTATGGAGGCTTCTTCGACACTACGGCGTGCCTGAGAAGATAGTCAATATCATACGGAACTCCTATGATGGACTAAACTGCCAAATCGTCCACGGAGGACAACTCACCGACTCGTTCGAGGTAAAGACCGGTGTTAGGCAAGGTTGCTTACTCTCACCCTTTCTCTTTCTCCTGGTGATCGACTGGATTATGAAGACGTCAACATCTGGAGGAATGCACGGGATACAGTGGACAGGTAGGATGCAGCTTGACGATTTAGACTTCGCGGATGATCTGGCTCTTCTATCACAAACGCAACAACAAATGCAGGAGAAAACGACCAGTGTAGCAGCAGCCTCAGCAGCAGTAGGTCTCAATATAAACAAAGGGAAAAGCAAGACTCTCTGATACAACACAATATGCACCAATCAAATTACACTTGATGGAGAAGCTTTGGAGGATGTGGAAACGTTTACATATCTGGGCAGCATCATTGATGAACACGGTGGATCAGATGCAGATGTGAGGGCGCGGGTCGGCAAAGCAAGAGCAGCATACCTACAGCTGAAAAACATCTGGAGCTCAAAACAATTGTCAACCAACACCAAGGTTAGAATTTTCAATACAAATGTCAAGACAGTTCTTCTGTATGGGGCAGAGACGTGGAGAACTACGAAAGCCATTATCCAGAAGATACAAGTGTTTATTAACAGCTGTCTACGCAAGATACTTCGGATCCGATGGCCAGACACTATCAGCAACAAGTTACTGTGGGAGACAACAAACCAGATTCCAGCGGAGGAAGAAATCAGGAGGAAGCGCTGGAAGTGGATTGGGCACACTTTGAGGAAATCACCCAATTGTGTCACAAGACAAGCCCTCACATAGAATCCTGAAGGTCAAAGGAGAAGAGGAAGACCAAAGAACACATTACGCCGAGAAATAGAGACAGACATGAGAAGAATGAACAAGAACTGGAAAGAACTAGAAAAGAAGGCCCAGGAAAGAGTGGGTTGGAGAAAGCTGGTCGGCGGCCTATGCTCCATTGGGAGTAACAGGCGAAAGTAAGTAAGTAAGTAAGTATGATTTTTTGGTTACTCTCTCATTACTGCTGGAGGAGAATTTGACCTAATCATGCTTAATAAATTTATAGACATCTATGTTGCACAAGAGTGATTGTCTAAATCCACCGAGGTTAGCAAGAAAATTTAATTGAGCATTAAATATAAAATCCTTGTCTTGACATCAAATCCTACTCTGAAATCAAGCATCTTACTGAAGGCTTGTCTTTTCAACGTTCACTTGCAAACCCAGTAAGACATGTATTCTAACAAAAGGGAGGGACGTAACTATCTTTTTTGTGATTCAAATCAGAATATTTGATTTGTAACACTTCAAATTCTAGATTGCTGGCCGTAATACAGCAAAGTATTGGTTTCAATCCCAAGTTTCCAAACACTACTATGACAAATTACTTGTATATCTAGTCAATCCACTATACAAGATTGGATAGTGTTCGTAGATAGACTGAGCAGTTAATTCGATTCCAGCAGCAAAGGTTGCTTACATAGTCATGGAAAACGGCTTATGTGAACAGTATATCACCTAATATGAAGTAAGTACGAATCGTGGATCTAGTTAAGCTTATTCCAACTGATATCAGTACCAAATATTGAACACCTAATGTTATCTATTTTCAAGTATCACTTATCGACACCTTGTAACCGTGTGAAATTTTTATCAAATAATTCATACATATGAGCCACGAATATTCGTGGTTGTATATACAACTTGGCTTATAAGGATTCCAGAACAAATGTCTTTTGTCTAGTTATTTCCATTGACTATGTTGTTTTATCGTGAAAGACAAAGTTACAAATAATCCTGGCTATATTTAGTGGAAATTGACCAAGTTCTTTTTGTTAGCCTGATATATTTCTTCCGAAATGAGAATACAGTTTACTCTACCTTTCTACAATTTTATACCCTTCAAAGTGTGAAAACCATTCGAAGACTTCCCTGATAATTTTGGATATTAAATCAATCAGACACCTTACATTCCTTCAGAAAGTGTTTCCAAATAGTTTTTCGATAAGATGTTTAACGTTGACACAACATTGTTCAGAAACTGAAAATCACCCTCCTAAAACGGCTATGTGGTCAAACTTCACTTTTGTTCGAGGTGCGTCTGGATAATTAAAAACTAATCACGGTTACTGAGTAAATATTTTTATTACATGAAAAATCATAGTTCAATCGCATTTGCTTAAGTAGTAACCATAGATACCAAGGTATTAATTGAGTAATTCAAACTAAAGTGTGAGAGAAAATATTTTCCAACCACCACGACACCTCTTCACTCAATTTTTGTTGTACTGTAGCTGTAAAAAAATCCCTATAATATGTAGTTCTGTTAGCCATCAGCATTGACCCTTCTCTCATTACTTTTGCTGCACACACCTAGTTGAAGGTGCATGGTCAAGCATCCTCGTCAGAATACTATTTGTAGCACTGTGCTAAGAATTCCTTGCAATAACTGGCATGCCCAAATCACATCTTTCGTGACATAAAGATTATCTTCCAAATATTCCTTCATTTCTGACTTCTATTTTGACTGGGTTTGGGAACCTTGATTATAAAAGTGTTACGGATTACAGCGTTGTCAAACCATAAGTATCTGTGACATCTTTACTACTAACTCCTAGTTTCTAGTTTATTTATCTTATCTTTATTTAACTTCATTATTTGTGTTTCCTGAGTCATTGGCTCACTTTTCCTACCATTCCTTGCAAGCCCTCCTAGCATATGAATTGCCTATAGACCTGAAGAGAACAATTACATTTTTGCATATCGGTGAAAGATTCACCCGTGGGTCCATTGCAACAATCCGATAAACGGTATCCACTCAAAAGGGTGAAAACGAATTAGATACAAATTATTAAAGGCGAGCAGTAATCAGAGCATTGTCATTAAAGCGACTATCAAAATGGCGAGCACCGAAAAGGAGGTCATCAGAGACAAGCACCGAGCAGGGAAGATTGTCAACATTATCCAGAACTCAAACGGCAGACTACAGTGCAAAGTCGTGCATGTAGGACAGCCGACAGAAGCATTTCCAGTAAGTACTGGAGGCAGACAAGGCTGTCTACTCTCCCCATTCCTCTTCCTTCTCTTGATTGACTGGATTATGAAGACTTTGACATCTAAGGAGAAATACGGAATACAATGGACTTCTCAGAATCAATTAGATGGTTCGGACTTCGCAGATGACCTAGCCCTCCTCTCTCATACACACGAACAAATGCAGATGAAGACAGCAAATGTAGCAGCAGCCTCTGCATCAATAGGCCTCAACATACAAAAAGGAAAATGCAAGATTCTCAAATACAACACGGAAAACACCAACCCAATCACACTTGATGGCGAAACTCTGGAAGGGGTGGAAATATTCACGTACCTGGGTAGCATCATTGATAAACAAGGGAGATCGGAGCGGACGTAAAGGCGAGGATTGGCAAAGCAAGGGCAGCATTTCTACAACTGAAGAACATATGGAACTCAAACACAACTGTCAACTAACTTCAAATTGAGAATCTTCAATAGGAACGTCAAGACAATCCTACTGTACGGAGCTGAAACGTGGAGAACTACTACAACCATCGTCAAGAACGTATTGAGGATACCACGGATATTCTAGTTTGGCAACTAGCAACCAGTAGTATCTTCTATAATCGTTCTTTCCCAGTCGAATAGAAACCAGAAGTCAGACGAGAAGAGGTAGGAAAGATATATTTGATACGTTACCAATATATCGAGGAACCTTTACTATAAGCTGGCTAATGAACGTAGGAGCAGTGTCACACGTCGAGTTGAAACGTGATCTGGTACGGATGCATGACCGAAAGCCTTCAGTTAAACAAGTCCACTTAACGTGGTCAACATCCAATATCGAACACTTAATGGGCTATTGATTTTGGGGAATTATTTACAGCTACGGATCGCTCCCCTTCTAGTGAGGTAGTAATGCCCCTAAGACGTGACCAGCCAGAAGTTTAAACCCAACAAGTTTGTCGTTGGTAAACACTCTTCTGATAGCTTGCTTCGTTTAGCAGCGTCTGGTCGTCTTTCCTCACACTAAGGGACCGTAATGTACAACATAGCAATAAGGAAATAAAGTACAATGAAAATTTTGGTTCCTTGTTAGACTTCATCGTTCTTTTCCAGCCGTCCTGGAAAAGAGAAAAAATAGAACGTGTGAGTGCATGTCGAAAATACACTCGTACTTGCGTAAGGACACAAGATGAGCGGAAAAAATAAATAAACTAATACACTTGCGACAGCGTAAAAGCGAATTGGTTTTTTATATATAAAAAATATAAATACGCTCATAAGTATAAAAATGTTTTTTTAAAATCAATATATGAAAAACATGAGCATAAAAAATTATTTTTTATAATAAATAATGAAAAGGTAATTCGAGAATTAGTTTGTGTCCTACGTGCAATAGTCGTTTAGATGTTCTGGAAATCTTACACTTCTTCCAGAACGCGGTGTTTTAGGTTTATCTATCGACGTTGACGAAGTATCAAGTCGTATGTCGGCTGTCGTGTAGGGTACTGCGAGTGTAGGAGCCGTGTTGTACCATTGTACCGAAGGAAATTCGATGTAGCTAGGGTTTCCTTCTAAGTACGCTGCTTTTAAGCGATCGATACTGATGCTATCGTTCGTGCCGATCTTATCGACTACAAAGTGCTCGGGTTCGCGTTGAAAAACTTTGAAGGGTCCTTCGTATGCTGATTCGAGAGGTTGTCGATGTGAGTCTCGACGAACGAAGACGTGTGTACTATGTCGTAAGTCAGGTTGAACGAAAACATCAGTTGATTGAGGTCGAGTGTGAGCAGGTTTAACTGAACGCATAGCGTTTGTAAGCCTACTCGTCTAAGAGTTTAGATCCATGTTCAATGAAGAAGCTGAAGGATCTACGAATTCTCCTGGGAGTCGGAGTGTCGTTCCGTAAACGAGTTGAGATGCCGTGTATCCAATGTCAGCTTTCACTGCATTGCGGATACCTAGCAAGACGAGTGGAAGAGCGTCTGTCCACTGTGAAACGTTTGAAGCTGATAATGAAGCTTTTAGTTGTCGATGAAAACGTTCTACCAACCCGTTTGCTTGTGGGCGGTAGGCAGTCGTTCGAAAGCGAGTGATTCCTAATAGTGAGGTCAGACAACGGAAAAGTCCAGATTCGAACTGGCGTCCGCGGTCTGTAGTGATTATGGAAGGGCAGCCGAAATTTGCTACCCATCGTTCGACGAAAGGGCGGGCCACGGTTTCAGCAGTATTGTCCTTAGTCGGTACTGCTTCTGGCCATCGAGTAAAACGGTCTATGCATGTTAGGAGATAAGAGTATCCGTTCGAGTCGGGTAAGGGTCCTACCAAATCTAGATGAACATGGTCGAAACGAGCGTCAGGGGTTTTGAAAGAGCCTAAGGGACATTTGTTGTGTCTTATGACCTTAGATTTCTGACAGCTTAAACAGGAGCGTGCCATCTCCCTGACGTCTTTTACCATGCCAGGCCAGCAAACCCGTGCAGCTATAAGCTTGATTGTTGCAAGAGCACCCAGATAAGAAAGATTGTGCAACGTATTGAAGATGTTGCGTCGATAATGTTTTGGTACTATTGGACGATTCCTACCTGTAGATGTGTCGCAAAGTAAGGTTTCCTTGGCTGTTCCCATCTGCTTAATACTTAGTTTTAGAGTTGTCGAGGATAACTGATGCTGAAGATCAATGTCTTCTTTTTGAAGCTGAGCGAGTTTAAGAAGGTCGATGCCTTGGAAACTGTTCAAGGAACTTATTCGAGACAAAGCGCCAGCAACTACATTGTTAGCCCCAGAAATGTGCTGTATATCTGAAGTAAACTGCGAAATGTAATCCAGTTGTCGAAACTCTCGCGGTGAGTACTTGTCTGAAGATGAACCTAAAGAGAAGGTAAGAGGTCTATGATCGGTAAAAAGCGTGAATTCTCTTCCTTCGATGGAATGTTGGAAATGCCGTACAGCACAATACATAGCTAGGAGTTCCCTACCGAACGTGCTGTATCTCGATTTCGCATCTAGCAACCTTATGGAGAAAAATCCTAAAGGTTGCCAAGAGTTATTAACCCATTGTTGTAAGACTCCTCCGATTGCTGAGTCGGATGCGTCTACGGCGATACTAATGGGCGCTTGAGTGTCCTGACGAGCAAGCAAGGTTGTTTTAGCGATGTGTTCCTTAACTGTGGAGAATGCTTTACGGGCTATGTCGTCTAAACTAATTGATTTCGCATTTCCACGAAGCTGATCGGTTAACGGTTTCATAAGGGATGCGCATTTGGGTATGAACCGTCTATAGAAACTTACAAGTCCGTTAAAAGTTCGCAACTGCTTGATCATGGTCGGTTCTGGGTAATCTAGAATGTCCGCCACTTTGCTCCTAAGGGGTCGGATACCTTGGGCATCAATGGTGTGTCCTAAGAAGTCTAAGGAGTTGGTGCCGATTTGGCATTTCTGAATGTTGACAGTAATGCCATGCCTTTGGAGCCGATCGAAAACAATGTCCAGATGTTTGAGATGCGATTCTCTGTCCGGACTTGCTATTAGACAGTCATCAACATAAGCATGTACGAAGTTGAGACCTCGAGAGACATCGTCTATAAACCTTTGGAAGGTTTGAGCCGCATTTCTTTAGCCGAAGGCACTTGTAAGAATTCGTAAAGGCTGAAAGGAGTGACGATGGCGGTTTTTGGAATGTCGTCGGTTGCCATAGGTATTTGGTTGTAAGCCTTAACCAAGTCGATTTTTGAAAAGACAGTCGTACCTTTCAAGGTAGCTGTCAAATCGTGAATATGAGGCAACGGGTAACGATCGGGAATGGTTTTTGCATTCAGACGCCGATAATCACCAGTTGACCGCCAATCATTGCTGTCCTTTTTATGGACCATGTGCAATGGGGATGACCATGGACTATTCGATGGTCGAATTATACCTAAGTCTATCATATGGTCGAATTCGTTTTTAGCTAACCTAAGCTTCTCGAGAGCGAGTCGACGGGCTTTCGAAAATACAGGTGGTCCTGTAGTCGAGATGTGATGTGTAACATTGTTGGTTACACAAGGCAATTTCGGTTGCGGTTGGTATATCCAGGGGTATTTGTCGAGTACTGATTGGTACAAGGGGTCTATGGTGTGTTTAATTGTGACTGGGGACAATCTGTAACCAGAAAAATCAGTTACACAAACATATAACTTAGTGTTTCCATCTATTAACCTTCGTGAGCGTGTGTCGATGAGTAGATTGTGGTGTTGTAACAGATCTATACCAATGATTGGCATAGAGACATCTGCAACAACGAAAATCTAGTGTATGGGTTTGCGTAAACCCACGTTAAGGTAGACGTACCTTTTACCGTATGTAGCGATCGGCTTTCCGTTTGCCGCCGGTAAGCTTAAAACAGACTCGCGAAGTCTGTCTTTGAGATTTGCTGGAAGAACACTAACTTCTGCGTCAGTGTCGGCGAGGTAGCGAACTTTCGTTGTCACATCTGTGACGTATAACAGACGGCTATGTTCGTCGGCTACGGTTGCCGTTAACGCGTGCCGGCTGGGAAGTTTCCCGAACTGTTTTTCGTGTCACTCGATTTCGAGGTCGGATAATTGCAGGGTTTCCTGCAATTTCTAGAGGATTTACCGTACTGGTTATGATACCAGCACCAGTCGGGGTTGTCTGTCTCTCGTGGTCGAAAGACAGATCGCTTACGTGAAACGCTTCTTCGCGAGTTTCTTGACCGACTACGATCATTGCAAAATCGAAGGTAGCGTGTGAGTGTGTGACATAGTTCGGCCATGTCCGTCGATGTCGATTGAGGTTTTTCTTTGATGGAAAAGACCTCAGCGCTTGTGTATTTGGTGATTTCTAGGATTCGATCGGCAGATGCAGCTAGTTCGTCTACGGCGTTGTTTTGGAACGAGAAGAGAACTGCCTGCACTTGTTTTGGGAGTTTGGATAAGAAACGTTCTATGAATAGGCCTTCGTCGAAGGTTCTTTGACCTATCACTTCTCTCATCCTAAGCAACATATCTGTAGCAGAACCATGTTGCAGGTCGATGTTATGGAGGAGTTGGTCTAACCGTTGTCGGTCGGTTAGATCTCCACGTTTTAGAATCGATCGCTTTAGACTTTCGTAGGGTTCCGAAACATCACTAGTAAACATACTAGGTGTTACGTACTTGTTGAATTCGTGCGGTAACGCCTTGACTACCGCGAGGAATCATGAGCGTGAGTCTGTAATGGCGTGGCTGTTAAAGTCAGCTTCTGCGTAGCAGAACCAGGACTCTATATTATCGGACCAGAAGGGAGTTAATTGAATCGATGATGGGGGAGTAGTCCTTAATTTAAATACTTTAGGTGACTGATCCGTTATAGTAATATGAAGAACGACAAATATTTAATTAAAATATATTTGGAAAAACTCGAGAAAAAAGTAAATGTTGGAACGAATGCGACGCGGCGGGACAAAAATGGTAAAAGGCCTGTCTAGCCTATCTTATGAAGACAGACTGAGACACCTCAACTTATTTCCGTTATCTTACCGGCGAATACGGGGTGATCTAATATTGGCATATCGTATCCTGAACGATGACCTTGGTACTAACATGTCCTATCTTTTCCTCCCGTCTAGGGCTGATCATTTGAGAGGACATTCTAAGAAAGCTCAAACACCGAGATCAAATTGTCTACGTCTGGAGTTTCGTTTCTCGCACCGAGTAGTGAATTACTGGAATTCTCTACCAGAACACGTAATATCAGCACCTTCTGTTGATATATTGAAGACGAGTTTGGACCTCCACAGTGTAACAAACTGCAAGGATTAAAATAGGTCACTAGACCTCCTATCCTTATTACTGAAGACTGAAAACTGAAGACTGCTAGTTTCGACTTCGTTAAAACCACGAGGTGCGTCGTTGAACTGCTCAAGGTTGTGAGTTACTTCGGTTTGCTGCATCTTATAATTGAATAAAAGAAACGGAGTTTGAACAGGAAATTGGTATTAATATTAATAATATCAAGAATGGAGCAATATTCTGCAAATAGCTGTAGGGTATTAAAATGTCTTGAATTAAGAGTTAGTCAAGTAAAAGTCATGTTAGAAAGATCTCAGTCCCCCTATTTTAGGGAAAACTTTTGTCCGTTTCGGGAAAATTTTGGACAAGTTGCACGAAAACCCGAAAATTTCCTCAAACTTGGGGAAAACTGCTAATATTCACTGAACTTTGGCGAAAACCCCGAATTCGGGAGATTGGGTATAGTCTCTTATGTGGCACTGTATTCGCAGTATGTAATCATTTATTCATAATAAGTCATCCAATGCAGTAACAAGGCTCGGACTTACACAACTATGGCGGGAGATAGGCTTTTTACTGACTAGTGAAATTTCTTGGTTTGGGTAGTTGCCCACTTTTGAATTGCCCATATATGAATTCGAACAATTTAGTGACGAAGTGGTTTGCAGGTAATAGTATCAGTGTAATGTAATAAAGCTCAGAGTAGCCTGTGATATCGCCTCTACATTCGGCTTTAATCATCTTCCATTTACATGTGAACTTCGCCGCACAGACATTTATTTATTTTTCATCACCCTTTTAGTCCATACTTAAGATATATTTTGTTCTTTAATCTAACATTTTGTGCCGTCTGAAAATCACAGCTTATTCCAATGAAGTTGCTAACCTTTTCTTACTTTGTGTAGTTGTTAGTTGTCTTCATTTCTATGCAGGTTTCTCAAAGTTACTATTGTGGTTTGATGCAATCGGTAAATAACGTGTTATTCTTGATATCTTTTTGCCTGTTCACTGTTATCAAAAGATCAAGATCATGAATCTTCCTAAAGATCTTGCACCAAATGATCAAAATGATTTAAAGATACTTCGTCAGGTTGAGTTTTACTTAAGTGAAGGAAACTTAAATCGCGATAGCTTCTTCAAACAGGAAATGCAAAAACGAGATGATGGTGGTATCCCAATAGATCTACTGCTGAAGTGTAATCGTATGATCGCTATGAATGTCACTGAGGACATTCTAAAAAATGTTGTTGGAACATCAAAAATTCTGAGGCTGTCTAATGATGGTGAGTTACTTGCTAGCCATGATTTTAAAATTAATTGATACAGTCTTGAAACTTATTGTTGATTCCGATGAAGAAAAACTTGACACATTCTTTGTCTCTTTAGTAAAATATACGTTTTTTCTGTCATTTAACATGTGTATAGTTTTAATACTGTGGTTGAGGTTAACATGAAGTGCTGTATTCCTTTTGCTTAAATCAAACTAGGGTTGGCTATTGTCCGAGTATTACCGTTATCTGAGTTGGGACCTCGTGAGAGACGAACTATCCTAGTCACAGGACTTCCACGTTTATCCATCGGAATAACAGAAAACGCAGATGTGGACAACACTTCTTATAGGCACAGTTCAAAACCAAATGAAGAGCTGAGAAACATAACCTCAGCAAGTTGGGAACTTAGTGACTGGATTCGGAATGTGTTTGAAGAATACGGGGAAGTCCTGTTTGTCAGTTTACCTCGGTAAGATTTCATAACTTTACCGCTTCTTTCCCCATTAGCTTGTCCAGTATAACACACAGGGTCTTGGTTTTATCTGTAATTGCTCACAAATCGATTATCGCACACATTCTCCCATTTATATAAGTCGTCATTTTAGCTGGATTTGCTACGATTTCTTTATAAACTTCAGTTTACAGCCTGGGATTTCCGGTCATCATTTAGATCAATTTAACTGGTACCAAAAGACATGTACTCAGTAAAGTAGACTTTTTCTAGCAAGATATCATTTTTATATACAAACCACTGAACACAATATATCCGATTAGAATTCAGTTAACAACTAAACGATTAGATCACATATGAAGTATAAACCATTCATTCTCGAATGAAATTAATACCTAGTCATCACCTTTAATTGTTGCACTTCCACACCAGGGGTCTCGGAGGTCAACAAGGCAACTCTAATATTTTTATGAAGTCGAGTATGATTGTGTAGTATAGTACGTTTATGGTTATCATGACCTGTGATAAAATCTAGTGAGATTTCAGAATATTATTTGAGAGCTTATGCGGTTTGATGTACTTGTGTGGCCCCCAAATGCTTTGGTACGGCTGAGGATTCGAATAGCCCTCTCTTCCTCTCGAAATGCTCTCAAATGGCCACGCGTATACAGCCACTATCTTATCGCGGCTGGGGTGTTTATGAAATTGAGAGGACGAAAAGCAAATGTACGGCGCTTTAACCGGGTTGGTGGATATGGAGGATCCACCTAGAGGAGTTGGAAAACCCTGGTTCCAAGCCAATAGTGCACATGAGCTCCAGTATCCCAAGGAAACAAATGGTGTATGGATCTATTTTCGGTCGCCGGTTACCACAGGACTGCATCTCTTGACGTCGCTCCACTGCCTTGTGGATCAGACCTTTAGGTCGGAGGCTCTGAGTGTGGCCCCATAAGGAAACCACCTGCTTCAGTTCGGGCGCTCGGGCAGTGTTCCAGCCCTCACACAAGTCGAATGACGAAGTGCGGTGCCTCTTTGTACCAATGTTTTTGCGTTTAAAAAATAATAATTACCAGTTACTTCAAAGATAGCCTCTACCACAATTGTTTATGGTCAGCGGAGTCGGGAGACAAAACCAATTGTGGTGCACTTCCTACTTCACGATTTTGTTCATTTCAGTCCATACTTGAGGCAAGGGTGGCCGAACCAAAAGATGTCAGTAGTCCACGAAGTCACTGACAGTTGAACTTAGCCATGTTGATAGGTGTAGATTATTAATCACAACTAATGGTTAGACTTTGGATGACATGGCTTGAAATCGTTTGTAATTGCGCAGGTGCATCCGTTTTTTGTCTCCCCCCAAATCCTGAAATTCCAAATTCTTCATAACTATTTTGTTTTCATTTCTCTAGTTTATAGTTTCGTTTTGAGTCGTGTCTTCGATACCTGATCTTTCGTGTTACCACTGGTACTGTTACCACCTCTACTATTCTGAGATTCGGTCTGACAATGTCATCTTTCTGTACTAATGGGATATGTGAACTTGAGCCGATGTACATACGTACTAGGTTCTACGTTGTGATTGACTGACCAGCATTGACTCATCATTTTTAATAATATCACGGCCTGATGTTAGTGTAATCGGAGCTAACGAGGTATGGCAACTTGGACCGATACATATATGTGCCTGGTCCTACGTTGTCGCTGACTGACTGAATCGGAGCTTTAGCTTTGGTGTTTTTGCTTGTTGATATTCATCAGTGAGTTGTGTGTGTCATTTAAAAGATGCTGATGCCTTCTCAGAAATGCGAGCCACCACACTTCCTTGTCATAATAAGAAACGATAGCACTAAGATATTCCAGTTGCAATTGTTCACTTCTTCCTACTGACTGCGTTCAGTCATTTGAAACCATATTTGACAGACTATGGCGTTAAGTCAAATAGCCTAGAGTTCACACTACAAAGGTAGAATTTGGCATGTACTGAACGCAAAACAACATAATATTTTTATTACCCAACGAAGAAATAAACTAAAGATCTAATGGAAAATGCTCTTTGAACAATAATTCCATACTATAATATATTGCTTTGTAGTGAATTATCTAAATAACAGTATATAATTGTGTTAATTTTAGTTACCATCATTCCAATTCACTCCGAGGATTTGCTTTCGTTGAATTCAGAACGTCTAAATCTGCTAGAAAAGCTGTTAAACATATGTGTCTTTTCATGGAAAATGAACAATGGCTCGTGAAACCTACTGGTAAATAGTTTATTTTCTACGTTTTGCATTTGTGTATCTTTCTAAGTATTTTTGTACTTTATGTGAAAAAAAGCTTGTTGTCTGTGATGAAATAACTGTTTACTTTCAAACGTGATTCAGTTTATTCGTTGAATAGTGTTAATGAGACATAGGTTTGATTAAAGCATATTACAGCAACAGTGGTTGAAAAATTGCATGCAGGGAATCTGGAGATAGATTGTATGATAGCTCTGGCACGAAGTTATATATACTGACCGCACTTAGACACCCAACTGGAGCAGCTATTCCGTTAGTGTAACAAATGCTCATTAGCAACAAAAACACCGTGGAAAGCAGCTGCAGCCATGGTCAGTACCAGTCACCGTTGCAACATATAAACTGACTTTGCTGGTCCACTTCATGAACAAACTTATCTTTTATTAGTTGGTGCATACAGCTAGTGGCCAGAAATTTCCCTCACAGAACATCCAACTGCAAACTGCACTGTCGGAAATCTGTCAACTATTCAGTCGTTTCGCAGTTTACTTCCGCTGTCTTTTCAGAATTTTGTCGGCAGAACAGAATCAATAATCTCCAAGCACACCCATCTCATCCTCAATCCAATGGCGAAGTCGAAAGCTTTGTTGATATATTTCAAAATGCTCTTCAAATATTAAAAGAGGGGGAAACCGCTGAAGACATTTTTGAGTGGTTCTTGTTCATCCATCATTCTACACCAAATCTTCAGATAATTAGTGGAGTCTTTCCAGAGAAGCTTTACTTGGCAGAAAAATACGTACACACTTTGGTGCCATCCGTCCAACACCAGTTCTTGAGTCTCAACAAAACAGATTGATGGAGAAGCAATCCAATCGACATCATGAGGCACAACGTGGATTGTTCACTATGGGTCAAAAAGTACTCGCCATGGACCATTGTGGCAAACAAAGATAGCTGGCCGAGTCATGTACAGAAAAAGTAATGCAATGTAATGATTACGAGGTATCAGTTGGCCCAGAAGTTTGGATGCGTCATGCTAACCAAATAAGAGCAACTTCGATCTCAAGCAATAAGCCTTGACTTAAAATACCCGTTGATGTTGTGCTGGACACATTTGAAATTAAAACCCCTGAAGTAGACAAGCCAGTCTCTGGGAAGGCAGATTGATACAACTTCCTTCTTACAAATCGAAGCCAATGACCTGTTACGCTGTTGCAGGTGGACCCTAACACCATACCCTACGAATCTGCTCAAATGGGAACTATTAGCGAGATATAGATTGGATTAAAGTATGCTACATGCAGAATTGTGTTGGAACACACTGATTGGTCATTTCTTAGCCAATCAATGCTAACGTATACTTGGAGAAGACTTATGAATTTTCTTGTGTATAATTTTAAATATACTTATGTTTTTCTTATTGTAATTGTTGCTCTCATTCTGTCTTGTTATTTGGAGTATAATTACGTTCCTGTTCAACTGCGTTTTGATTTCGGGATTTGAAGATTGAAATAGTGTCTGAAAGAACACTAAGCAATAAGAGTAGCTGGGTCGTAACTAGAGATCATAACAACTAAGAAGGGAAGTATGTTTATAATATTATTATTGGATACAATACAGCTTTTTACTAGACATGTAATTTGGAAGTATGTGAAATCTAGTCCGCCAGGGGAGCATCAGTTCTCAAGATTGCTGGTACTTCTTTCTAAAATGTGCCAAATAACACGAAACCTAGGTTCAAAATTTCCTGTTGACTATTTCCTTCCACTCTTCATCTTGATATTTTTTATAAATAGTGTAACGTCGTTTAGTTTTGCCAAATATCGTTAAACAGCGCTTGTGTTTTCCAACTATGACCCTCGGTGGAGTGACCATTTATCTTGTTATTGTTTTATGATCTGAATTTATTTACAAAACAAATAGATATTAAAATATTGTTTTATTCGCAATGGCATCATCTACAATTCTGTTCCTAAATTCACTACGAATTTCATCAAGGTTACAAACTCATGACTGACTAACTGTGATTTACTCTCAGCTTAATCACTCTGACGAAAGTTCTGGATAAAGTATGTGGTTAGGCTTAAGTTCGTATTGTTAATAAGAATTTTACTTATGTCATATCTTCAAAGCATATTTTTCACCAGTTGGCTTTGATGTCCAGATAACGTATTTAATGTCGCGAATACTGCATAATGTTATACATACACGTGGTCTAGCTTCAATTGACTCATGATTTCAACTATGAAATTACTAAAATCTCCACAAAACTTCCTTCTAATATGAGAAGTAAAATTCTTATTAACAATACGAATTTAAGCCTAACCACATGCTCTATCCAGAACTATCGTCAGAGTGATTAAGCTGAGAGTAAATCACAGTTAGTCAATCATGAGTTATAACCTTGATGAATACAGTTAATCTATCATAAGAAATTCGTAGTGAATTTAGGAACGGATTTGTAAATGATAATACTCTCTGTCTTCCCTTAAACTGTGAGATTGAAATCGCTTCATATCTTTCTTTCTTCCTGTACTATATCCTTATATACAATCTTTCTTTTATATATTACCACCATTAAATTCACTACTTCTATGAATTCTGTGTTCATCTTGTTGTGCTAATGAAGTGTGGCCACTTGAACCGATGCATATATGTGCCTGATTTTACGTTGTAGTTGATTCACTATATTTACGTGACAAACAGATTTTTATGAGTTGGTGCGCACTACATGTATTATAGAGCTTTTTCATACTACCTTTCTGATGGTTGACCCTGAGGAAAGCAAGCATTAATTAAATTAACAACCTGAATATGGTTTAATCATAATACCTTGGGAAAAAATAACATACTTATAATTCTCAAGGTAATAACATTAGTTTTTAAATGAACAAAAGCAATAAGTACATAATTTATACAAACTAGATTGATGACTATTTTGTTTTGTAATATAAGTTTTGTTTTCATGTCTTTTTCAATTATCTTAATTGCTCTGGTACGACCAAAAGTGAGGATAGTCCGCTCTCCCTCTCCAAATGCTCTCATATGGCCACGCGTATATAGGCTCTGCCAAGGAAGTCCTACTCACTGTCTTCTCTTGTTGTTTGCGAAATTTAGAGGACGAAAAGCGAGTGTCCGGCGCTTTAACCGGGTCGGTGGACACGGAAGGTCCACCTAGGGGAGTTGGAAAACCGTGATTCCAAACCGATAGTTCATATGGGCTCCAGTATCCTGAGGGAACAAATGGCGTATGAGTAAATCGTTGGTCACCGGCCATCATGGGACTGCATCTTCTTACGATGCTCCACCGCCTTTCGGATTAGACCTTTAGGTCAAAGGGCCCAGGGGTCCCCCCTTAAGAAAACCACCTGCTTCAGTTTGGACACCTGGGCAGTATCACAGCCCTCACACAAATCAAATGAGATTTGTGTGGCGCACATATATCTGATGTCTTTTTGTACCAATATTTATGTGTTCAATTAAATAATCAAATAAATATAAATAATTTTTTAAATGATTTGTATATTTATTAGAAACAAATGAAGTATCTGATTGTCCAGAATCAGCATGGAAACCACGACTTGCAGCTAAAGTTTCTTTTTCACCTCAGCAAATGTTAGCCAGACGGCATATTTGGCGTTGTTGCTCTCGAAAGAATAAACAACTTATTGCAGCGTTCAAACATTTACGTCAGGCCGGGTACACTGCTAGTAATCCATGTGATAGGGAATGTAAGCTGAAATACTTGTATTCATACTTTTTCAAGTATTTAATTATGATTTTAATATTCATACAATTCATTGAATGTTTAACGTTTCCATTGACAAAATGGCAATTATTACTTACTCATGCTACTCCTCACAGAGGAGCATAGACCGCCCAGCAGCAGTCTCCATCCAAGCCTGTCTTGGGCAATCCTTTTTAGCCACTATTCATCCTTTACATGTCTAGTTCAAATTCCCGACGCGTCCTGTTCTTCGGCCTTCCTTTTTCCCGTTTCCCTTCAGAATTGCAGGTTAGCATTTGCCTCGTGATGCAGTTTGATGTTTCCCGTTATGTATGTCCTATCCACTTACAATGTCTCCCTAATTTCCTCTTCAGTTGGAAGCTGGTTTGTTCTCTCTCACAGTAGGTTGTTGCTGATTTTATCCGGCCAACGAACATTGAGTATCTCGCATAGATAATTGTTTATAAGTACTTATACTATTTTGATGATGATTGTAGTAGTTCTCCAAGTTCCAGCTCCGTACAATAGAACTGTTTTGACGTTCGTGTTGAAGATTATCACTTTGATATTGGTTGACGGCTCTTTTGAGTTTCATATGTTCTTCAACTGTAGGAATGTGGCTGATGCTTTGCCAATGTTTGCCTTTACGTGTGCATCCGATACTCCTTGTTCATCGATCATGCTGCTGATCATCTACGTGGTTGTTGTGAAGGGCATCGGCCTCGCGACTCCCGAAAAATCTCATCTTTCGCTGTGAGGCGTGGTAACTCTTCAGGGCAGATTTTAAATGGTTTAAATTTTTTTATTCTGGTTGGCGTTTTTTCTAGCAATTTTATTCTCTACTGGATGGGGTTGATGATCCCATGCCCAACCCTCCTCCTTTACCCGGTTTTGGGACCGCTAGTAACCCTGAAAGAGTTACAGGTAGAGTCAGTTAGTTATTGCTATTTTTAAAAAAATTAATTTTGTTAATGAGTCTTGAAGTTAATGAGATAGCATGTACTTAGCTTTTATGTTTCTGCCTTTAAAGAAAGGATCATTTCTCTTCCAGTTCTGAACAATTATTATTTCCTGTATTTTGATCAACATTTATTTCGTAATAACGTTGATCTATTTCTTTATATGTGCATTCATCATTTCATTATAGAGTTGGAATTTCGTACGCTGCATTTTGAGGTTATTCTAACCAAATACAAATTTACTTTCAATGGCTGTTAGCAGTTGAACCTAGTATTAATTTCCTCCCGAAGTGTCGACCGTCTTGTTCACTGTTTCAAATCCAAGAGAGTTATCTTCTTGGTTGTTAAGTCAATATCACTTATTCAACGACTAATGTATATTTATTTCTTATTTAGATTCAGTGATTCAAAAGCACTTTCTCATGCTCACTGTAAAACTTTAAGATATTAGGTTCACCTTCGTGTAAATTCATGTGTTTCCGTTTCAGGTGAGTCTCAAACTAACGTGAAACATGTCTTATGGTACCTGGTTCTCAATGATCCTCCAGTTGATGTCCTTTCATGACTAAACCTAACTATAAGTTGTTAGTAATCATATCAAAGGTGTTAGTTTTATCGATTTCTAACTCAGTGTAACCGCTTGATTTTCACTATTTTTCACAATAGGTCTAGATATGTAAGTAATGTTGTTAAGTCACGTATGAACAGTGACTTTCACTGCTCACTATATAAATCTGATTACAGAAGCAAAACACTAAGAGATTTGTTTCGTTTTTCTGTACTTATGTCATCTGGATATTATTTATGTTTTGCTTTATTCATTAGAATTTTTCTTTATGCTTAGATTATTCAATTATACTTGGTGATAATTCTACAGAAGCTATACTAAATTATGTTAAAAACAATCGTACTTCTGAACCATGTCAATCTAACCTACGTGTATTTCGTTATTCTGATTGGATATTTTGGAAGCAAAAGTTCTATTTGTGGCAACAAGCATGGATTGTCAGAATGAATCATAAAACTGAATTAATGACGAACAAAAATATAAGTAACAATAATAATGATGATGATGAAGATGACAATATGGAAGAGAAAGAATGTCATCAAATAGATTCTGAAATGAATCGAAATTCACTGCCAGTAAAATGTTTAGATGAATCTTCAACTAAATCGAAAGCACTTCCAAATAATTTTGTTCCGAATTCTATTGTTCAGGTTAGGTTTATTTTTACTGGTTTGTCTTTGCTAGTTAGCTGTGTTATTTCTCGATAATTAACTGTATCTCTTTTGAGAGAAAGTAGTTTAACGACACATTATCAACCCATAGATTTCAAAGAATATACTGTTAGGGAATAGTAAACGAACTTGTTGATAGTACTTCATGACAAATAGCTTCCTTTTACCTTTCAATTTCATGACACTCGATTGATAGACATATGAATTATATCATTGAGACTCATTCTGAACCAAGTTACTCGGCGTTTGCAATCATTAATCATGATAATTGCGCGAGTCTTAATCAAGTAGCTTGCATTTACTAACATGGCTCATATCAATAATAAATAACTTTATGGACTGATGTCACGTTTTTGCTTAGTATTACTATTAGAATGATGACGGACAGTAAGGACCTCGTTACAATTGCTCCACTTTAATGTGACAGTCATAATTATTTGAGGATAGTGCTAATACCATGCTACTGTTAAAATGCTTTTTAAAGAAGTGGTAAACATACATTAGACTTATCATTTAACAAATTTTCATTCTCACTTGTACTTATTCTTCGTATGCTCAAGATTGTTGTGACCTGTGTATACAATTCATATAATCCTCATTTAATCAATCTGTTTTCTTCTCCAAAATCTTGATTTGATCTACTTTTATAATGATTGTGTTAAATCAGTAGAAGTAGTCTATCAGTAGATAGATATTGCGAATGTACTCAGACTGTAAAAAGTAACACTTCAATATCTTTTCAGTCACAGTTAATTAACAGTTGCACGTCTCTACTGATTCTGACAATCCTTTGTAAAGTAAAGTTTTGAAGACTTTATTTTATTTTTGTGCTTATTCTTTTTTGATAGAATACCCTCTATAATCAAACATTGAAAGAAATATTAATTCTAGTTTTCGTAATGTGCAAAATTTCATTCAGTGATTACCCCTATGATGGATTGTGTTACTTATATTTTTAGATTTACTGGCCTTCAGTATTAATTCCTAAAGGAGATGCAGCAGATACACATCTGTCTGATGGTCTTGGCGATACACTGATAACACCGAAGAAGTTATCATTTGCTCGATGTCTGCGTATTAGTCTCGAAAAGAATCTTCTTGTTCCATGTAATCTTTTAAAAGATGTTGCTCATGTAGACCCAAACCCTAACCAAAGTCTATTGGATTCTGTTAACCAATTTGGGTGTTGTATGATACCAAATGCTAATCTAAATGAATCAATTTCCTCAGATGAATTTGTTCCTCTTTTTATTCGGATGAAAGATAATAAGGCTGCTCTGAAATTGGTACAGTTTGTTAATCTTTCTACTATTTATGGAGTAACAGCACGTATTCTTGAAGGTCCTAGTGAACAAGCGTACTGTGACAGTATTATCAAATCTAAGGTAAATGCTAGAGAACGTCATCGGACTTCACAATTAAACAGACGTCAAAAACAAAAGTCTTCAAATCCTCATCCTACATCATCCAGTAATTGTATACTTCCAAGTAATAAGATTGACCACAAGCACATTATATTCGATGAATAAATTTTCACACGCTTTTTGTACATATACTCCGAAATCTATTTTACATACTAAACTCTAATTTTAAACATATACACAGTAATACTTTTTAAGTTTTTTCACAAGTGATTTTGCTTGAAATAGTGGCTTCACAACGATATACATGTTTATCAACTCCCAATCATAGCTGCCGTCTTGACATGGTGGTTAGGCTTGCCTTCCGTGATGACTTTACCAAGCTGTATTGTCTGAAACTCATGTTCCTTTAGGTCCTACCATGCCAGAGAGGTCGTCCGGAGGACATTAAGATTATAAGCGTTAACTTAAGACCGAGGAAGAAATCGTACTGTTGACTGTAAAGGCGTGTATCAGCAGTAAGGTGTTCTTGTCGAATAACCAGCATCTGCAGCGGTTCTGCTTTTTCACAACGAAAGAAAAAGGTTAGCAAAGGTCGACCCTAATAATTACACCTTATATCACAAATTCCTGTCTTTGGCAGTAAGGCCTTTTAGAGTGCGGAGCTAACACATCAAGTATTTCCCACAATCAGTCCATAGGTAACCGGCCTCAAGCAGTTGTCCTTTGGCTTCCGCGATCACGCTTTCAAGTCACTGGACTACCACTAACCCAGTTTTTTTTCAGGTCCTTTAGGAAGAAATATCCTTTCGCAGTGTGTGCAACCGGATAGTGACAACCGCTCCCACACTTCTATCAGCACTCAGGACGATCGAATCCCTCCCTCACCTCTTAATAATTCTCCCATCCCCCAAAACAACTCGTATATCTTTGTCGTCACGCGCCACCACTAATGATGATTTGAGTTCACGAAATGTTACTCCCGGTCTACTGAAACCCTCTCTAAACTACATGTTGGAGCTCTTAATGTTTGAAACTTCTGTCAGATAGTGCAACCGGCTTCTTTATCTAGGACTCTAAAATCTCGCGCCATTGATATACATTGCATCTCCGAAACGCACATACAGGATCCAAGTGCAGTTCATTTAATATCACCTTGTCAATGTAAAAACTCGATACGATTCACTGTTCGAACACCTGAAGACTTCACTACTACTTGCCAGAACCTCACTAGTGTAGGTATGGCATTAAGTTCAGAAACAGAACAAGCTCTGTTCGATTGGATTCCAATAGATAATCGCCTGTTCGCTGTCTGACTAAATAGGACAGTTAGAATTAAAAAGATAAGGATACGCACCACTACGCTCCCACCGACTGCAGGTCAGATGAGGTTAAATACAAATTTTATCGAAAGCTGTTCAATCTCCCTCTAAAAGCTAAGTGCTATGATGTAGTAATAGTGGCAGGTGATCTTATTCATCAAGAACGCAAATTAAGCCAAACCAAGAGGCACTAAAGCGAATCTGACGTTGCTGCAGGTTAGTCAACAGATAATTGCAACCGTCTGTCTCAACTATGATGAAATAACTTTATTTCTGATAAAAATCAATTTTAAACATAAGGAGAAACGTTATCTGATGTGGCAACCTTCACCATCGATGAACTCAAACAGATTATATTGCCACTGTTGGGGGGACCGGATAGGTAACTCTCTCATCTTAAAGCACATGTTTAGATTTGGGTCATGATCTAGTTCGATTAAGTATATATCTGTGTCTTACTGGATATAGAAAAGCCACAGCAAGAAAACGCCTTTGAGTTTAACTTAAGGATGGAAAAGTTCGGAACATATTTCAGGAATAACTAGAGAGAGTTAATCATCCGTGAAATGATCGTAAGCAGTGGTAGGTAGAGAAAGCAGAAGAGATGGAAAGGGCAGCAGCGATGTGACAGTAGACAACTGTCCAGACTTATCAAGTTAACAGGTATGAGAAATCACACTGTGAGTGAAACTATCTCAAAAGAAGACGAGAATGTTATTCACTGTCAATCCAGGAGATTGAACTAATGTGCAGGACACTTTAGGGAACGGTTCAACTGGTCTTCAGCCACATTTTGGTTACCCACTATCTGGCAAACTGATGTAAATCCTCCAACTCTTAGTGAGGTTAAAAAATCTGTAAGCAATGTAAAGCAAAGCAGAGCCTTAAATACCATGCCCCGAGATTTCTAAGGATGGTAGCAGTTAGATTAGCTGAAATTTTAGCTAAAATGTGGGAAGTGAACGTAATCTCATCTGACTGGTCTCGACTGCTGATCGTCTCAGTCTATGAGGAAGGACAAAACTTCTCTTGTGCCGATCACAGAGGAATCAATTCAGCTAAAGCAGTGTCTAAAATATTGGCCTCAATAATACTTCGACGTCTGACTAGAGCCCGTGAAGAGCGAACCCAAGAAAACCAGTCCATTTTCAGATGTGGATATATAGACCAAATATTCACCCTTCGATGGATTCTGGAACATGGATATACTTTTCGACGTCCGACCATAGTTGTATCCCTCGACTTCAAGGTGGCGTTCAACTGCGTTGGTCGTGAGGTCCTGTGGTAGTGTCTGTCATTGAAAGGCGTACCAAGGAAGTACACAAATATTGTACTGGCTTTCTACTCCAACACTACTGGTCGATTCAGAGCTGATGGCGAACTGTCATCGGAATGGGATGCTTCAAATGCTGTTCGTCAGGGTTGTTCGCTTCTGGGGAATTACAAGTATCCTATACTGATTCAGTCATTAATGAATTTAATTTTGATGGTGTAGCAGGTGTTACTTTTGACTCTTGGTTTAAGAAATATGAAGATTTGTTCCGTATTGATCTCTGCAGACTGGATTACGCTTCAAAAGTCAGAATACCTCTAAGAAAACGTGGGACAACAGAACATGAACGCTACAGTAACTTTATTCTTCCGAAGAACCCATGAGAATTTAGTTTTGGTGAAACAATTCAAATCTTTGGAGAACAGTCATCTCTATTTAATATCCGTTACCAGTGCTTGATGACAACGAAAGAACCAGGAGATGACTGGGTGAAATATGCAGGAATTGTGAACCGAGAATGTAAGAGGTTAAAGTTTTCTTCCATGGCTGAGGACCAGTTTAAATGCCTAATATTTGTCTGTAGCCTGCGTTCACTCGAGGATGCTGATATCCGAACGAGAATCCTAAGCAAGCTTGAACATTGTACCAACTACTGAATGACAAAGGCTAGCGAATTTGAAGCATGATACCTCGGTTGTAGAGAACGCTAACCATTTCCTCCACGTCAACACTCTCGACAGAAAAGTCTTATAAGGCTCCAGCATGAAGAATCATCGTAATGACAGCGGCAAACCATCATCTCCATGCTGTTTATGTGGCGGTTGGCATTTCAAAAAGTTTTGTTCGTTTAAAAAGCATCGTACTACGTGTTCCTGAAAAGAACACAAAGAAAGTCATTGCAAAACCCGGAAACGCCGTCAACCTAAAGTTTATTCCTAAAGATTGAAGTCACGTACAGCCAAAGTGATGGTAGCTGTTAACAGAACCGGCTCCCACAATCGTAGAAAGTATGTTTCCCTCAAGATTAATGGGTATGATGCCCGCTTACAGCTAGACACTGCCTCTGAAAGCGTCAGTCAATTGAAGCTATGAAACTATGAAAATACTAAATCTCCACAAAACCCCTTCTGATAATTAATATAATCATATGCTCACTAGTGACTTCGAGAAGTATAACTAGGAGCTCTAGTGAGAAGCAGTGACCAGTGGAGTTCAAACGCCTGTTGTGAGATAGGGATTCACTGAAGACAATTGGTGAACGGTTGCTCAATTTCCTGGATCAGTTGAAGTTAGACATTAACACCGTTGGATGCCGGCTCAGTGGTCTGTCGGATAAAGGCTCTGGCTCAAGTGCGAGATCGTGGATGCGCACTGCTGAGGAGTTCCATGATAGGACGAAACGGCCGTCCAATGCTTCTAGGTTTTCCATGGTGGTCTAGCTTCAATTGACCCACGCTTTCAACTATGAAAATAGAGTTTTATTTATTTATTTAAACATATGGATATTGGTACAGAGAGGTATCAGATATACATGCGCCACACAAATCTCATTTGATTTGTTTGAGATCTGTGGTACTGTCCGGGTGCCCAAACCGAAGCAGATGATTTTCTTAGGGGGCCACAACCCGAGCCTTTGACCTAAAGATCTGATCCACAAGGCAGTGGAACATCGTAAGGAGATGCAGTCCCATGGTAATCGGTGACCAACGATTGATTTATATGCAATTTGTTCCCTCGGGATCCTGGAGCCCATGTGCACCATCGGTTCGGAATTAGGGTTTTCCAACTCCCTTGGGTGGACTTTCCGTGTCCACCAACCCGGTTAAAACACCGAACATTCGCTTTTCGTCCTCTCAATTTCGTAAACAACACCCCCGCCACGAGAAGGCCTTTGTTGTCTATTGAGAGAAGTTTTCTGGATCGCCCCAACGTAAAGAATAACTGTAGCATTTACATATATTTATTTATAGATCATTCTAGCAACGTATGAAAATATGATAATAGGATACATACATTCATTCATTAATAAACTTTCATCAGTTATATAAATAAGAAGTAGGAATGTTATGTATATTAATCCATTTAAACATGTCTATGGGAATAGGAATCAGAATATAAACGTGGTGTTGATGAAAGATTATGTTGACAATGTGAATAAGGAATTCCTGTTGAATTAGTTGTAGGCTTATGAGTATTTACATTTTCTGTTGAATTAATCTAAAATGGAAATCATTTATGGAAAAATTTACTAAGACTAAATTTGATCAATTCAATTAGTATTGTTTGTTTGAATCTTCTCATTGATGTTTAGGACTGCAACTGGTCAGTCTCTGACAAGTCCCAAATAGGATGAAACACGCGTCGAACTGGATTCCACTGCTAGTCACTATTCATCGTTGCTTACAATGCTTATGAAATAAGGCTATATCGAGGCAATACGCACAGTATACACATATGGCCAACAAGAGACTGACCATTTTTAATCCTAAATAGCAGTGAGAAGATTCAAACAAACAATACTAAGTGAGTTTAAACGTCACCCTATTGCACAAGCAAGTGGCTTTCAAGACTCAGTAGCTGAGTGGATAACGCGATGGCGTTTGAAGCGAATAGTGCTGGTTTCGAGTCCCAGAATGAACATCAACAGGACGAAACGCGCTTTCTGGATTCCACTGATAGCCACTTTCCATCTTTGCTTATAACCTTACTTACTATTAAAATTTTATGGCATACCAAAACTCGAGTCCTTTTTAACAGTTATTTGACAGAAGTTTCTCACGCTTTGTTGAATTGTAATATACATGACAGTATTAACAGTCTTACTAAGTGACCTAACTACACTGCAATTGAAAATTCTTATTATGAGGATTAGAATGGGATATTTAAGTGAACAGTAGTTGCTCACTCTAAAATATATGCTTAAACAACTCAGCAACCCTGTGCAAGTTCATTTTCTAATCTTTCAGTTAACCCACTATGCCCAAGCTAGATATCATACTGACCAGCAAACTTAATTTGGTTAAGTAGAGTTCTTGTAAACATTCTATATTTGATAGATTAACACAAAAGCAATAATTTATGTGTAGTTGTTGAACTATTTTGGATTGGGCACACCTTGAGGAAACCACCTAATTGTGTCACAAGACAAGCCCTCACATGGAATCCTAAAGGTCAAATGAGAAGAGGAAGACCAAAGAACACATTACGCCGAGAAATAGAGACAGACATGAGAAAAATGAACAAAAACTGGATAGAACTAGAAAGGAATGTCCAGGACAGAGTGGGTTGGAGAATGCTGGTCGGCTGCCCATGCTCCATTGGGATTAACAGGCGTAAGTAAGTAAGTGTTGAACTATTATATGAACTACAGACAGCTCTAAAAAGATAAGTGAAAAATGTGAGAAAAAAAATAAAATAATTTACCTGATTATCGGTTTGATGTCGATGAACTAAAATATTAACCATAGCTTTAGAACCATTTGGATAATTTCCAGTAGGTATTCCATGTTGTACAGTTTGAGGTCTTGAATATAATGATAATTTATTTGGTTTCATTGTAGAATAAATACGATTTGATGAATTTCTTGAACTTAACATCTTTTTAGCATTTTCTAATGGTGTATGATTTTTTCCATCATGCAAATTACGGTCAGATTTTTCATGTTTAGAATTTATAGAGTTTATATTGATTCGATAGGATGTGTCGTGATTTTTGTTCGGAGCTAAATCTTTATTTGGTAACCATTTGTTATCCTGGATTTAATAGAAATAGAAATGATCTCAGAAGTTATTAAAATACAGGAACGTTTTTCATTGAACACAAATATTTCTATGATCAAACTGAGCACATTTTTCAGATGTATCCAGAAATCATAATAACCCCCCTTTCTATTCGATACTTTCCAATACGATACTATGAGATAGCGGTGAATACATGTGCCGAATTGAATGAATTCAATGTTATTCTGGTACATTTATTTAGTAAGAAGAGACATACATATCACGATACATTATCAATTTGGAGACTGCTAGAGTAGTTATTTTTTTGCAGTCTAAGTTTTAGGATCCTTGTAAACTATTGAATATAAACAAGGTTGAAATGTCTATTCATAAGCATCAGTTCTCAAACTTTTTCTATCTCAATAACAGGTTTTCATTGATACTAGAATAAGTATCACTCATTGATAAAACTTATTTTTAAAAACGAATCCATCGGTGTTTAGTGTAAATATTTTAGAAAAGAACAAAATCACCTTAAATCAAACTGTTATATCCCGTGGAGATGTATGAATGGTAACTATTGAGAACTATATATGGACAAATGTGATATGTATATTTCCTATTGTATAACTATGAAAAATACTAAATCTCCACAAAACCCCTTCTGATAATTAATATAATCATATGCTCACTAGTGACTTCGAGAAGTATAACTAGAAGCTCTAGTGAGAAGCAGTGACCAGTGGAGTTCAAAACCACGTCTGTTGTGAGATAGGAACTCACTGAAGACAATTGGTGAATAGTTGCTCAACTTCGTGGATCAGTTGAAGTTAAACATTAACACCGTCGGATGCTAGCACAGTGGTCTATCGGTTAAGGGCTTCGGCTCGAGACTGGTGGGTGCTGGGTTCGAATCTCGCTAGAGCGGGTTCGTGGACGCGCACTGCTGAGGAGTCCCATGATAGGACGAAACGGCCGTCCAATGCTTCCAGGTTTTTCATGGTGGTCTAGCTTCAATTGACTCATGCTTTCTACTATGAAAAATACTAGATCTCCACAAAACCCCTTCTGATCATTAATATTGTATAATTGTTAAGTAACTTAACTATTCATATTCATATTCCTTTTATTATGAGCTTTATTTTGACCTATAAACCATTATTATACGATTTACCATTCCTGAATTATACCCAGTCTATTAATTATTGTTCCCCCTACTCACAGCCACATTTGGCTAAATCTTGTACAAATGTTATTTTCTATTTTATGGTATTATGTGTTCAGTTTGTTTGGTATATAATCCCAGTATGTTTGGGAACAATGATTCATTCATTCCAGAGGCTGTTATTGATGTTCTGGACTAAACTAGCTGGGTTAGGCAGAAAACAGGACTGATGAGTACTCAGGATTGCTTATACGGTTTTTCGTTTATCATTGCTGTGATCGATAATTCACTCCTCTCTCACTGGCGGGGATCATCACGTCATATATTAAACAGGACACGAATGCACTCAATCGATTTAACACAAACCAAACAGAAAAATGCAACAGTGTATCATCTTTAAAAAGACAAACAATCAAATAAATTGGAAATAAAACTATAAAACATTTCGGTTAAGGACTAATATTTACAGAAGGAACAATCAAGATTGAGACAATTGATTGTTATTTCGTAAATTAACTATTTACTGTATGGTTATCAGATTTTAGTGAGATAGTTGAAATCATGAGTCAATTGAAGCTAGACCACCATGATAAACCTAGAACCACTGCTTGACGGCCGTTTCGTCCTATTGTGGGACTCCTTGTCATTGCTCATCGACGACCTCGCCTCGCGAGATTCGAACCCAGGACCTATCATTCTCGCACCAGAGCACTTAACCTCTAGACCACTGAGCCGGTATCCGATGGTGTTAATGTCTAACTACATTCGATTGTCTCAACTCGTGCTCTTGTTCACTACAATATTACCTTGTTTACAAGCTTGAATCAAGTTGGAAAAGCAAGTTATTTCCTTGTATAGAAATTTTTGTCTTAACTTATGTTACTTAACAACCTTAGTAGTTTACCAACGTTTTACTGATAAATGATGCTTTTTGTTTAATTTTATGATACAGTAACATAAAGGAAATTCTGTATTCAATTATAATAAAGCAAAATGACATTTGATATAAAGACAATAGAAAGGAAATATATATATATAGAAACAGTCATTTGTTTTATTAAACAAACAGTATACCATTTGATTGCAATGTTCTAATTCACTTTGATCTGAATTGGATAGTTTCTCATCGACTTGATATGATAAACTTTGAATCGTATGTAAATGATGATCACGTGTCTTATACGTTGGTAAGCCAGATAAATTCAATGGATCGTTTTCATTGTAATCACTCTAAAATAAATGAGGTAAAGTTGGTGATAATATAATATGAGGTAAGTTACTTGTAAAAAAAAGTGATTTAAATTAAACACCTATGACAAGCTTTTTGAGCTAACCTGGGAAATTTGTTGACAATGTATAATCCTTATTCGTTTTCCTAGTGATTCATCAAACAATATTGTTTGGTATCAAAAGGGGGTTTTGTGGAGATTTCGATAATTTTATAGTTGAAACCATGAGTCAATTGAAGCTAGACCACCATGAAAAACCTGGAAGCATTGGACGGCCGTTTCGTCCTATCATGGGACTCCTCAGCAGTGCGCATCCAAGATCCCGCTTTGCGAGATTCGAACCCAGGAACTATCAGTCTCACCGGCTCAGTGATCTATCAATTAAACGCTCGCGCACCTCAACAAAAGTAGGTCTCAATATAAACAAAGGTAAAAGAAAGACTCTCCGATACCACACAGCATGCACCAACCGAATTACACTTGACGAAGGAGCTTTGGAGGATGTGAAAACCTATACATATCTGGGCAGAATCATTGATGAACATGGTGGATCTGATGCAGATGTAAGGGTGCGTATTGGAAAAGCAAAAGCAGCATATATACAACAATTGTCAACCAACACCAAAGTCAGAATTTTCAATACAAATGAACTACGAAAGCTATCATCCAGAAGATACAGGTGTTTATTAACAGTTGTCTACGCAAGGTACTTCGAACCCGTCGACCAGACACTATCAGCAACATTCTACTGTGGTAGAGAACAAACCAGATTCCATCCAGCGGATGAAGAACTCCGGAAGAAGTGCTGGAAGTGGATAGGATACACATTGAGGAAGGCACCCAACTGCATCGCAAGGCAAGCCCTCACATGGAATCCTGAAGGCCAAATGGAAAGGGGAAGACCAAAGAACACATTACGCCTATAAATGGAGACAGACATGAGAAGAATGAGCAAAGTTTGGATAGAATTAGAAAGAAAGGCTAAGGACAGAGTGGGTTGTAGAATGCTAAGTAAGTAAGCACGGAAGATGTACTAAAAATAAAAAGGTGTACACATCAATAAAATAAACATAAAATACATTCAGTAATATAACTCACATGACGACCTAACCAACGTTCACAGATTTCTGTGGAATGACTAAGTGGTTTTGCACAGTTACTTTTTCGCATCACATTACTATAAGATGGTTCAACATTACGAATAGTATCTCTTGGCCATGCTTCCATAGAATTCTCTCTGTTCTGATCACAGAACCCAGTGTCTTAATAAATACAAAGGACAATTGGGACATTTAATTTATTGTATAAGTACACAAATACTGTAAATATTTGCTCAATTAAGGCCAATCTAATGATATCTCATGGAATATACAGCTTTATTTTTAAGGGGAAATATTTTCCTATATATTTATACTATGTCTGGTGATAAGGTGAACTTATGTTGATCACCTATAGCATTAATACACTCGGAGACTTCTAAAATATCTGATAACTTAAAACCAGTCGAGTAAACAACAGAAAAAATACCGACTGGCTTTTATTTCCCAAACTCCGCTTGTAGTTCCTCCGGGGGCTACTGCCGGTCTGAAGCCCAGGTAAAGGAAGAGAGTTGGGTATGGGGTTAGCGACCCCATCCCGTAGAAAACCAACTCGCTAAAAAAAACGCTAACCAGAAAAAGTTAAATCTGGTCGTAGGCCTATGCTCCATTGGAAGTAACAGGCGTAAGTAAGGTTTTATTTCCCAGTTCGACTATATTACTTATTAAGGATTGATTGAAAAATTAATAGTTTTACAAACTGTTAACTAAGTAACTATACATTGTCTAAAAACAACTGAGTTTGAGTAATAACCTTTCCAAGTTTTACTTTGTAATGTTGAGTTGTAATGAAAAAGCTATCCTGGGGTCCTGAATAAAAATTTGCCAATCTCTCTTGGTGGTAGAATTATACAATATACGGAGTCAGAATAAGTTACGTAAACTATGCTTCAGTATTGGACTTATTGAAAAGTATAAACTGGATGGACCTTATTACGAAGAGTTTGTTTATATTAGAAAACAGTCGTTCTACTCATTAGGAGATGGATCTTTCCTTTGCACTTCATTTAATGGTAGAAACAACAGTATGGGAATAACTTGTAACTACAAATATTGTCTAGAATATTTCCAGGGTAAAGTAAACTATGTAAATAAAGAAACATCTACAAAATAAACTATAAAAACTATATTCCGTCTATCTAAAACTTACTTCATCATTTGTAGCATAAATTACGTAACACAGAAAATTGGCCAAAACAAAACTACAGCACAATGCTTAAGTGCGCGCATGGACACACGAATACATCTAGGCACCATCAATTGCATTAGAACGCGCGCACACACACAAACAAGCAAGCGAAGCAACTAAGACTGTCAACCTATTCAATACTTACTATAACCATTTGTATGTTGCAGCATTAAGGCTAAAACATTTGTATACTCACTACTTTGATGAGTGGCTTGTACAATATGATCAGATTGTATATTGAAAATCATTTCATTTGATTGATTCTGAATAGTTCTATCAAAATGATAACCATTTGATTTTGCCGACGTTAGCTTAGCTAATTCCAAATGATCATTTGTATCATAATTTTTGTTTAAAATTTGTGAATCAATAGTCAATTTTTTATTTAGAAATTCTTTATTTAAATTTGGTAAAGTTTCATTGAATACAGCCATTGTTTCCATATTTAATGCACAAACACCACGCATTAATGCTGTTTTTAATGCAGCTTGTTCATTGGTTTGTTTAGCTTTCATTGATTCTAATTCACATTGACTAAGTTTTAAATCAGCCTCTAGCTAAGTGTTTTTAAAGCAGAAATACAAAGAAATTAATTAGTATATGATGTGAACCCCGAAACAAGAAGCTTTAACAAACTACGGAAGCTGTTTTTCGGGGAACGTTAATTCATTTAATTCAAAGCTTGTAAAACTGTAACATTTACTTTTGCCCCTAGTCTATTCTATAGATCATGAGCTTTTGTTTGATGTATAATTCACTGATATAGCATTTTCTGTTGCAAAGCTATTGTAATTTAGACGTAACTTTTTGTACTCTATTTCTATTGTAATCCCCCAGTTTTGGACATAATTGTATTTTCCTAATTATTGCACGTTGTGGTCAGGTTATTCATCTATTTATTCATGAATTGGCAATTCGAGTGCTAGATTGGGATTGAAATAAAGTGTTTAGTGTTCCAGTTGTCCTTGTCTTCTATCTCTCGCGTGCTTGCCAGCCAATCAGGGATAGGATAGTTTTCATCTCACTATCCCCATTTCGAACTCAAGGTGAAGCCAGTCAGCCTATAGCGTCAAGGTCTTAATCTACATTAGACAAGTTATACTCGGCACTAATGTGGGTAGACAGATTCAAGGACGTAACAGTATATTTTTAAAACAAATATAATCTCTAATTGTCAATATTTATAATAACGGATCTATCAAGTTAGTTGTTTTTATTTTAATAATAGATAGCTACCTTAGAATTATTGTAAATATGATCTTTATAAATATTACTGTTCAGAGAATGGTCATTTAGACTATATCCTATTATTGGATAATCACAACTGTAGACCATGTATCCTTAAATGCCTTGGTAAGGCCAAGAGTGGAGAGAGTCCGCTCTTCCTCTCGAAATACTCTCATATGGCCATGTGTATAAAGCCTCTGACAGGAAAGTCCTACTCACTGCCTTCTCACAGCGGCATTACTATTGTTTACGAAATTGAGAAGACGAAAAGCCAATGTCCGGGGCTTTAACCGGGTTGGTGGACACAGAAAGTTCACCTAGGGGAGTTGGAAAACCCTGATTCCAAACAAATGGTGCACATGAGCTCCAGTATCCTGACGGAACAAATGACATATGAATCAACCGTTGGTCACCACCTACCATTGGACTGCATCTCCTTACGATGCTCCACTGCCTTGTGGATCAGATCTTTAGGTCAAAGTCTCCGGACGTGGCCCCCTAAGAAAACTACCGGCTTCGGTTTGGGCAACCGGGCAGTATCACAGCGTTCACACAAATCAAATGAGATTTTTGTGGCGCATATATACCTGGTGCTTCCTTGTACCAATATTTATGTGTTCAAATAAATAAGTAAATAAATAAATCGCAAACAAAAACTTATATCCACATGCAATCAATGTATACCGATCAAACTCTTTAATAATTGTAAATGTAAAGTCATCTACAGCAACCGAAATGTATACGAAGATGCCACATAATTAATGAGTATGCTCTAATCAACAGTGTAATAATGAATTTATAAAAAAGAAAAACAACATTAGATAGATTGTATTATTGTCAATTGAACATTGACAGTTGTTCAATTATATAAAACTCAAAAGGAAACTAGTATAAATCAATAAGAGAGATGAGTTAATGAATCTCTATTGTTTCCGTCTTAAATATAGTTATTGTTATACCCTAGTGAAGATATAAGTACAGGTAACTTCCGGGACTTATTAATGGACTATTATTCTATATATATATATTATTGATGTCCAACTATTGAGTAATTGGATTGTGAATATACATATACTCATCTTATTACAAGCTTCATCTTGACTAATGGATTGTTATTATACGAATTACTGTTCCTTAATTATATTCAGTTTATTGATTATTATATCCTACGTTCACAGCCACATTTGGCTTGATCTTGTACAAATATTATTTTCTATTTCATGATGTGATGCGGTCTGTCTGTCTGGTATATAAACCGAGTATGCTTGAAATAAATAATTCGTATAGCAGAAGCTGCAATTGGTCTTCTGGACTCAATTAGAAGGGCTAGGTGGACAATGGACCAATAAAGACGCTAGACTACTGATACTGGTCGAACGTCATTGATTTGTCTCAGTGTTAAGATCGGGAAAGTCATATTTCGATTAGTGAATAAATCACGTCATAACGAATTGGATACGTTCTTTCTCTCTATATAAAGTCATAACAGTTATGGTTTAATGAAATGAAAACCATCAAGTTTACTAGTATAAACTAAATAAGATTATAGATCTATTCATTATTTACTTGAAGAATTTTTTGATTTAATTCTTGTTTAATTTTTATACATTCAGATTGAGCTTCTAATGTAAGTCGACGGAAATTTCTTTGTTTCCATGAATATTCCATAAATTGTTTCCATCCAATAATTGCTTGTTTTAAAATAGTTTGTTTATAATAACGATCAGCAAGTTTAATACAAAATGACTAGATTATGAAGTAGAAAGAGAAATCAACATGGACAGGATGATAGTTTTTATTCTATTTAATCAAGATATAAAATGTTATAGTTGAAATCATTAGTCAATTGAATCTAGAACATTATGGAAAACCTGGAACCACTGCTTGACTGCCTTTTCGTCCTATTGCGGGACTCCTCAGCAGTGCGCATTCACGATCCCGCATCACGAGATTCGAACCTAGGATTTATCAGTCTCACGCGCGAGCGTTTAACCACTAGACCACTGAGCCTGCCGACACCCAAAGATGTTAATGTATAACTTCAACCAATCCACGAAATTGAGCAACCGATCACCAATTGTCTTCAGTCAGTTGACATCTAACAACAGACGTGGCTTCAACTCCACTGGTCACTGCTTCTCACTAGAACTCCACGAAATATCTCTTCAATTCAGTCATTGGTGAGCATTTGATAATGATCATATAAAATGTTGTTCGCTATCATATTTTCAAATACTTGAATAAATTATCAATTTAAATATATCAAAATACGTCAATGTTTTTTCTAGCATTTCACTAAAGTCCTTTTTTTTGAAAAATTGACTATAAAGGTTAATTTCATTGGGTATAGTTTACTTGTATCTTCTTACTGTTCTTTAGGACTTAAGTTGATCAGTCTCTTATTGATATATGTGCATCCTGTGCGGATTGCCTCGAAATTGCCTTAAGTCACAAGTTTCATAAGTAAATATGGATGGTGGCTAGCAGTGGAGTCCCAAATAGAATGAAACGCTCGTCGTGGATTCTGTTGCTAGCTAGCATTCATATTTGCTTATAAAGACTATGAATTTTGTTTGTTTTTTTCATAAAACAACATAGAGAATGAAAATACATTTTGTAGACTGTTACGCCTGGCCGATTGTGAACGCTATATTCGCTTCCCTAATCTAGTCCCGTACCACGGAGCTAGAACTATACACTGACTTGAAGACCAGAGAAAAGGCAAAAAGTGTGAGGGAAGCACTTTACTACAGGGTTCATTTATGTACAGAAAATATGGGGATTTTATAGTAATTTAAGAGTCCTTGAGTTTTACTGAAAATTATAGAACACTGCTAAACATAGTAGCAGTGTACAAATCAGCCAATCAGGATCTCCACATGTGACTTTTCCATTTTCATTATTTTAGTAATATAACTTCTAAATAATCACTGATTAATTGAAATGCTCCTTGATGACCCCTGAGCTTGTTATGTCGCTTGGGAGAAAAATGCAGGGTCATCCCAACATAGACAATAATTCAAATATCTGAATAGAGCCTTCGTATGATATGGCATTTGTGACAATCTTGATTATTAACAAAACTAGATAAAATTAAATTACTAATAACATAAAAATTCTCGCGATGCGGGATCGTGGATGAGCACAGCTGAGGAGTCCCATAATACGGCGAAACGGCTGTCCAGTGCTTACAGGTTTTCCATGGTTGTCTAGCTTCAACTAACTCATGATCTCAACTATATAAAAAATTAATAAAATCTTCACAAAACCCCCTTTTGTTAATGTCTCAGTTAAAAAAAATATTATTCAATATGAATTAGCACACGTTAGCAATATGTTAAAAATGTGACAATAAATTTTATCAAGAAATAATGTCATCTAAACCTGGTACGACTAGATAACTGATTTGTGCTTATTCAAAAAGATCCAACAGAGAGAACTTATGATCCTTTTTAGGGTTTAAATGATCGATCTTCAGGTTTTCAGAATAGAACGATATCCCTAAACCTTTCAACTGTAGTCAGTCAATGATACATTAGGGTCTTCATTAAGAAATATGTGAGAGAGTACGATAATAGTTAAAGCCATTTGTGCAGTTTTTTCAAAGTTTTGGTTAAATGTCAGGAGATTATTTTTATATAGTCAATATAATTTCCTTATTAATTCTTAGCTTTCTCGTTCATGTGTCATTATAAACTCGATTATAGGAGACATACATATTGATATTTTATCGAAAGACTGTCTAACATAACATTCATAAAATGTCATCGATTAATCCCTTCTTTGACTAATGAACAAAGAATTCGTTGTAACAGTGGACCTAACACAATGTATTTTAACACATTCAATTTACTGGATCTAGGAATTCACGGAATGTATAATGACCAAGATGACTATTTCCTATCACTTTACACTTTAATTCTGAAATCTTATTAACATGCTTTAAGCTTTACCACTGATTAAGTTTATGTCAGTAGTCATAAGTTTAGATTTAAGAAAATCTCATCTTGAAGTGCCAATACAAAATTTAAAGCAAAGAAGTGAGATACATAATATGTCTATTTTCTTTTGTTCCATTCTATCATCTCATAGTTCAGGATTCTTTTATAGAATTCGAAATACTTTTTCTAAACAAACAAATAAAATGATAAATTCACTTAGTATTGTTTGATTGAATCTTCCCATTGACGTTTAGGACTGCAATTGATCAGTCCCTTATTGGCCATATGTGCATACTGTGCATATTGCCTCGATATAGCTTCAATTCACAAGCATTATAAGCAAAGATGGATAGTGGCTAGCAGTGGAATCCAGGACGCGCGTTTCGTTCTATTTGGGGTCTGTCAGCTGGAATGTACCTGCATATCAGAGTTGATGTTCACTCTGGGACTCGAACCCAGTATCGTTCGCTTAAACGCAGGTACATCCAACTGACGAGTCCCAAATAGGACGGAACGCACGTGCTGGATTCAACTGCTAGCCACTATCCATCTTTGCTTATAAATAAAATAATATATATTGAGTATAAGATGTCTTAGAAATAGCTAACTGACATTTTAGTACAAGACTTTCAAATGGAAATCAAACATATATTTTGAGTCAAATCAAAATATCAACTTCTAATGAAACATTTTGAATATGATAAACTCAAAATCAAAATATATACTGTTGTCGTTGTTATCAATTAAATTATTTATATTTATTTATTTAAACACATAAATATTGGTACAATGAAGCACCAGATAAATATGCGCCGCACAAATCTCATTCGATTTGTGTGAGGGCTGTGATACTGCCCAGGTGCCCAGACTGAAGCAGGTGGTTTTCTTAGGGGGTCACACCCCGAGCCTTTGACCTGAATGTCTGATCCACAAGGCAGTGGAGCATCGTGAGGAGATGCAGTCCCATGGTTGCCGTTGACCAATGACAGGTTCGTCCGCCATTCGTTCCATCAGGATACTGGAGCCCATGTGCACCATTGGTTTGGAATCAGGGTTTTCCAACTCCCCTAGGTGGACCCTCCGTGTCCACCAATCCTGTTAAAGCGCCGGACATTCGCTTTTCGTCCTCTCACTTTCGTAAACAACGCCCCCGCCACGAGAAGGCAGTGAGTAGGACTTCCCTGGCAGAGGCTATATATTCGCTGGCCATATGAGAGTATTTCGAGAGGGAGAGGTGACTCTCCCCACTCTCGGCCGTACCAGGGCATTCGGGGGTTATCAATTAAATTAGAAGACAATAGATGAAATCTTACTTGAAATGTTGTTGCTCATGTGAATATACTCATACGAGTTAACAAGAAGCGAACACTAATGCTCAGCAACAACAAATAACAACCAACAATCGATTAAACTACTTTGAATATAAAATGTTTTTGTTGTATTTAGAGCTTTGGTTCTTACTATGCCGCGTACTTCTAGACTATTTGAACGATCGAACCCGCAACATCGCAAAAGAGAAGACAGAAGATTAGTAAGTAGGAAGTTATTCCCCAAAACAGTGTCAAAATATAGTACAGAAATCTCATGTATTTATAGTTTTTGACTGAGAGTAAATCATCATTTCAGACAACCAATAGGCCCATAGGGGTCATTCTTATCCATCCAATGGGGAAGCTACACGTCGACATTCTAAAATATTCCCCCTAACAGTGATTGGATGGAATGTCTGCGGCTCTTTCTGGGTTTCTTAAGGCTTCCTAGAGTTTACCAACTAGCCGTCCTTACAGTTTCATTACATAATAAGGTTGTAATTTAATTACACCGCGAGATTAAAGCGGATATGAAAAGGATGAATGTTAACTGGAAAGAACTGGAAAGGATTACCCCGGGGCAGAGTTGGATGGAAAATGCTGGTAAGCGGCCTATGCTCCTCCACGAGGAGTAACAGACGTAAGTAAGTAAAATTACAAAAAAAATTGTGAAATCATACTTACTTTTCTTTTAGTATTTTCCTTTTTCAAATTTATTTCCATTTGAATTTTTAATTTATTAATATTATTTGTTAAATCACAGATCATTTGTTCTTTACGTGCTATTGTACCTTCATGATTACGTGCAAGATCTCTTAAACTAATCACTTGTTCATGAAGTTTAATCATATCAGTTTTTATACTGAAAATTAATAATAATAAGTTTTATTTAATTTATTAGTTTTTTTTAAAAAAAGTTGCTATTTAGAAAACAATTCACCATATATATCACAAGGGGTTTTGTGCAGATTTCAGTATTTCTCATAATTGAAATCCTGATTCAATTGAAGCTAGAACACCATCGAAGACCCGGAAGCACTGGACGACCGTTTCGTCCTATTGTGGCACTCCTCAGAAGGATTAATACAGATCCCGCCTCACGAGATTCGAACCCAGGACCTACCAGTCTTGCGCACGAGCGCTTAACCATTAGACCACTGACCCGGCCGGTATCCAACGGTGTTAAGGTCTAACTTCAACCAATCCACGGACTTTAGCAACCATTTCACCAATTGCTTTCAGTGAGTTGATATCTCACAACAGACTTTGATGAACTCCACTGGTCACTGTTTCTCACTAGAAATCCAGGAAATATCTCTTACTGGTCTAGTTTCAATCGACTCATCATTCCAACTATGAAAATAGTGGAATCTCCATAAAACCCCTTCTGATAATAATCATATGCTCACTAGTGACTGAATTCAAGGCATATATATATCTATTATTGCACATTTGTATTCAAAAATTTTGTTTTCTTATCATGCACATAATTTTTAAGTTGACATATTCTGGTTGATAGATTTTAAATGATTGAATGAATCAAGATATTACTTTGTGATATGTACTACTTATGTCGACGTGAGTAGTATATAACGCTAGTCAGTGATAGAATGTCTGACAGCAGGTTGAGAAGGAAAGAACGGGAACAGAAAGCGATTAGAGTGAAAAATCAGAAACAACGAAGTCTGAGATGATTGGTTGACATTTGCAAATTAACATTCAAGTTTGAGACAATTGATTGATATTTTACAAATTAAGTAGTTACCGTATCATTCTCAGATTTTACTAAGAAATTCTGTAGTTTTGTGATTAAATACATTTGATTGCCCCCGACTTATTTTCTCGTTCACTACAACTCCACATATAAATAAAATGATCTTACAATATTAATTTGGGAATGATGTATTACTTTACCTGAACCAAATAAGCTAATGTTTTTACCAAAATATAAGATATTCTATTAGTCAAAAGCTTTACTTTATTTTCATAGTTGAAATGCTGAGTCAATTGAAGGTAAAACACCATGGAAAATGTGCAAGCACTGCTTGACGGCCGTTTCTTCCTATCGCGGGACTCCTCACCAGTGCGCATCCATAATCCCGGATCGTGAGATTCGAACCCAAAACCTATCAGTCTTGCGCGCAATCGCTTAACCTCTAGACCGCTGAGCCGGCCAGCATCCAGCGGTGTTAATGTCTAACTTTAACCAATCGGCGAAGTTGAGCAACCATTTCCCAATGTCTTCAATGAGTTTGTTTGTCAATTTACTTATTTTTGTCACTTGCCTGGCAATTAGGCTATTATATTATTTTTAACCACAATTTTTCTATGCATTTGATTCGATCTCTTTCTTTGATATTTTCCTCTTTAAAATATTAAAAATTCCCATATTTTAAATTAGAACAAATTATATGGGCATCAAAAAAAAACATCGTTTTCAATTACATCTTCATCAGGCTTTATTTTAAGTCTTGACTTACTTCCTATATTGGGAACTATTGTTATTTTTATCATTATTAGTGTTGTATGGTCTACTTATATCCTTATAAGTAGTATATAGTGATGGTCAAGCATAGAATGTATTTTAGCAGAAGATAGATAAGGAAAGAATAAGAACCAAGCGCTATGGGTATGAAAATGCATGAACAATGAAATCAAAGAAGATGGACCGATATTTGAAGAAGGAAAAGTTAAGATTGAAACAATTGATTGTTATTTTGTAAATTAACTGTTTACTACTGTATGGTTATCAGATTTTAGTGAGATAGTTTGTAATTTGTGCTTAAATACACTCGACTGTCCTCAGTCGTGTTCTTGTTCACAACGCTAGCACACTTGTTATCATACTATTAGTTAATACCTTTCACTTATTATATTTACTTATATAATACATTTTATTGGTATCATTGACTGATAAGTATCATGAATTCGTTTCATATCTTAATATATATGTGCGAATATTTTTATATATTAAACTAAAACCTGATGAAGATTTGGATGAAAACAATGTCTTTCGACTAATATTTGATTTATCGTTGTTTGTTACAGTTATGTAAAACAAGGAAAGGTATCTATGACACAGCTATTTATAACATAAAACATTGAAAAACAGTTTAATTGTATTACCGTTTCAATTCAGCTGAGAAAAGATTTTTTACAGATGACATAATTTCTTCCTGAACTGTTTGATAATGAGCCTGTAAACAGTAAAAGAAGGTTTTGTAAATTCATATGTCTGTCAGAATCTGATTTCATATATATATATTTAAAGAGAGGGAGACTAAGTTTAACCTCAAAGTTACAAATATTATCTCTACCTAAAATAAAAGACAACTATTTAAAATCATGAGTCAATTGATGCTAGACTACCATGGAAAACCTGGAAGCATTGGACGGCCGTTTCGTCCTATTATGGGACTCCTCAGCAGTGCGCATCCACGATCCCACACTCGCGAGATTCGAACCCAGGACCTATCAGTCTCGCGCCAGAGCACTTAACCGATAGACTACTGAACCGGCCGGCATCCGATGGTTTTAATGTCTAACGTCAGCTGATCCACGAAGTTGATCAACCGTTCACCAATTTTCTTCAGTGAGTTGATATCTCTACAACAGACATGGTTGAACTCCACTGGTCACTGCTTCCTACTAGAACTCATGGAAACATCCCTTACAGTCAGTCACTGTGCTTCCAGGTTTTCCATGGTGATTTAGCTTCAATTGACTGATGATTTCAACTATGAAAATACTGAAATATCAACAAAACCCCTTCTGAACTATATAAAATCCAACAAAATATACACCTCGTGTTTTCTAGAGAAATAAACAACTGTAAATCCGCATGAAATGCAAATAATACACACCACATATGTTTTAAACTGACTACTGATAAAACCTCAACCGAACTAAAGAAGTCGTAAAACGATATAGTTTAGGGATGGAATAGGAAATACCTTGATAGCAAAAGTCACTTCAAATGAAAAAAGTTCTAGGGCATTCAGGAAATCCAATAATGAATATTTTGATATGATATACTATATACATGAAGTATTTGTTACATTTTTAAAAGTACACTTTTTATTCATTTGTCTATTTTATCGAAATGTAAGTATGCTTCGTTGTATTCAGAGCGATTCAGACATAGTCGTATTTGTAGTGTTGAAAGTCAATTTTTTATGGTTTCCCAATTAATTTGAACAATATTTAAAGCGTTACCTAGTAAAACTGCAAATATTTAGTACGGTATATACTATCTAAGCTCACGATATTCATGCAAATTAGTACATTTATAAGCAACATAGAAATACACTTAGTATTGTTTGTTTGAATCTTCCCATTGATGTTTTTTAGGACTGCAACTGGTCAGTCTCTAATTGGCATATGTGCTCACTGTGCGTATTGCGTCGATATAGCCTTAATTCACAATCATGGTAAGCAAAGATGGATAGTGGCTAGCAGTGGAATCCAGAACGCACGTTTGAAACGAAAGGTACTGGGTTCAAGTCACAGGGTGAACATCAACTCTGAGATGCAGGTACATCCAGCTGACGAGTCCCAAATAGGACAAAAACGCGCTTTCTGGACTCCACTGCTAACCCATATCCATCTTTGCTTAACATAGAAATAGTTACTTGTTATTTACTCATTTCAAAGGTAATCAAATAGAAACTCTGTTTTATATCAAACTACAACAAACTGGTTTTTTATGCGTTTATATTTAAACTTAAGACATTTTGCAGATTGAATTAACTAGGTTTTTCAAATGTACAAGTGCACTTACCGAAAAGTTACTAAAATATCAAATCGGAATAATAAAACTTCTGAGAAATAGAAAATGTTATATCCTAATGAAGACATAAGTACAGGTAACTTCCGGGATCTATTAGTTGACTATCATTCTATACATATTCCTATTGTGTAACTATTCAGTGGTTAGATTGTATGTATCTATATTCATATTATTTTAAGCTTCATTTCGACCTACAGATCGCTATTATACTATTTACTGTTCACAAGTTATGTTCTGTTTATTAATTACCGTCTCCTACGTTCACAGCCACATTTGGCTTGATCTTTTACAAATATTATTTTGTATTTCATGGTGTGATGCGGTCTGTCTGTCTGGTATATAAACCAAATCACATAGCAGAAGCTGTAATTAATGTTCTGGACTCAATTGGAAGGGCTAAGTGGATAAAGGACTAATAAGGACGCTAGGCTGCTTATAGCGGTCGAACGTTATTGGCTTAACAAAGTACTGAGATTGGATAAATCGTATTTCGATTGGTGAATAAATCACGGGATAAAAAGTCCGGCATAAAATTGAAGTCAACCCATGTTTATGACTACGAAGTCTGCATAAGATATGCACTCTATCTATAAACCGGGAGTGATATTTTCTCTAAGTGAAGAATAAGAAAATATTATACCTGATATAATATAAAAAATCATTTACACCTTAGTTTGAGATGACAAGCTGATAAACGGAAAGATGTTTCGTAAAACTAATACATGACGTAGCGAATTATAAAAATCATAAGAGAAAATTAAGTCATTCGGTATAAAATAGTTGTGTTTATATAACAATTTCTAGTAATCACAGCTTTAAAATAACTGTACAAAAATATAATAAGATCAAACTATAAAACTATTGGCAAAATAGCTTTTTGTAGGCTTTCATTAGCTTAGTGATTATATAAAAATGAGAATCGTGGAACTAAGTAAGTTAAAATGCTTCTGTTAGTAGTTACTGAACCGTTTTGTCACTGATATGACAAAGTTAGGTGAAGCTATGTACAAAGATTTTCCATATTTTGTAAAACCTGAAAAATATGCGGAATATCTTACTAACACCAAAAACCTGTGCCACTGATACAACTTTGAAGGTTTGCCACGTTCTAAATACTTATCTAAAACCATTTCAAAGAATATTCGTTTATGTATCGTAAACTAACATATATATTGTTATAAACGTAAGTATGCCGTCGCCAATTGTTATAAACGTAGAGAGAGAGAGGATGCTGGTTATAACTTTAGAGGTTTCTTGTTATAACAGTCCTTTCACTTGTTACACGTATGTGGGACGCTAATTTACCTTAGACGAATATCTACACTAGATTCCCACCCAGTGTCTATTCTACAGGACTTCAACAGAACTCAGATCAAGAACACGAGATTAGCCTGACAATAACGTCAATATATTTCCACACCAAAATCCGACACAAAGAACAGTCAATCAATAAGTGTCCATCAACAAGGAACAGTCAATACATAATAAGGATAGGGGAATATATATATAACACATAACACCTGTCATCCTATCTAATGTCTGACTCATCAAGACAACCAATCACTGTCATTCTCGCCCACACATCACATATAAAAAATTAACATGCATCTATGTTTATCGAAAAAAGAATGGATTGAGAGCCCTTAAAATAGGGCATATGTTTATATTATAAAACTTACTAGCGAAACAAGACTATAAAATCACAGAACATTTTGAAATAAATTTTAAAAATTAAAAAAGCTGCGGAAGACAATCAAGTTTTGAACGCTAAATTACTTGATATTCAAGGAATTGTGATGAGAGGGTGTAACTGCTGATTTTTCTGATTTTAAATCTTATCGCCAAAGATTTTCAGTTATCAGCTTCTATTGCGGATAACTTCTGGTACATTTAGATCTGGCTGTCTGAAAAGTTACTAACTCAGTCATTTTAAAGACCGTTATAGATCTGGGTAATGGAATGATTATGTATAAAACCCTTCACTCTTCACAACCAGCATAAGGTTTACAAATTTGTAAGCAAGTGTATTCACTACTCAAACATGTAACCCTAGACTTTACAATACATATTTAGCAGACGTTCTGAATACGAACAGCAATATGAAAACATTTGTAATCATCAAGTCTTTCTACGGTAGCCTAGCTACACAAAAAAATGGTAGGTGTTCTACTCCTTAATTATAAATATCAAAGCGATCAGACAACATGATAAGAGAAACTCAATTATCACTATTGATATACAACCAATCATTCTACATAGATAAAATGTAATGTTACATAGTTATTTAAGATGTAGTGTTAGTGTATAATACGTCATCAATATTATTACTTTCATAATTGTAAACTGATGATCATACTGGTAACGACTGACATTGAATCTATTAAATGAATGGATTATCTGAGAAACTACAACCACTGTAATGAGAACTGAACTTTATAAGCAACATTTAGTTTTGTATTTCCCTTAAATTGCGATCGGTAACTACCTGAACAGTAAACGTTTGTACGTTTTAGCTCTTTCGAAATTGGTTTTATTATCATAGAACCACTGGAAAAGAATTTTGACTTAAAGTTCCATAAGTGTACGGAATTGATTATTAAAAGAACTGAAGCGAAGTTTCAGCTTCGCAAAAGTATTGCCACCAAGGAGCTGATTCGGGACATTTAGTAACAGTACCACAGAAAGCTATAATCACAATGTTTTGTTTCATTATCATCTACGGTTATCGTATTAATCAATTCTTATAAACTAAATTTTACAAAACTTCAAATCCTATGAAAATTAGCCGTAGACATCTTTCCATTTACCTTAAACATATTTTAACCCCACTTCTTATCTAGTTCCATCTCATAATAAATATCACTAACATGTAAACAAAGTAGTGAATTATTTCATAATTCATTAGTTAAAGGCTTCCCCGAATAAGATAATTAGTTTGTAGTTTCAACAACTAAAATCAGCCTTCATGCTTAGTTGAAAAAATAACTCACAGTTAAATTTTCTTTAAGTTTTGATGCGGCATGATCATAAATTATATTTATATCACTTAGTTTAGTGTTAGAAAAGAGATTTTCGTGTTTTATCTTGTCAAGATCAATCAGTTCATGGGAATAATCGCATATTCCTGTCGTACACTGTTTGGAATGTAAATACGTCGAATCAAGACGTCCATTAGATTCACCGCTAATTTGCGTCTCATCATTCTGCGGTGTTTTATTTCTGCTACTACTATCGAATTCTGTAAACCATGGAGAAAAATCAGTGAAAATAAACAGCACCTTATAAAAACACAATGAAAATAATAATGAATGATTAATTGCTATTTCTTTTGTGTAATATAAGACGTTTGTGATCATTTCAGACTTCTCAACCAAACACCGCATTTGTAGTCCGTGTTGAGTTATTTTCCAAGTGAAACTTTCTTGTTGTTAACATTACTACTGTACATATAAAACTAAAAGATATGTATTATGTGAACAGCAGTAGTCCAAACTGTTTGAAGTTCATAATCTGATACTGATATGCACTCTACAACTAATTTGACCATTTAATGTTTTGGTAATCATCTATCGCCAGCGACTTTGTATTTTACTCTGCCTCTCAATGACAAATTAACAAATCTCCCTGAAGGGACGAGATAAATACGTATAAACAATATAAATGGTCATTAATTCTACTTGTTCGAGCACTGTAAAAAGTAAGTACATTTTAAAACATTGGGATTTAACCACTAACTGATTGTCTAAGCTTAAAATTGGTTCGTCTTCGACATTTGACTTTCACTTTGTTAGTTTCAATGATATTGACAACCTGAACTTACATAGTTCAAGTTTATACACTATTGTCAGTGTACTTGCCTTAAACGCTAGACTTTTCCTCCACTCTAAGTGGCTAGTTAAGCAGTTTTCCTGTCTCTTACATTTGCAATAGTTTGAGTGAACAATTTTATTTTGACTTCTATTTTTATTTTTCATAAACAATCCACTAGTCGTATACATGTTATCAAGGCAAAACGCTCAGAAAACCATATTATTAATGTCGCCAGATTCATCTATATATCGTAACTGGTAGCTAATATTCTGTACAAAACGAAAACAACAAGACTTGTGCTCCAACATCACCTACTATTTTCATATAGCCAATACAAATAACACCTGAATATTTACACCACACATATTTTCTCTATCTACCCATTAACTTCTCCCATATATAGATTCCTACCTTCCGCATCCAATCAAAATTATTATTCTTATCGAAAAAATGCATCGGATCACTTTTTTGGGACTCGTTTACATTGGATAGAGTTGGTATCTCACCCGGTTTTTGTGATATTCCTGACAAAAAATCGCTTGCGAACAGCTGTTGTTTTCCAAAACATTCATTTTACCTTGATATATATATATATATATATATATATATATAGGATTTTGTTACAATAGGGCCGTCGAATTATTAAGAGCTTATAGCTAATCGTAGACAAATAACAACTTATTCAAAGTTAAAACACCAGCACTTCGTACTGCTATATACAAATTTAAGTGACTTGTATAACTTATTAAGCATCTGATTATCTTAACAGAGATATATGAAAATGAAATGTTCTTACGGGATCATCAGATGATATAAAGTTATAAGATAATGCAAGGATCTTGATTTCTTGGAAACTTTTTTTAAAAGTTCTAGAGAAAGACAGTGGCCAGCAACTTACCTCGATGATATTCGTTTGTGTTTGATGAGTCATTTGAGTATGAGAAAGTATCATTTATTTCAGAACCGCGACCTTCAGATAACATCAGGAATTTCAAATGTGCGATTGTTTGTGTTTACATAATGATAATGCGCAAAACAACTCCTGAAAATTCATTTCAAACTTAAGAAAAAAACGTTCATATCTGTTTTGAATAGTGTGATTTTATGTCAAAAATTTATTAATACATAGTAATACTGAAATCTTGCATTTAAATCTTAAAATATTTCTCAACCTCCTTGTTTTCATGCCATGAGACATCTGCAAGCCTTCCACAACGCTTACTGTCACTCCCTTACAACTGACCATATATTGGTCAGTACTTCTTGTCACTCTTAGTACAGATCAAACTCTATCCATGGAGCTAGAGATTGATCACCAATCTAAGTGACGTGTTGTCAGGTTTTCTACGTTGAGATGTGAGGTATTTGGAGGTGATCAACAGAAATCCATAAGTCCGGTTATCGAGTTGTTTCTCTATTCATCAGCAAAGTGTAGATGTAAGCTTAAAGGGAGTGCGAGGTTGCTTTATACAGAACAGGATCCACTTGAGAGCATCAGTTCCCTAAAAATCGCAGTTGCATCTTGTTGACGAGTACCATATAGCACGAAGGTTAAACTAGTGTTTCCTGTTTTCAACTTCCTACGACCAGGGGGGACGTATTTCGAAACATAATTAAATATGACAGGCGATTAGAAGTGAATTAATTTTTCAGAAGGATAAGGGGGTATATTCAAGTACAACAAATACCTGGATATAGCTTTCGTTGGTACAAAATGAACAGCCTTTTCCACTTTCTCCAAGGTTCGGATGGTTTAGATCTCGATCGTGTTTTTTCATTTCCATGATCGTATCTAAAGAAGTCCTTTTCCAGGTATCTATGGTCAGACGCTTCTAAAATAAAAGTCGGGCACATAAATTAGTGTGAATATTTCAGTATTCAAAAACTATTATTGTGTAATTTTCTACTGAAAATGATAGCATCGACACCCGTTTAATGTTACAAACAAATTAATCCAAGCCAACTTCACTATATCTTGTGTGGTCACATTAGACGTCCCATGGTTATCATAAACAGCTAAATTACATTAAGCCCAAATAATGTGCATTGGTCTTGAAAGAGGGTTGGGTAATAAACAAAAGTCGCATAACATGAAGATGATATAAGGTAGATTTTATAGCTCATATTAATTAAAGATCAATGAGGTAGAGATTTACTTATATTTTTACGATGTCATGGTGCTCTCGAAAATAACTTTGAAGTCCATAACTTATTGTCAAGTATTCCAGTGATGTTTTATGTGTAAATATATTTTTATGTATTTTGTGTTGTATTAGGTTTGTCAGGTGATTAAAGATAACATTGATGATGAGGTCGGTAATGGTGGACACAGGAACGCCATTCAGGCGTGCTCATCCCATGTAATCTATTGTTGTTGTATTGAATGTACTGCTCTCTACCCGTTCCAAAATGTGTTTTTTTAGAAGTGTTTGACGTTGCTGGCTTCCACACTAGGGCAAGTCAGTGTAGACAATGATGGAACTCCCACGGTCCTACCTTGAAGTCCACCATGTAGTTGTGCTCCCTATGTGGAAAACAGATCCAAACCATTTAGACAAAGTACAGAGATAGACAATGAAGTGAATAATAGGCCTAAAACATAACTTTTATGGGGAGGGATCCCAGCAACCGTGGTTATTCGCTTAGAGCTACAGAAGAATACGAGGTGATATGATAATGACATGCAACAAGTAAGTCAAGCCGAACATATTACCAAAATATCGTCACCATGTTCCTCCAGGAAACTCTCGAACGATTGCACATCGAAAAGTAAGCACCAAGATACGCTCCCGAATTTTCTGACCAAGAGTTTCCATCATTTGGAATTCATTCTGAGCCGAAATAACCACAGCCCTATCATAGAATATCTTTGAGAGGAGCCTTGATATACACGAACTCATCTGTAGTGTCGGCTGACATGTTATACCCATATAGCTTGTACTAACATCCGTACAAAAAAATTTATTCATTCTTCTTAAATCATATTTTGACCTTATCAGTTATTCGCCTATCAACGATGACCGTTTTTATATGAGCGTATATGTGTACATCGATTTTCTTACTCATCATCTGCCTGTAACCGATTTTCGCCCGACTATAAATATCGATTCACGCTTAGTTAATTTGACGTGGCTCACACGCCTTCTCCACTGTACATTATTTCGCTTCTCTCTCTTACATTCGCTTCATGCCTCTGCTTGTCTGTCTAGTTCAACGAGCAAACAAAATATATGTAATTAAAAATTCATTCTCGTATTTGACTTATTTAATTCCGTTATTCACTAACGCGGATTAAGTTGATGATTATGTGTGAGGATAGAAGGCGTGTGTATTTCAATAACAATCAATCATACGATCTACCTGAAGTCAGATCCCGCGTCACTAAACATCTTTGGATCACTATCTCCCTCTTAGATCAGCTGTATTTGATGAATGTTTCAAAAAGTACCACGGTTATCATTACAGTATATCAGTTACCCTTTATTTTCATCTTCGTTTCCACTCTTATTCTTTCAATTCCTTCTTCTCATACTGCTTGCATTACAAGTAAACTAACTTAGTCATTCTTGAAACAATGGTCTTCTCTTAGCACTCGAATGATATTTTCATTATCTTCACATTGCCACCAACCAACCTACTGTCTGGTAATGTGGTAGCTGCTGATATTCAGGATTCCTACTGTTCAGAGACAAAACCATTCATTCACACTACAAGACATACAAATCCATAAACTACTACCACGATGACAAGAACTAGTTTAGTCGAGTAGCCATAATACCACTCACAAAACATAGTAACATACTCTGAATCATGCCTAAATAATAAGAAGTGAGCACAAAGAAATCAAGAAGCTTGGACAATTGGGTATAAAACCCCCTTTGATTGATTGGCTCTCTTCATACTTAGAAAACCGACACTTTGAGGTCAGGGTTAACTTCACTCTCTCTCAGGCTATGGAATGTCCTAGTGGGGTCCCTCAGGGCTCAATACTATGACCTCTTCTCTTCTTGATTTATATTAACGATCTTCCTCAACAAGTTTCATCTAACTTATTGCTTTCTGCTGATGATGTGAAACTTTGGAGAGAGATACGTAGTCATAATGATATACTAGTTCTTCAGGAGGATCTGACCCGACTTCAAAGTTGGGCAGACGACAACGGACTTACCTTCAACACTTCAAAGTGCAAGGTAGTCCATCTGAGACATGTTGCAGACTATAGTCATAACTTAGGTAACTCCTCTCTAGAAGTTTCCCAAGTTGAAAAAGATTTAGGAGTGTTGGTACCCTACGACCTGAAACCGTAAGCGAACTGTGACAAAAACGCCTCTCATGCAAACCTTGCACTGGTAACATTGAAGCGCATTTTTGGCCAGTTTGACGGTAGAACCTTCCATAAAATCTTTAACAGTTTTATTCGTCCCCACTTAGAGTACGGAAACATAGTATTTCCTCCCTCCCTCCAAAAGGATAAGGACACTCTGGAACGCATACAATGTCGAGCCACGAAATCAGTTCGGGGACTCAAAGTCAAACCTTATGAAGAGCGCCTCAAATCACTTAACCTTTACCAGTTAGAGTACAGGCGTCTTAGAGGTGATCTTCTTATGACTTATAGTATCCTTAATACTTCTGGTCATCCCCTTAAGCATCTTTTTAAGGTTAGTCATAACACTAACCTGAGAGGTAACACCCAGAAATTAGAGACCCTACATAGCAGAACAGACTGCAGACACAACTTCTACTCCGTTAGAGTTGTCAAGTGCTGGAATTCGCTGCCGACTGAGCTAGTCCAAGCGACCTCCCAGGAGTCCTTTAAGAGAAAACTTGACTTATTCTTAAGGACTAAGGATAACATATTATTATGATTTACCAAATTCTTTTTCCCCTCTATTATCGTTCATATACCTAGGTTCTTGCCTTGAGGTATTGGTGATCCACTGCTACCAGACACGGAAGTCCGTTAAGCGAAAGCTTCTTCTATTCCGTCCTCAACCATTTGAACCATTTGAATTGGTTGGTACAAGCTCACGACAAAGTTACTGAGTGTAAGAAAAGCTGAAGGCGGACTGTTCAAATTGTCAAGGTTGTAATTCACTTACTTTATGCCTTTGCTCAGTAAATCGTTAGCTGTTGTAATTCAAGTTTAGTAAAAACACTACCTAGTAGACCTTTAGTTATTACTCAATCTGTTTGCTGGGAATGGGTCACATTTCTAGTCTGTCAAACGATCACTAGTACTTTCATTAAATTAAATTGTATGTATTTGACGATTTCCTCAACTCACCGTTTTATGACAGCTATTTGAATAGTAAAAGTATGATGGGTTTGCAACTTAGTCCTGGCACTCCTCATTTTAATTGTCAAACTGTCTTAGTTGCACATTACCACTGATAGTGATTTTTTCGATTACGTAGTTTATATATCCAATTTAAGTTCATTCTGTTTATTCACGGAGTCATCAGCTAACTTTTTCTCCTTTCTTTTTTAGCTCCTACCTACGCACACTTCCCTGTGTTTTTCTTCAGTGTCTAAAGTGCCTTCAGGCTAGACGTGAACCACTACTGAAGTAGTGCACACTTCTGGTCATACTATTCCCCAATATTACAGTGAATTTCATGATGTAAGTGTCAAAACATATGTTCGTAAGTGTTGAGGATGTCCTGAAGTCGCTCAATATTCTTATTAAAGCTTTTTTGTCGATCTCCAACTTAGGCTTCCATATTCTTATTTTACAAAGTAGTATATGAATTACAAATTGATCTACCTACTTAATTTAGTATGTTTAAGTGTTAAGAGTAAGAGGTTTAAGAACCGTGTGTTGATCTTCAGGGTGTGTTGATTTAGTTCAGATACTCATGGAGTGATTTAAATAGGGACTTATCACATTCTTAGGGCCAGGCGTTCTTGTTGTTTGCTCGATAGTCAGCTGGAATATAACAGTTTCTGGCAATATGAACTCGTCTAGTTACACCATGACACATATGATTATCTGAAGGGCAAGAAAATAGGGGCATATATTTAAAATCATTTAAATATTTTGAAAGGTACAGCCAAATATTCACCAACATTTATATGTATTTGAGCAATCTTAGCATTATACGACCACTTACATATCAACTTTGTAATATTTTAAGTAGCTCACATATTTATTTAAGCAAGTGTTAGTTGCTTGTATCAAATCTTCCCGTTGTAAGTGATGAAGTAAAATGTATAGTATTCTAAGCGCTTGACCATCTTATTGGCGGAACACCCTCCATGTCTCCCAGTCTAACGCTTTACACCCAACTTCAGACAGTTTACTGCATCAGAGGGGGGTTTGTGGAGAATTTAGTACTTTCACAGTTGAAATCATGAGTCAGTTAAAGCTAGACCACCATCGAAACTCTGGAAGCACTGGACGGCGGTTTCGTTCACCTGTACACATCAAAACTGGTGACATAATAAAGCGAAGGGAGTCATATATGTACAACCAAGGCATTGATCTGAAGACTAATAAGGTACTTCATTTAGCACCAGTTTTTTCTAAGTAGCTTGGAGATTACCAGTCATTTCTCTAGCCTCTCCGGCTATCTATTTTTACGTCCTTAGGAGTAAACGATTGTTATTTAGTTTACATAGCACCCTGCTTTGTCAGTCAGTCAGTCAGCTACAACGTAGGACCAGGCACATTTATGCATCGGTCCAAGTTGCCATACCTCGTTAGCACAACAAGATGAACACCGGGTTCATAGAAGTAATTAATTTAGTGGTGGTAGTAGTATATAAATCATAGGTTGTATATAAGGATATAGTACAGGAAGGAGGAGAGATATGAAGCAATTTTAGTCTCAAGGTTTAAAGGAAGATAAAGAGTGTATACACCTACGCCATTGTGATCGATTCTGAGCCATGTCACCTAGAGTCTCCAACCATTGGTTACGATAATCACGCGGACCCCAACCAGGTAGTCTGCATCTGCCAACATGGCTCAGACTAGAAGTTAGTGACTTCAAACACTGATGCCATGTTTTGGTTTGGCCGCCCCTAACTGTCTTCCAACCATCCCCAATACTGGTCATCATAGCGCGTCGTGGTAATCGGTGTTCAGGCATACGTAACACATGGCCCAACCATCTCAGTCGATGAAGATTCATCACCTCATCAACTCACCTCATCAACTGATTTACCATCGTTCCCTAATACCCTGTGTCTAACCTCACTATTACTTACCCGGTGATCCAAGCGGATGCGAGCAATATTTCTAAGGCATCTGTGGTCAAATACTAGTAACCTACGAGTATCTTCTACTCTTAATGGCCATGTTTCACAACCGTAAAGTAGAACAGAGCGAACTGCTTCGCAGTATACTCGTCCTTTAATTGATAGACGGATATCTCGTCTTCGCCATAGGTGACGTAAGTTGGCAAAAGCCAAACGAGCTTTTCGAATCCGTGCTGAGATTTTGTCAGACACCAACCCATTAGGGCTGATCAGACTTCCAAGATAAGTGAAGTTGTCAACGCGTTCGACTACTTCACTCCCTATCCTTAGTTCAGGTGTTGATGCAGGCCAGTCCTGGAGTAACAATTTACATTTGGATGGGGAGAATTGCATCCCAAACATCCTGGCATTATTACTGAGTTCCAACAAAATACTCTGCATTTTGCCAGCGTCTCCACCAAACAGGACTATGTCATCTGCGTATTCTAAGTCGCTTAGTGGTCCCCCTGGTAGGAGATCAATTCCTGTAAATTCAGTCGAAGAGAGTGTTATTTCCAGCAACAGGTCTATAATGAAGTTAAACAAAAATGGGGATAGTGGACAGCCTTGTCGGACACCACTTGAGGTTGTAAAATCATATGACAGTTCGCCATAAGCTCTCACTCGACTGGTAGTGTTCGAGTAAAGAGCCTTCACAAGGTTTATGTACTTCTCAGGTACACCTTTCAATGACAGACACTGCCACAGAACCTCTCGGTCTACAGAGTCAAATGCTGCTTTCAAGTCAAGAAAAACTATCATTGTCGGACGCCGATAAGCGTGTCTGTGCTCTAAAACTTGACGAATGGTGAATATGTGGTCGATACAGCCACGACCAGGTCTGAAGCCAGCCTGATTTTCTCGTGTTTGCAGTTCACGAGTCTTGGTTAGGCGCCCGATAATTATTGAGGCTAGTATTTTAGATGCTATGTTGGTCAGACTAATCCCTCTATGGTTATCGCAGGATGATTTTGACCCCTTTTTATATATTGGGACAATCAGTGATTGTGACCAGTCGGATGGGATTACATCCGTCTCCCAGATTTTAGCCAGAATATTAGTCAACCTAATCGCTAAAATCGGACCACCATATTTAAAGACTTCTGGAGCCAATCCATCTGGACCAGCTGCTCTTCCTCGTTTCAGATTACCTATAGCCTTTTGAACTTCAAGTAGGGTCGGGGGGCCTACTTCAATGTTCCATTCAGGTTTTCTAGGAATAGTGGGTAGTTGTGCAGTAGCTGAAGGCCAGCTAAACTGCTCCTTAAAGTGTTCCGCCCATCGTTCTAAACGTTTGAGTTGAGAGCAGATAAGGGTTCCGTCTTTTTCCGAGATTGTCTCACTTACACTTGACTTCTTAATTCCGGTTTCTTTTATTAGTCTGAATAGTTGCCTGGTGTTCCCTACAGCCGCTGCCTTTTCCATCTCTTTTGCTTTCGTTGCCCACCACTGCTCACGATCGTTCCTTAGACTTTTGGTTAACCTAGAACTGATTTGTTTACGCTCTTCGTCGTGTTCAGAGCCTGATGGGATGAGTTTACGAGAATCCATCAGTGAAATAGACTTAGAAGAAATCCATTGGTTTTTTGGAGCCCTATGGTTTAAATGACTAATAGATGTTACTGCTGTTTCCACAGCTGTTCGTATGTCTTTCCAAGCAGCATCTGTGTCAGTCTTGTTTACAGAACTGCCTAGATGTGAACTCAGTTGTTTCTGGAATTCGCGTTTGGCTTTCTCGTCCTCCAGTTCAATCCTAATGGGTCTTCTTAGTGTACTTTTCCTGCGTCCATTGAGGCGCAGACAAATGCGTGCTCGTATTAAAGCGTGATCAGAGTCTAAACAAGTATTCCAATACGAGCGACAATCTTCTATTGAGCCTCTCCAACGATGACTGATGACAATATGGTCTATTTGAGTCCATCGTTGGTTTGGTGCAGGTGGTCGCCATGTTAGACGATGTCTCTCCTTATGTTTAAAATTAGTGCTTGCTAAAAATAAACGATTGTCTGAGCATAGTTGCAACAGACGATCACCATTATCGGTTCGTTGAGCCGGAATACTAAAACACCCACCTAAATGTCTTTCTGTTTGATTCAAGCTGCCTACCTGGGCATTAAAGTCACCTTCTATGAGTACTATGTCTGAGCGCTTAGCTTTCTGAAAAAGCTCAAAGAGCTTTCTGTAAAAGTCATCTTTCATTTCATCATGGCTGCAGTCGGTGGGAGTGTAGCCAGAAACGACGAAAAGGCAACGACGTGTGTCCCTATCCTTCCGAGTTCTTACGGAGCCATTCAGTCGGACAGCACACAGGCGACTGTTAACGGGAATCCATTCTAATAGTGCCTGTTCTGCCCTTGTACTTAGTGCTATACCTACACCTGCAAGTCCGCGAGAACTAGCCAACGGGTCGCCAGATACACGGAGGGTGTATTTCGTTGGCTGTCCATTTTGTCGAGGTGAGGTCAAGTGAATGACCACACTGGGATCCTGTATGCGTGTTTCGGAGACACAGCATACATCAATGGTACGAGATTCTAGGGTTTTAGCTAAGGAGGCCTGTTGACCGATTTGGCATAGGGTACGTACGTTGAAGGCTCCAATGTGCAGTTTGGAGCGAGGTTTAAGTAGACCTGGGACAGCGTTTTGCGCACTAGAATCGTTGGCCATGGTGACACTTGAGGAGGAAACCGGAACAGGAAGTTTAGTGTTGAAAGTCAAGGTAGAAGGAATAGTAGGAATTGAAGGAGATTGATTATGAATACGGTGGTCTTGAGTGCTGTTAGAGGTATGAGGGCAGTTATCACTTCCCGGTTGCCCACACCGTGGAAGGGTTCTCCTGGGGGTACCTGAAAAGGAAATTGGGTTAGAAGTGGTCTTAATGACCTGAGAGCGTGACCGCAGTGCCCAAGGGACAACTGCTTGAGGTCGGTCACACACGACCTTTTTGTGGGTAGTTTTTGTGTTAGCTCCGTTCTTCAAAAAAAAACCTTACCGCCGGAGACGGATATCCGTGGGATAAGGCGAGGTGTGCATTTTTAGGGTCGACCTTTTCTAACCCCACCCCTCCTTGTGGGAAGGCAGCATCGCTGTCATGCTGGTTGTCTGAAGGAAACACCTTACTGCTTTCACACCTCTGTACAGTCGACAGTACGACTTCGCCTTCGGACCTTGGGTTTGCTGCTTTTAGTCTCACCGCTCTTCAACCGACCTGTCTGGCATGGTAGGACCTTGAGGAACGATTGTTCCAGCCAGCATAGCCCGATTGCTTCATCACGATAGGCAAGCCCGACCACCACGTCAAGGTAGCAGCAACGGTCGGGACCCTGCTTTGTGAAACCTCATCGACGATTTTCTTGAAGCCAATGAATGCCATAGTGATATGTAGCCTATGACCTTTCAGAATACATTTTTCGTATCATAAAAGTTACCAAGATAGTAATACCGTTTCATAAACCCGCCATACATTTCGATAGGCGTGAAGTTTTCTTTAAAATATTCGTGGCTTGTTAATGATCTGAAGAATGTTGACTGCTACACTAGTTAAACTTGTAGTAATAATTTCCAGGATAATATCATGAGCCAACATAAAAGCTTTAATATTCTCGAGTTAGTTGGTTGGACTGTAAGGGCTTCATATATCGGGAGATAGTTTTATAGCTATTCATGTGTATTTTCTTAATAGTTCATTGTAAATAGGAACAACCAACTTCAACTCTAATATGCTTAGTAGCTAACCATAGATATTCACTAAAATTTAGCACTGTGACATTTTTTCATTCACTCAGAAGATTTGACACATGACACTTGTAAACACTTCTTGACTCTGTTGTTTCTGAGTAATCGTAGTGTCTATAGGTATGTCCGAGACAATATCAATCCAATTTCTTTTGCTTTTCTTGTGTTCAGAAATTACTTTTGAGGCTTTTTCTGGTCATTTTCTAACCTTCAACAATTTTAGTTTCTCATCGATTGACATACTTTGGGAATATTTCGACTTCTGACCACACATCTAAATTTTAATGTCGGAAGAAGTTGCAGAAGACAAACGATTGATTTCAGAGGCAGCTTCGTGCTACAGACGTAAAGATTTTGAACAATGCCTTTCTATTATGGAGAAACTGAAAATCCGAAAGCCGAATGATACAAAAGTAAGTTCAACCCCTTTCTCAACATAAAATAAATAATAATAATGAAGTCGAGACTTGCACACAGTATTTTTCTTCGTAAAAGCGCTACAAAATATTAGGAAGATAAAGTAATAATAATACACAGAAGCGACCTTAATTAAAATGACTTTCAATAAAGGACGAAAAAAGAAGACATTCATTTTAACCAGAATAATAAGCAAAAGTACAACAGTACACTAAAACAGTAATATACCTGCTTATTTTCAATGAAAATACTGTCATATAACCTAAAAACCATGATGATGAAGTGTCATATATATCATATATTTTTAATTTTATAACTGGGTTACGCAATGGTGGTTCGATTTATCTTCTGTGTAGGAATAATGCAATGTTAAACGAGGAACAACTTCACACTGGCTGACTTAGTTCATTAATAAAAATCCAGGATGCTTAAAGTAAATAAAATATCCTGTAATTATGGCCGAATAAATAGAAGAGATTAAGAACCAAAATGAGTTAATGGACTAAATAAAATTGGAAGAAGAATGTTTCCGGCTTTATACCAAATGCGTCCAATATTGTGGTTAGTTTGATAATCCCCATCCTACTGTTAGTTGAAATGATTTGTGGGATACTAGTCAGGTGGACCAACAGAAAGAGGCCGTTCTAAAGTGTTTCTCTGTAGAGCAGTAAGAAAATGCTTGAATTTCCATTCTATGGTTGGAATTTATTCTAAGTTTCTATTTTCTTGATTTACATTTATCCTAACTTAAGTTATTTCTGTCAAATATTTTGTACTATCAAACCTTTTGGGGTTTGCAAATGAGACCTCTGTGATGAATAGTATGTATTTTAGTGGTGACTGAAATAGCGGAGTAGGCTACTTCCACATTTATTTATTTATTTAAACACATATATATTGGTACAAAAGGGCACCAGGTACATATGCGCCACACAAAATAATGAAAGTAGGAAGAGAAGGGATGAAAAGATAAGGCGGGCTGAAATGTACAACCAGAAGACTCTTTCAGTTAGGAAAGTTAGAACCATTCTTTATGTAGAAAGTAAAAGAAGGTTGCAGCAGGATCGCCACTGGCTTCTATTCTGAGCCATATCTGATAACGTCTCTAGCCACTGTGTTGCACTATCTCTCGGACCCCAACCAGGGAGTCGTGAAGGACCAACGGAAGCTAGCCCTTTGCAGCTCTCTTTCATGCCACGACACCATGTCATACACTGACCTTTTCTCCGCTTTTTCCAACCAGTCCCAGGGTCGGCAAATAATGCACGACGTGGAAGTCTCTGGGATGACATTCGTAAAACATGTCCAAGTCACCGAAGTCGGTGTTTCAAGATGGTGACACCAATTGAATTATCGTCTCTGTGCCCGAACACACGATGCCGAACCTCTGCATTACTAACATGGTGTTGCCACTGTATGTCAGCAATCCTTCGGAGACAACGATGATCGAACACAGGGAGTCGTCTGACATCCTCAACTCGGAGAGGCCAGGTTTCACAAGCATAGAGCAAAACTGCTCTCACCGACGCGCTGTACATCCGACCTTTTACAGCCAGACTAACATCACGAAGGCGCCAAAGATGGCCCAGATTGGCATAAGCCGCTCTGGCTTTCATTATACGTGCATCAATCTCATCACTCACGCCACCACCAGCATTTATGTAGCTACCTGGATACACGAACTTCTCAACTACTTCAATATGCTCACCATCCAGGGTGAGTACAGGATGAGAATCCTGCCAGTCTTGTAGGAGTACTTTGCACTTGGGGGGTGCCGTACCTGCGGACACTGATTGCCAACTGATTAAGTGCTGATTGCATGCCTTGGGCATTATCGCACAGTAAGACAATATCATCCGCATACTCAAGGTCGAGAAGTCGTTCTCCAGGCAACATATCCACACCGCCATTACTTACATCCATCAGAGCTGTTTCCAGGATGTCGTCGATGGCAAAGTTGAAGAGGAATGGTGAGATCGAGCAACCCTGCCTAACCTCGCTGCTTGAATGGAACAAGGGAGAAAGGTGGTTGTATGCCCTCACTCTGCCTGAGGTGTTCGTATACAGGGCCTTCAAGATGTTAATGAACTTCTCAGGCACACCCTTCTTCAATAGACAATCCCAGAGAACAGTCCTGTCAAACGAATCGAAGGCCGCCCTGATATCAAGAAACACTACGATTGTTGGCCTGCGATAAGTATGACGGTGTTCTAACATTTGGCGGAGGGTGAAGATGTGATCAATGCATCCTCGACCAGAACGAAAACCAGCCTGCTCCTCGCGAGTCAATCGTTCTCGGGTTTTAAACAACCTACGAAGAATGATAGAAGCCAATAGTTTGGACGCAATCGGAAGTAGACTTATCCCCCGGTAGTTATTGCAGGAACAACGTGAACCCTTTTTAAAGATAGGAACGACTATTGACTCATTCCATGATGTTTGAACACCTTCTTCCTCCCAAACCTTTGCAAACAATGCAGTCAGTTCCTTAGCCAGAAAGTCACCACCATCTTTAAAAAGAGCCGGAGGTAAGTCATCTGGGCCAGGTGATTTATAACGTTTCAAGAGTTGGAGTTCCTTGAGGACTTCCGCCTCGTTTGGTGGATCAGTCGTCACCTGCCATGAGGGGCAGGACAAACTGGTTGATGTTGCCGGAGCAGCAGGCCAGTTGAACTGCCCTTCGAAGAATTCCGCCCATCGTCCAAGACGTCGAGAGATGTTAGTGATTGACATCCCGTCATCCTCGTAGATTGTTTCACTCACACCAGACTTCTTGCTGCCAGTGGCTCGGATGAGTTGGAAGAGCTTCCAGCAGTTACCAGATGCAGCTGCTGCTTCCATCTCATTAGCACGCTCCGACCACCAGGCTTCCCGGTCCTTACGCAAGCTTTGCCCGATTTCATTACGTAACAGCCTTCGTTTGTGGTTGCAGCCAGTTTACTAATATCAATCCGTTGGTGGTGGTCAATCCTTCGGCCACTGAAAAGTAAGGTGAGATTGGCGCAGACCAGGGCATGATCAGACTCCAGATAGGTACTCCAAAAGGAGCGGCAGTCTTGTACACAACCACGCCAGCGGTAGCTGATCGCGATGTGATCAATCTGAGTCCAGGCTTGGGATGCAGAGGGAGGACGCCAGGTGGCACACCGGCGATGACTGTGCCGGAAGTTAGTGCTGGCCAGAAACAGGTTGTGGTCTGTGCACAGTTGCAGCAAACGGTCCCCGTTATCTGTCCGGCGACCAACAAGTCCCCATCGGCCACCTAGACGACTCTCTTCTGTGCCTAGACGCCCGACCTGTGCATTCAAGTCTCCGGCTAGTACTACAATATCTGTCGAACGCGCTTTCTGGAGAAGAACTGTTAACTGATGGTAAAACTCATCCTTGATTGCATCCGGGCTGCAATCTGTCGGGGCATAGGCGGAGATGACGAAAAGACACCGTTTCTCACGCCGATTTCTTCTCACTTTGATGGAACTTTCTAATCTAACAGCACATAACCGACTGTTAATGGGGATCCAATCGATTAGTGCTGCCTCAGCTCTAGCGCTTAGTGCGACACCAACGCCAGCAAGACCAGACGAAGATGCCACAGGGTCCCCGGATAAGCGCATTCGTTCCATCAGGATACTGGAGCCTATGTGCACCATTGGTTTGGAATCAGGGTTTTCCAACTCCCCTAGGTGGACCCTCCGTGTCCACCAATCCGATTATAGCGCCGGACATTCGCTTTTCGTCCTCTCACTTTCGTAAACAATACCCCCGCCACGAGAAGGCAGTGAGTAGGACTTTTAATCATTTAATCATACAAGATGTTTGGTGTTTCATAAATAGGCTCATCAGAATTTCATTTTTTAGTTGTGGTGTACACCCGTTTTATTTATCATATAGTCTGGCGATTAAATGTTTAGTCTAGTCAGTTTACAGTTATGTTCATTAGTTCCATATCTTACACTTCTTACTTGGACATAATCGTACATTATTGTTTTCTTCGTCATAGGTAAAAATAAATAAGGCACTATTATCATATGCATATACGTCACGTTATTCTCAGAGTGAACAATATATTTCTGATCTGAAAAGAATTGCAGCTGTTGAAGGAATGAATCTTGATGACTATATTAATAAAACGGTCCTAAGTAGACATAATTCAGACCGTTCAGACGAACCTCATACTTCTAAAGATCTGTTGTCGAATACTTCACCTCAGTTTGTATCGAGATCTTCTGTTATGATAAACTTGCTGTACAACTACGCTGTTGTATTATTTTATCAACATCAGTATGCTCAAGCTGAAGAACTTCTTGCTAACTGCCTTGGTATCCCATCAAACTTGGAATCCACATGTAGTAAGACATTACACCTAAATGCGACTCAATTAAACTTTCAGTCTCCTACATACGTTGATCAATTTCCTTCTACTCTGATACAAACGATAGACCTTACACTATCAAACGATACTGACTTATGTCGACGTATTGTGCTTCTTTGGTTGGAAGTTTCTTTGAGATTGTTTCTGATGGAGCGTGTCTTTGAAATTTGTGGTAAGTGGTAGGATGAATATATATATATATATATATATATATATATATATATATATATATATATATATATATTACTATGACGTTTTATATCTATGATGCGCTTATTTAATAGTCCTGTGTGACATGAAGATGACGTGTTGGATTTCATTCTCTAGTTCTATACCTTAATTTTATGGCTGGTTTTATGACCTTATGCAGCACTGTTAGTTGGTGTCAGTACGCTTATTTTAACTTTAACTTTCAACATTTTGGTGTTCGTATATATATTTCTAACTTTATCCACTCGAACCCTTCTGTCTTCCCAGAAGTAATTGATGGATTTTAGTGCGATTATGTCACGATACTTTACTTTTTGCTTCATACTACTAAGCGTGAATTTCACTTATCAGTTTGTTACTGGTTTGAATTTTGTTTTATAGACTTTTGTTTAAACAGATAAATGCTATATAAAGTCTTTAGTTAGTCGCTGAGTTACACCAATTAGCTTTCTGTATACTGGAATTTATCCCGACGTTGCTGCTACCATGACGTGGTGGTCCGGCTTGCCCATCGTGATGAACCAATCGATCTATACTGGCTGGAGCGATCGTTCCTCAAGGTCCTACCATGCCAGATGGGTTGGTTGAAGAGCGGTGAGACTAAAAGCAGCAAACCCAAGGTCCGAAGGCGAATTCGTACTGCTGACTGTACAGAGGTGTGACTGCAGTAAGGTGTTTTCTTCAGACAACTGGCATAACGACGATGCTTCCTTCCCACAAGGAGGGGTGGGGTTAGAAAAGGTCGGCCCTAAAAATGCACACCTTGCCTTATCTCACGGATTTCTGTCTCCGGCGGTAAGGTCCCAACAAGTACGGAGCCAACACAAAAATTACTTACAAAAAGGTTGTGTGTGACCGACCTCAAGCAGTTGTCCCTTGGGCACTGCGATCACGCTCTCAGACCATTAAGACCACTCCTAATCCAGTTTCCTTTTCAGGTACCTCGAGAAAAACCCTTCCACAGTGTGGGCAACCGAGAAGTGATAACTGCCCTCATACCTCTAACAGCACTCAAGATCACTGTATTCATAGTCAATTTCTTTCAATTTCTATTATCCCTCCCACCTCGACCTTCAGCACTAAACTTCCTCTTTTGGCTTCCTCCTCAAGTGTCACCATGGCCAATGATTCTAGGGTGCGAAACACTGTCCCAGGTCTACTAAAACCTCGCTCCAAACTACACATTGGAGCCTTCAACGTACGTACCCCAAGTCAAATCGGTCAACAGGCCTCCTTAGCTAAGACCCTAGAATCTCGTACGATTGATGTATGCTGTGTCTCCGAAACGCGAATATAGGATTCTAATGTGGTAATTCACTTGACTTCACCTCGACAAAATGGACAGCCAACGAAATACACCCTCCATGTATTTGGCGACCCCATGACTAGTTCTCGTGGACTTGCAGTTGTAGGCATAGCACTTAGTACAAGCACTACTAGAATGGATCCCCGTTAACAGTCGCCTGTGTGCTGTCCGGCTAAATGGCTCCGTCAGAACACGGAGGGACAGGGACACACGTCGTTGCTTACGCTCCCACTGACTGCATCCCGGATGAAGTGAAAGATGACCTTTACAGAAAAGTCTGTGAACTTCTTCAAAAGCTACGCGCTCAGACATAGTACTCGTAGCGGGTGACTTTAATGCCCAGGTAGGCAGCTTGAATCAAACAGAAAGACATTTAGGTGGGTGTTTTAGTATTCCGGCTCAACGGACCGATAATGGTGATCGTCTGTTGCAACTATGCTCAGACAATCGTTTATTTTTAGCAAGCACTAATTTTAAACATAAGGAGAGACATCGTCTAACATGGCGACCACCTGCACCAAACCAACGATGGACTCAAATAGACCATATTGTCATCAGTCATCGTTGGAGAGGCTCAATAGAAGATTGTCGCTCATACTGGAATACACGTTTAGACTATGATCACGCTTTAATGCGAGCACGCATTTGTTTGCGCCTCACTGGACGCAGGAAAAGTACACTAAGAAGACCCATTAGGATTGAACTGGAGGACGAGAAAGCCAAACGCGAATTCCAGAAACAACTGAGTTCACATCTAGGCAGTTCTGTAAACGAGACTGACCCAGATGCTGCTTGGAAAGATATACGAATATCTGTGGAAACAGCAGTAACATCTATTAGTAATTTAAACCATAGGGTTCAAAAAGCCCAATCGACTTCTTCTAGGTGTATTTCACTGATGGATTCTCGTAAACTCATCCCATCAGGCTCTGAACACGACGAAGAGCGTAAACAAATCAGTTCTAGGTTAACCAAAAGTCTAAGGAACGATCGTGAGTTAGGGGGGAGAGCAACGAAAGCAAAAGAGATGGAAAAGGCAGCGGCTATTTACGTATATATATATATATCGTCACTTCTAAAAAGATTAAGAATTTTGTTCTCTGTAAAGTTGATGCTCTTTTTGTTAATTAAACGTATTGTTTATAACTAGACATAATGATCACATATTGTGGTATATTGATATTCAAATTTCGTCTTTATAGACTACTGGATTTTATGTCTTAATACGGCATCAGTGATGTCAGAAACAGCCAGCTTGTCATCGAATCCGCAGCCACTAACTTCATCTGAAAATACCAGCTGTCATTCACATAATCTCAGTAGTAATGCTTTGTCTGTGTTAATTGGAATTCAAAAACCAATACAACTTTACTACATTCGAGCATGTTTACTAACAGGACGTTTAAATGAAGCTGAATCAGAATTAAATATATTCTTATCAGAAAGTTATTCGATATCAAATAACAACTCCCTTCAAAAGAATACTGATTTAGAAGAAAATTCCCCGGAAGTCAAAATTACGCCTGACGATGAGGGTACAAATTGCATAGAAGCGAAAAAACTAGAAAATACCACACATCCAGTTTCTGAAAGTGACACTGATCATTGTTCTAATATTGTGTGGTCTACTGGAAATTCTGTGTATTTCCTTCAAGCTCAGCTAGCTTTTCTGAAGGTTTGTTACATTTTTAATTCATTTTTTTCTGTACTAATACTAGTGTTTAATAATTTAAATATCTATAATACAACCATATTATCTTTTTGTAGCACTTTTGCTGTTAAATATGACCGCCTATCAATATCAGGTAATGTATCACCAAACTTCAAGGAACCCACGATAATATGTTTTGGCCCATCAGCTGTCAAACCTCTCGACATCCTTTCGAATTAGAATACTCATGTTTGTTCCTAAGTTACCGTCAAACCACTGAATAAGAGATATTTATAAATTTAGTCGACCATCGTAAAACACGACAATAGCAAGAAGAATTTGTTTATTGTGAGAAGTTACAAAGTACTCATATAATGCATTACACATCGCCTTCAATCTTCTGCATCTTTAGGTGTGTTCTGCCAATGTCGTGCTTTCAATGCACTGGAACTCTTCACCCCGTCTGACAGTTGTAGCAACTTAAACGTCTCATTCCACTACATTCATGTGAGTAGCATCCACTACTCCATATGACCTGTCAACTATGCCGCTTGTGTGACTGCTATTCGTGCCGCTCGACAATATTAGCATTGAATAATATCAATCTTTCTTTTTGCTGGGATAATAGTTCACCTAAATGATATGTTGATTTCATTATCTGTTCTATGATATATCACTGAGTATATAAATAGTATAAAAATAGACTGAAGATCTAAATGTCCCCGGTTCGATCCCGGGTTCCGGTAGGCGACTGGCTTTCAGTTCGCCTACAAATGCCCTGGTACGGTCGAGAGTGAGGAGAGTCCGCTCTCTCTCTCCAAATGCTATCACATGGCTTCACGTATATAGCCTCTGCCACGCAAGTCCTACTCACTGCCTTCTCGTGGCATTACTGTTGTTTACGAAATTGAGAGGACGAAAAGCGAATGCCCGGCGCTTTAACCGGGTTGGTGGACACGGAGAGTCCACCTTAGGGGAGTTTGAAAACCCTAATTCCAAACCAATAGTTCACATGGGATCCAGTATTCTGAGGGAACAAATGGCGTATTAATCAATTGTCGGTCACTGGCTACCATGGGACTGTATCTCCTTGCGATGCTCCACTGCCTTGTGGATCAGACCTTTAGGTCAAAGGCTTCGGGTGTGGCCTCCTAAGAAAATCACCTTAGCAGTATCACAACCCTCACACAAATTAAATAAGATTTGTGTGGCGCATATGTATCTGATGCCTCCTTCTACCATAAAATTATAAATATACTTAGTACTAATTATAAAATAATTTCACTTGTTACAGTTAAATTGCTTAAATTTATTTGGCTTCACTATTTGTTACATTGTTCAACAATTTCTATTTGCCTATTTTGTTGATGACTGATAAATTTAATGGTCTGTAATGATTAGGGTTTTTTTATTATTCTAATCACTTTCTCCTATATATATATAAATAACTGCCATTATCATTATGATTAATATCCTGTCCATTGATGATATGCATCATTTTCACAATATGCACGACTGATTTCTTTGAAATTTGTCTAAAAAAGAAAGATTTATTCTTCACGGCGCAACTTAGAAAAGTATACACAAATATCTTTTTTTGAAATTGGCTTCATTGATAGTTACCTTTTTTTTAAAGTGTAGTGACAAGCTGGATAGAATTTCTCCCTCTAAATTTCAACTTATCGTCGTTTGGCATATTTATCTATAGTTTCAAGTCTGGCAAACGAAAAAAACAAAACAATCGTTTATATTGCTTTATGTAATAAGTATACCTAAAACTTGATATATTAACCTATATTTATACCTGATGTTTAACACTTATAATTTATCATTGTTGAAAGCGTGAGTCGATTGAAGCTAGATCACCATGGAAAACCTGGAAGCACTGGACGGCCGTTTCATCCTATTGTGGGACTCCTCAGCAGTGCGCACCCACGACCTCACCTCGCGAGATTCGAACCCAGGATCTACCAGTCTCTAGCCAGAACCCTTAACCGATAGATCACTGATTCGGTCGGCATCCAACGGTGTTAATGTCTAACTTCAACTGATCCACGAAGTTGAGCAACCACTCACCAATTGTCTTCAGTGAGTTTCTATCTCACAACAGACGTGGTTTGAACTTCACTGGTCGCTTCTTCTCACTAGAACTCCTGGATGTACTTCTCGAAGTCAGTCACTACTGAGTATATGATTATATTAATTATCAAAAAGGGTTTTGTGAAGATTTAGTATTTTCACAGTTGTCCATAGCCGTCCAGTGCTTCCAGGTTTTCCATGGTGGTCTAGCTTCAATTGACTCACCCTTTCAACTATGAAAATACTAAATTTCCACAAAACCCCTTCTGATAGTTTATATTTACGCTTACATTTACTGTGACTTTTTTCCCCATTTATTACTATTTATTATTAAGTTCTTAACATATGCTGGTAAATAAATAAGCTGTCCATCACTTGTGATTACTCTTTTTACTCATCTTTATCCGTTTCACAGGGTCAGTATAGTGATGCCATCAAATTGCTTACTTCTATGCCATCACCTTCTTATAATTCAACGGCTATGCATGACTTAGAGTCTGTCATCTTAAAGAATAATCTTTCCTTGATTTATCATCGTACTGGTCGATGTACATCTGGTTTGATACAAATTCGTCATGCTTTAAAACAAATCGACAAAACAATCAGAACTGCTGTACAATCAGAAGAAAAAAAAGTGTCTCATTTACTCAATCATCAAAATGGTTGCTCCTCTTTAGTTGAATATTCTGAATTGTTTAACCAGGTAAGCGCATTTATCCCTTCATTTGTTATTGAAAAAAGCAAAACAAGTTAATCACTGAAGCATAATGAATTAGTGACCAAGTGAAGATCACCATTCTTTAATCATCAATTAATTGATCATAATGAAAAGGTTAATCTCAACCTTTTAACCACTTATATAAATGTTTCATGTGTTCCTGTTTTTTATGACCCTTCCATTTCACACACTGTCAAATTATAGTTCTAGTAAAAACCTCATGATTCTACTCTGTAGCCAAGTACAGCTTCCTATACCCAGTTTTAAATCACTCTGATTGTTTGATGGGTAGTGATGATACTACCCAAGTTAGGAGTTTGAACTTGTAACTCATTTGAGTTGAAAGTCGATTGATTAAATCACTGAGTCAACCTTTTACTGCATCTTGGAAACAATGATACAAAGTAACTTGTACTATGATGATATTTTATAAAGTCTATGATTCTTTGTTATTATCAAAGTGATCCCACTCGTTTGTAATTATTTTTGAAATACGACATACTTGGAAATATGTATTTATATACTTTTTGAATTATTTTGCAAGTCACTTGAAACATAATCTTATTCAGCAAAGATGGATAGTGGCTAGCAGTGGAATCCAGGACGCGCGTTTCGTCCTATTCGGGACTCGTCAGCTGGATGTACCTGCATCTCAGAGTTGATGTTCACTCTGGGATTCGAACCCATTACCTTTCGCTTCAAACGCCATCGCGTTATCCACTTGGCCACTGAGTCCTGAATATAAACTTATTCAGTTTCTTACTATTAACCGTAAACTATAGTGACTTTTGGATTTTAAGGCTTTTGAGTAACTATTGATAAATTGAAGGAACAAAACTTCTTTTATTTTTAGAAAAAAATCGGATTGGTGATTCCAACCACTAATGTGTTTATTTCGTCTTATGAAATCACTATACTATTTTTTTATTTTAAATTCCATATCCTCGCGGTTAAGCTAAGCGATGGAGTATATTTACACTTTCAACTCCACCTGCCTGTTTGCGAAGATTAACTACATCTAATGAAGTAGAGGTCACGTTGGTTTCAAGATTTGTGAAAAAATATATCAGTAGAAATGCAATTTTCAAGACCTATCCTGTTTTTATACTATGTTTTAAGAGATTACGAGATCGCCTAAAATCGGCGAATACAATGAAGGATCAGCAACACAACTACAAGACAATCTAGACTATTTTAATGCGCCCCAGCTCTGCTAACTAGAGAGAGAAGGCTAGGTTCAGATGAGAGAAAGGTACATTGAACAAGTAGCTAGAAGCACGAACGAGCAATCACACGACTCAAGCGTATACATACAGCATAAAAAGGTCCTTGAAAAACGTCACAAAATAGTATATTAAAAGGGACAACGAGCAAATTACATTTTAGGTCCTTCAAGGTGGGAAATACAATCTGAAAGTAAAAGTGGGCGCTTTTGGCGAAAAAACGATAGATTTAAATTTCCAAAATAAAATCACAAAAATAAGACGTTTATCAAATGATTTCTGGGGATCTAACATCCCCAACAGTTTATTATTAAGGGATCGAATTTAATTGTTTCTGTACGAGTTTATATACGTATGTGATGATAATCTACAAATACTGTGGCTGTCGTTGAAATTTGTCAGACAATGAATAAAATTATTATTATAAGAAGGGGTTTTGTGGAGATTTAGTATTTTCATAGTTGAAAGCGTGAGTCAATTGAAGCTAGATCACCATGGAAAACCAGGAAGCACAGGGCGGCCATTTCGTCCTGTGGTGGGACTCTTCAGCAGTGCGCATCCATCTACTGAAGTCAATTGGTGAACGGTTGCTCGACTTCATGAACCAGTTGAAGTTAGACAATAACACCGTTGGATGCCGGCTCAGTGGTCTGTCGGTTAAGTGTTCTGCCTCGAGACTGGTAGGTCCTGGATTCGAATCTTGCGATTGCGGGATCGTGGATGCGCACTGCTGAGGAGTCCCATAATAGGATGAAACGGCCGTCCAGTGCTTCCAGGTTTTCCATGGTGATCTAGCTTCAATCGACTCACGCTTTCAACAGTGAATAAAGTGTTCGGTTTAATTCTGATGAAGGTTTAAAATGTGAATTAATACGTTCAGTAATCAAAACATACTTTAATGTTTTATTTCTGAAATTCATTACTTCAGATTCCACTACATGTGTCCAGTCTACTTGAACATTACGAATTAATTTATAATTATGGGATACAATTATTATTCACTAATAGACCTTCAGAAGCATTCGCTACACTATCACAACTTGTACGTATTTATCCAAGAAATCCTCGTTTATGGTTTCGTCTTGCAGAATGTTGTATAAAGTTGCATTGGTAGGTATGTCACATTATTGTTATAGTTATTGTGTATATGTGGTACATTTTACTCCTTTGGAATTGCTTCCGTTCATTTTCAGATCTGTATATTAGATCGTTCATATACGTTTAACCTTTTTTACTTATTTTGAAGTGTATTTTTCTCTATGTGTAACTTGTTTAGTTTGATCCAGTCAGTTACAACGTAGAACTTCGTATGTACTTACATCAGTTCGAGTTGCCATACCACATTATCACAGAGATGCAGTTGTCGATTCAACTCCTATAGTGGTAGAAGTAGTAAGAGTATAAGCTGTAATCGGAAATATTAGGGTTTGAAGATGTTATTCAAGGGCTATAATCCAGTGAAATAAATTCGGAAAGAGAAAAAAGATAAAGACATGAATAATTCAGAAGATTAGAATTTGGGCGAACACAAAGAGTGGATGCACCTTCGCTATTGCAACCGATTTTGAGTCATATCATTCAAGGTCTCTAACCATCGATTGCTATCATCTCGCGAATCCCAACCACGTAGTCTACACCTACGAGCATGGCTCAGTCCCACTTGTCAGTGACTTCATGGATTTGTGCTACGTTTTGGTCTGACCACCCCTAGCTTTCTTCCAACCTAATCCAGTATTTTCTAACTGAACAGAATAAAACTCGATGTATTTTTATTGTAGTTTATAATTGTTTCTAACAAATTTCATTTTGCTATTTCACACGATCCAGCTTGTTATGTTTAGTAGACCACATTAGTGATTTAAATTGTTATATCATTTCCTGTACAAATGTATGAGTTTAGTGTTAAGATTATCAAAAGTACCTACTCCCACTTCTAATTATCAACCAATGAACTCTATTTCAATGCATTCTCTTGTAGCCTAGAGTCTTTTTGTCAAAAAATAAGGTTATTTATAAGACTTAGCAGGTGTGTGAGTGCTGTCATTAATACCTTTTTAAAGTAAAGCTTACAGCCCGAATTGAAAAGGATGTCGATCAGCCTGGGCAATGGTTGGGGATGTTAGGTCTCCAGAACTCACTTGGTAAATGCCTTACTTTTGTAATTTTATTTTGAAAATTTGAATTTCTTGTTTTCGCGCCAAAAGCGCTCATTTTCACCTCCATGTCATATTTCCCACTAAAGAGGATCTTAAGTGCTATTGGTTTGTTGTATCTTTTAGTATGCTATTTTGCAACGCTTCCCAAGGACAATTTTATGCTGTATATATACGTTTAATTTGTACCTGTTGTGATTGCTCGTGCTTCTGGCTGCTTGCGGAATATATTTCCCCACTTCGAACTTGGGTTTCTCTCTCTAGTTAGCGGGGCTGAGACGCGTCGGAATAGCCAGCTTATTGGTCTTTGCTCACAGAGTCTTTGTTCCATTCTCAAATTAGGTGAACTCGTAATCGCTTCAAACATAACAGCAATGAACTAGGAACATGGTGTTTGTGTATTATTTTACAGGGTCGATTCTTTTCTAAATACTTGCCCATACTTAGATGTTAATTAAAACACCTTACCAATACACATTACTGGTTATTTACATTCACGTTTAACCATGCTAGTTAAAATAAAAACAAGTTTAATAAAGTCTGAAATATATGAAGCTTAATATATATTGAAATCATTGATTTGTGATTTAAATCGTTCAAAAAATTTGTCAATCATGACGTCCTTACTGACAGCGTCAATTATTAGTACTGAGCTATAGCATAGTTGCATTTAATCTGCATTCTGTTCCAGCTGTATGTACATGCATCTCAGAGTTGATGTTCACTCTGAGACTCGGACCCAGTACCTTTCGCTTCAAACACCATTGCGTTATCCACTCAGCTCATGAGTCCTGATAGCCACTTGCTTGTGCAATGAGGTGAAGTTTACATTTTAACTTTCTTACAGTTACAGGTGACTGGATAAAATGTAAAGTTTCATTCGTGTATACTCTTCATTCTGTAGTATTTTACTGTGGTTTCTTTATTTAAATGACTTATTTCACAAATTTCCCGTGTTTCCTTTGAAAATTTAGTCCACATAATTTATCACTTTGGAATATGGAATCAAGAAAACGATGTATTGTTGAAACCTTTGGTTCTGGTCCGTTTCGTAAATTATCACTTGCTTCTGTGAATCCACAGGTCAGTTCAGTAATACTTATCTTTCTTTTATGTACATTAATCCCAAAGTGAATACTTGATAACTATTCGAAAATTGTATGAAAAAAACCCCCACTTATTCCCCGTTAAAATTAACTGAACTTCCGCCTATAATGGTAACTGTGGCGGTAATTAAGGTGTATTTCATAAGTTGACTGAAACTAAAAAAGTATCAATTATTTTCATCAGACATTACTTTGTTTACATAATAATGCTTTCCATGGCAGATTTTATCATAGTAATTTTCAATTGTTGTTTAAAATGATTCATTAATACATTCCACTGGTGATTCCCAAAGTAAAAGTAACCACCTAGTTCATTTAGTCAATAGATCATAAGCACCGCAGTATATCTCGTGTGAATTTCTATTAATTCAGTGTGCCAAATTTCTAATAAGCACAGTTAAAAGCAAATCGACTTAACGGAAACTAAGAAAGTCGAAATATATGATAAATTCAATTGCATCACTGCCACTAGTTACTCCTTTTATAACTTAGAATCTCTAAACAATAAATCTATATCTGCCTACATGTACCAGATCCACACACTAAGTGACTTCGTAGACTGATGTGACATTGTTCCTAGCCTTCCAGCTATCAATGTATGTGTTGGGGTTGTCAGTGGTTAAATACGCGTAATACACATCATTGGTACAAACTTATCAATCACCTTCGTTTCTTTGGTAAACAATCATTAGTCTGATAGTAAATTTGTTTGAAAATGATTACATAATTTGTTAAAAGTCAATCATTCTTCAACTTTTAGTATGAATTCACTTTTAACCTGTTTATGTATCACACGTTTGTTTGTTTAAGTAAAAAACGGATTAGTGTTGTTCATTAAGTTGCGCTAACTAGATTTTAATACAGTGGTTTACCCACACTCAGTTGTTTTGTGCATTAATTTATATTTTAAAACACTAATCGACGTATTTTGGTGTAGGAGACTTGATCCTGTCCCTAGTTCTTACACAATATAAGTATAATCAAAAGTTATTCACTGTGAGGACTTGTATATGGTTAACGAGTTGTATTATTTAGTCTCATTTTGTCATATCGAGTAAATGCATGGCCTGTTTAGTATATGACGTGATGATTCCCGCCAATCAGAGAGGAGTGAATTATCGATCAGAACAATCATACACGAAAACCGTATGAGCAGTCTTGAGTACTTATCAGTCCTGCTATCTGCCTAGCCCAGCCAGTTAAGTCCACAACAACAATAACAGCCTCTGCAATATCAATCATTATTCTCAAACATACTGGGTTTATATACCAAACAAACTGACCACATCGTATCATAAAATAGAAAATAACATGTGTACAAGATTTAGCTAAATGTGGCTGTGAATAGGGGGAACAGTAATTAATGGACTAGGGATAACTCAAGAGTGGTAGATCGTATAATAATAGTCTATAGGTGAAAATAAAGCTTATACTAAAAGGGATACGAATATGAATAGTTTAGTTACTTAACAATAATACAATAGGAAATATACGTATCATGTTGGTCCATAAATAGTTCTTAGCAGTTACCATTCATAAATCTCCACGGGGTATAACACATTTATATTAGCGATGACTTTTATTACTGAGAGGTTTTTTGTCCAGAAAAAGTGTAATGTTATAATTTGTCATTTAGTATGGAGTATTCAAATGAAATCTGTGCGGCGCATATGTATCTGGTGCCCCCCTGTACCAATATTTATGTGTTTAGATAAATAAATGGAGTATTCATGTATATGTGCTTACTTTATACATTATTTTGTTTTCACTTTTTAAAACGATTAGTTCACTTGATAAACTTTTCACTGAATTATCGAAATTTTACTCTTTAGGTCACCAAGTCAAAAGTGGATGATGCATTATTATCGTCTCCGAGTATGGAATTTGCATTTCTGGCATTACGTAATGCAAGCCTATTAATTCCAACACCTGATAAGCTTATTACAAATAAGTCTTCAAATAATGATAAACTGAATTCATCATATGTTTCATCTCTTGTTAAATGGTCGAATAAACAGGTTAGTAAGTAATTATCATTTATCACCAAATTCAATCCCATAAATTAATCTAACACAGTTAGTTAATTAGTCTATTGACAGTGTATGATCTAACAATTTGTATATCATATCTATAGTACTGTAGTGGCTAGTACTATGTCAAGTCCACGTAGGTTATTTTACCTTATGGACAGACCAATTTATTCATTTTTCTCAAGTCACATTTTAACCTTGTTGGTTGTTCGCTTATTAACTCTGACTGTTTTTATATTATCGTATGTGTGTTAATTGTTCACCCTACCATTACGTGTCTGTAACTTATTTTCTTTTGAAAATAAATATTGAGTAACGCTTGATCAAAACGAACTCCACGTGTAGCTCTTCTAGGGTTACTGCCAGTTCCAAGACCGGGTAAAGAAGGAGGGTTGGGAATGGGGTCGGCAACCCCATCCCATAGAAAATAACCATGTTAAATCTGCCCTTCGAATTGATGGAAGAATTATGGCGCCTCTTGTTGAAAGCTGAGATTCTTCGGAAGTTACGAGGTTGATTCCGTTGCTAACAACCACAGCAACAACTAATTTAGGTGCATGGAATGTTCGGACAGTTTTGGAGACTGGGAGGACTAATTAAATAGCTGCGGAAGTGAAGAGTTACAACTTGACGGTGATGAAAATCAGTGGAACCCATTGGACCCAAGCTGGACAGAAAAGCTTAGATTCCGAAGAGATGCTGCCGTACTCTGGTCATGAAGAAGAAAATGCTCCACACACTCAGGGACTTGATATGATGTCAAAAGTAACCCGAAATTCACTAATTGAGTGGGAATTTTATGGATTCAGGATCATCGAAGCATCATTCAAAACAAAGAAGGAGGGATTCGCAATGAATGTTATGCGCCCACCAATGATAGCAACGACAACGATAAAGATCAGTTCTATTCGAATCTGCAGTCGATCATAGGGAAGTGTTCAGAAAAGGACCTGACCATCCTGATGGCAGACCTAAACGCCAAAGTCAGAATGGATAACACCGGGTATGAAGGTGTCATGGGACAACATGGACTGACTAGGAGAAAAAAACGAAAATGGGGGGAGATTTGCTAATCTATGCGCATTCAACAAATTGGTGATAGGTACTGTAAGTGTATAGAACATACATTACGCGAATCATCAAACTTTATCGCGAGGCAAGCGCTAACCTGGAATTGTGAAGGGAAACGGAAAAGAAGAAGGCTAAAGAACCCATTACTTCGAGAATTTGTAGCAGACATAAGAAGGATGAATATCAACTGGAAATAACTGGAAAGGATTGCCCAGGACAGAGTTGGATGGAGATTGGTGGTGGGTGGTCTATGCTCCTCCTTGAGGAGTAACGAGCGTCAGCAAGTCAGTTGATCATAAGCAGTTAGCTCACTCGTCTTTTCCGCTCCGTTTCGCTTTTCTTTCTCCACTTCGTCTCTTTGATTGTTTGTTCATACCAAAGATTGTACATAATATGCTTATTCAAACGTCATTCTCGTATCTTACTTATTTTATTCGGTTTTTTCTCTGACGCGAGTTATATCGATAAAAATATACCAGGTTTGGCGACATGTATTTTTCGATAACAATCATCTACGATTTAACTGGGGTCAGATCTTGGGCTACTAAAGTACGACAAAGAATGAAATTCACAAGCCTTAAAAAAATAATTAATACAATGGTGTCGATCGCATTAGAAAATTATAAAAAAAAAACTATAGTGTAAGTGTACGAATGAGAATGGTGAACAGAGAATGACGGAGTAATGATACTTAGCTTGTAGTTTAGTTCAAGATAAAGAATAAATGTGATTATGTCATTGAGAGATGTAGAAAAACCATTGACCTTTTTGAATATAAAGGTCAAGTTCTAGCTTTCTAATAATTATTACATCTGTGAATCTCAATAAATTGTTTATCGATTATTTTGAATCTTCTTGTTTTATCCACTTTGAACAAGTGATGTATTGTTTGTCGACTTTCACTTGGTTTTTGGTATGTATTCAATAAACCAAACGGATATTTGTATTTCACTCCTTCTGCTTCTCATGTATACATGTTGTCTACTATAAGTTCCCCTTAAAAGACTATATCATTCCCTATAAGCATGTTTACAAGGAATTGAGTGCATTATTTGTTTCATTATCCATTGTTAATATGTGGGATATAATTGAACTGTATTAAGACTTTCCGGTTGATTACTTGAATAAATTATATCATTAGATAAAATGGTTTCATCAATATACCTTAAACGGAAAGTGGCAGCTTTCCTGTTACTACCTACCAACTTTATTCTTCCAGATTTACAACAAATATGTATGTAAGGGTTATTTAACTATGATTATACCATCAACTTATTGAACAATTAGAATTTAAGTCTACAAAACGTAAATGGTACATGTTTTGGTTACTAATATGATAACTTGGGCTTGTCTTTATTTGTGCTGTATCCTACGTTTTTGGTCAATGAGTGAATGATCAACTTCTTTAGTTGTGGTACTATCGTTAACTTTCACGCGATCGATGCATCATATATCACGCGGGGTTTTTTTCAAATAGTTTATAAATTATGTTTATACTAAATTTTACAGTACTTTAGTAAATTTTAATACACCTAACTTATTAAAATTTTCTTTTCTTAGTTTATTTCCACTTATCCATCTCCAACACCATTGTTCGGTATCGGATTATTACACTTCTTGTCAGCTTTACACGTGAATATATCATATGTGGCTTTGTGTTTAAATGAATTTGTAGATGTAATACATTCTACCAGTTTGATAATCGATTCAATACCACAAAATGAAACTAATTCCAATCCGGTAGTATCGGTTAAACGTAGAAAATATTTGCCTAATCTTGCTATGATTGCTCCGAAAATTCACAGTTATTTATGCCGTTTATATTGTGCTGAAGCTTTAACTTATCTGGATAAGTATGTTTTTATTCAAATTATTTTGTGTATTTTATTATTTTATTTTATTTAAACACATAAATATTGGTACAAAAAGCACCAGATAAATATGCGCCTCACAAATCTCATTTGATTTGTGTGAGGGCTGAGATACTGCCCAGGTGCCCAGACTGAAGCAGGTGGTTTTCTTAGGGGGCCACACCCGGAGCCTTTGACCTAAAGGTCAAGGCAGTGGAGCATCGTGAGGTGATGCAGTCCCATGGTAGTCGGTGACCAACAATAGGTTCATACGCCATTTATTCCCTCAGGATACTGGAGTCAGCCCATGTGTACGATTGGTTTGGAATCAGGGTTTTCCAACTCCCCTAGGTGGATCCTCCATGACCACCAACCCTGTTAAAGCGCCGGACATTCGCATTTCGTCTCTCTCGTAAACAACACCCCCACCACGAGAAGGCAGTGAGTAGGACTCGCGTGGCCATGTGAGAGCATTTGGAGAGGGAGAGCGGACTCTCCTCACTCTCGGCCGTACCAGGGCATTTTGTGTATTATTATTTATTGACAAGTGATATTGGATATTCCGTTCATTCTTCGACTTATGTCTTTAGATACCTATAATTAGAAGTGCATAAATGTTACGATTATATCATGCTCTTTGCGTACAGTTTTTGTTGGCAAACTGCTAACCTATCAATTCAGGGACTAGTGATTGAGAAATTTTGAGGTTAGACCTAGAAGAATAAACAAATGTTTAAAATTCTTTGGTGAGACTGTAAATATTCATAGATTTAGGTGTCAAAAACGAGCATTACATAGGTCCAACCACCCACTTTGACGTGCAATTTTAGCTGGTGTATAGATAGGTTGTTAGAAAGCTAGGGGATCCGTACCAGTACATAGCATCTGTCCATTAAATCGCTTATTGTTGGTCTAATCCGTGTAAGTAGTTGTAGACTGCCTAATTGAAGTTTGCGCAATTATCGTCACCAATTATTAAAGACGGGTGACATGATTTAGAATTCTTTGTGACGCTTTAGATCCATTCACTCTTTGTCTTTCGTTAAAGAATGAGTTTCAAAATTATTTTATTCCATGAATTAATACTTCCTGAATCTTTTCTATATCTAATGTTTTCTATTACTACTACTTGTATAACTTTGACATCTATCTTAGTAATTTTATCTTACTATAATGATATAGTGTAACAGTTTAGGTTCTACTTTGCTTATGACTGACTGACTGGGCCAATATTACGATTTCATGTATTATGAATAAAAGTTTGACGTAACATATTGATAGAAGTAATATAACACGTCAGAATTGGTGAAAGAGCTAAGTAATTAAACCGAATACCGCTGAATGTGAATTATTAATGAAAACAACTTCCTCATTTTCTTTTAGGCTTCAGCTATATATATATATATATATATATATATATATATATATATATATATATATAGTATAGGAAGAAAGACAGATATGAAGCAATTCTAATCTCAAGGTTTAAGGGAAGATAAAGAGTGTATAAACCTGCGCCATTGTGATCGATTCTCAGCCATGTCACACAGAGTCTCCAACCATTGGTTACGATAGTCACACGTACCCAACCAAGTAATCTGCATCTACCAACATAACTCAGACCAGAAGTTAGTAGTTTCAAACACTGATGCCACATTTTGGTTTGGCCACCCCTAACTCTCCTCCAACCATCCCCAATACTAGTCAGCATTGCGCGTCCTGGTAATCGGTGTTCAGACATACGTAACAACACGTGGTCCAACCATCTCAGTCGATGAAGATTCACAACCTCATCAACTAATTTACCATCATTTCCTAATACCCTGTGTCTAACCTCATTATTACTTACCCGATGATTCCAGTAGATGCGAGCAATATTTCTAAGACATCTGTGGTGAAATACTAGTAACTTACAAGTATGTTCTACTCTTAATGGCCATGTTTCACAGCCATGTTGTTGTTTAATACGTCAATAATATTTTCATGAACAACTTTGAACGATACATTTTTGTATAGGTGATGATATTATACTGATGTGTATCGACAGACAAAAATCCTTGATCCGTATCATCCACATGAGTATATTCAGAGTAAACTCTATAATGTTCGGAAAATAGTTATTTTTTTATAAAAAATGTCTTATTAATGTTGTTATGTACCTTAAATTCCGTTTATTCCAATTTTTTGTAGAGTAGATGAAGCCACTGCTTTATTACAGATATCCACAAATAATCAATTAGATTCCATTATACATTCTTTAAATGGTGTTTGTTTTGCAATGCCATTTCTTTTTCCTAACACTGATTACATCAATTCGTCTACAAATAATAATGATTCAGTGAATAACAACTCGAATAGTTGCGATCAGATCAGCCCGTCGTTTCTTGTGAATAAATGTTCAAAGCAGTCAATTATTCGACCTGTGGACTTTCCTTCTAATGTTGTTCAGGTTAGTTTGTTAGTTATCAGAAGGGGTTTTTTGGAGATTTAGTATTTTCATAGTTGAAAGCGTGAGTCAATTGAAGCTAGACCACTATGGAAAACCTGGAAGCACTAGACGGCCGTTTCGTCCTATTATGGGACTCCTCAGCATTGCGCATCCACGATCCCGCACTCTTGAGATTCGAACCCAGGACCTATCGATCTCGCGCCAGAGCACTTAACCGGTAGACCACTAAGCCGGCATCCAACGGTGTTAATGTCTAACGTCAGCTGATCCACGAAGTTGAGCAACCGTTCACCAATTGTTTTCAGTGAGTGGATGCGCACTTCTATACTATATCCTGATATACAACCTACATTTTATATACTACCACCACTGAATTAACTGCTTCTATGAATCCGGTGTTGATCTTGTTGTGCTAACGAGTTATGGCAACTTGGACCGATGCATATATGTGCCTGGTCCTACGTTGTAGCTGACTGACTGACCAGCCAGAACAGCTGGTGAAGCCTACTGAGGAGACCTAGTGGTCCTTTTAGAACGGATTCTGTTTTTTAGAGGCTCACAAATCCACCGCGTGAATGTGATTTAGTGGGGACCGCGGACTCATGGGTCTTTGCATGCATAATGGTATTGCACCAAAAGAACAAGTAATGAAGTTTGTGAATTTACTTGCCCTAAATATGTATAGTCTACTTACATACTACTTAAAACACGAGCTTTCATCCGCGTATCACTTGGTCTACATTCCGGTTTACATGTCATGTGAGCAGATATACTTTACATGCCCACCGGTAACACACAGGTTTTATCCCATGCATCCTATAGCGTACGCATAAGTATATTCACCCACTTGGGAGGTTAGATGTTCACCACTCCCAAAGAAAACGTATTTGCTACACCATAGTAACTCTTACACATTATATGCATATCATTCACATGATTGCTACCGTCCTAGTATTCTCTGACACACATAAGGATAAACACTTTTAGAGGAGATTGTTAGTCGCTTCACCGCAGTATTTGCTACCGCCTGTTTTTATTACATCTTCGACCTGATAGATAGGCCGCTGATTTTATTAGGCATAGGGAAGACATTTTCGCGGCTCCACTTTTCCTTTGTACGATACTACATGCGTACCCTTTGCATATACCTATATACTTGAACTATATAGATCCGAGAACTTCTGCAATTCTCATACATAAGCATACATATCGGGTCGCCCGAGTGATAAAGTGGGCCCCGAGTATAGTACCCAGGATTAGTCAGATATAACAGAATGGGTGATCGGTACAATTTCTGCGACCACCTAAGTTGGCTAACAGGTTTGCCCCCACTATCCAGCAGCACCATAAGGAGGCCTTAGGTCGTATTTTGCTACCGGTATCTTACTATACATATAACATATTCTCACTGTTTTAATATATTTCAGTTTTATTTTATACATAAATTTTCTTAAAGGAAAATTCTATTTTTATTTTTATTTTTTTTCAATTTAGTCTTCATCATTATTAGCTTACAATTTAGCAGTTACATTAGCTATTCAAAAACAATATACTTTATCAAAACAATACTTAGATCTTGCATTACCAGGTTTATTTATATCAGCAAATGAATTAGATGGTCGAAAATGGTATATTCATGAATGTTTAAAAAAGTCAACTATAATTACACATTATAAATTATTATTACCAACTACAGTTATTTTATTACGTATCTATTTAGCTATAAATTTAAATAATCAAAAATATGCAATTGAATTAATACGTGAAAATTTTGGTCATTTGGCAATGATTAATAGATTCAATTCAATTCCTATTTATAATCATAATGAATTAACTTCTATGACATCATTATCACAAGAGAATGTTGTTTCATCATCAACTACTAAAAGTATTCCTTTAACTTTAATTGATTTACAACAATTGATTAAAAATCAACAATATCAATCAAATTCAACTATTGGGATTACACAATTACATTCAACATCATCCATTCAATCATCACAACAGTTCAATAATAATAATAATAATTTATGGACACCTTGTCAACAATTTCGTCAATCTCAAGCTCAACAAAATCAAACAATTTATTATTCACCATTGTTACAAACACAATCAACACTTACTAATTATGAATATGCAAATTGTTGGGATCTATCAACACCATCAACAACTGGTATAATTACAGCTAATAATGAAAATGATTGGCCACCTTTATAAATTGTATTTGGTGTTCAGTATTATTTTGTTTTCTTGTTTGTTTGTTTTTTTTAATCTCAATAAATGGTGAAGCATTTTATAATCTTTATGAATGAATTTGATTTGGTCGGGTATTTTTTTTATCAATGTAGACAACTTGTTAAATGTATGAACTCAGGAGTAACTTTATGTTTAAATAAAATATCGGTTAGCTATAATAAACAGTAATCATAAAGAGCCTCCTTATTGTGACTACTAGTTTGATGTGAGGGTTTGGATTGCTTATCATGATGACCCAGTTGAGTTATATTGACTGGAACACTTTGTTCCAGCATGCAAGCCAGGTCGGTGGAAAAGTGTTAAGACTAAAAGTAGCACTTAAAGGACGAGGGTGATGTTGTACTACTGGCTTTACAGAGATCTGGTGACAGTAAGGTGTTTTCCTCATACAACCAGCATCCAGAGCGATGCTACCTTTCCACGACGAAAAGAAATCACTAAGAAATATTGATTCTCAGTGTAGTACTCCTCAGTGATTTTCCCCATTGTCGGTAAGATCTTCAAAGTACAGAGCTAAGACATCAAGAACTATTCACAAATGGGCCATGTTTGACCGGCGTCAGGAAGTTGTCTTTGCAGTAGCACTTCCAGGTTACCGAAACAACTACTACCTCAGTATCACTTTCAGGTGTCTCAAGAAGTAACCAAGGGGTAACAACCCTTAATAGTTAAAGGGTTTTTATCCTCGTCTAGTACGGATCACATCTGAATACCCTTCAATCTATTTTGGTTTGTCCAGCGGGATTCTATCAGTAATCCTCATATGCAGATATACTTTGGCTCATACCCGAGTACATAATCGTGTACTTGGTAAATAAGTTGAGTATAGTGCTTTCTTTTCATCATTGCTAGTTGTAATTAAAAACTACCTAGTGTTCATAAAAGAAACGTTTATTGAGCTTCAGTTTTGAACCATCGACATTTTATTTTGATCTATGTATCTGAAAAACATACATAGTCTTCACATGACAAGTGCAGTGTGATAACTAGTACATAAGATCATACACGTTTACTTAGTTATGTCACTAATATCTTATAAATCATAAAGACTTCAATCTATTGCCCATGTTAGGAAGTTAGATTGGAAATATTACACTATTTCTGGTAAGAATATTCATCTTAGGTGTCCAACATATATAATTTATGATCATCAGATATGAATGAGATTGTGTTACTTTTATCACCTGAAGTCGTAGATTATATTCGCCATTTTTTCCATGAGATCATAATTATATGAAACGTTATAGTTAATGAAGAAACCTTTATACAGTCTTATTTGGTATACAAGATTATGGAAAAACCAGTTCCATAATTCGTGGAAATTGTTACGAACCGTATTTCTATGTTTAATACTTTCGTAGTCATAGACACCAATATTTCGACTCCGTTGTGTTTTTTTTCATCTTGTGGTAGTCATTAAGTGTCTTAATTTGGGCTAACGGATATTTATACTAGACTGCGTTGTTTTGTCTAATTCCTTTATCATCCTCTTATCTCCCGTGTTCAAATAAGATTTCCCAGTTTTTGTCAATAAATTGACCACTAATGTTACATTCACTTTATAAAAGTCGAAGATACAACCGGTTGTTCTGATGCTATTGCGTGGGGAAGAGCTCGTTACATACGTCAGTCGATAGAGATTGAGTCATTCTGTTGACTGTTATGTGAATTGGTGGTATTGAAACACCATCTCAGTTAAAAGGATTTAATAAACGGTCCTGCATTCCAGAAGTAGTCGGTATTTAGTCTTTCGAACAAGTGACTTTATGGTTGTTATATCTCAATACTTCATGAAGCAATCATTATCTCAAGATTTATGTTTAGCTTTCGATTACACACTAACAGTTGAATTGTTAACAACATGTCGTTCTCATATTTTCGGGGTATGAATTAATTAATATTTGAGAAATACTGTTAATTCCGTCCCAGTTTCGACTGTCACATTCATAAACTCAAGAAATGGTTTTTAATTTAATGGGGCATTCTTGGGAAAATTATAATATTTGCTTGGAGCTAATTATCGTTCATTCGCATACTACAATCATTCCACTATATTACAGCATATTGATGCATTTCCAGACATATTTACTCACATTATTTAGCTAACACGTCAAAAAACTCCTACAAAAAGGCCGTACGTGACAGCCCTCAAGCAGTTGTCCCTTGGACTATGCGGTCACGCTCTCAGGTCGTTAAGACCAACATTAATCCAACTTCCTTTTCAGGTCCCTCAATAAATACCCTTCCACGGTGTGGGCAACAGGGAAGTGATATTAGCCCTCATACACGTAACAGCACACGAGACCAAGTTGGTCACATTCAAATCCTACCTACATTTAATAACTCTTTTATCTCCATGACCAAACCTTCCTTTTATCACTTCACACCTCTAGGGCAAATGATTCGAGTACGCGGAAAGTTATTCCTGGTCTCCTGAAACTACGCTCTAAACTATATACAGGAGCTTTTAACGTCAGAACACTGCCAAATAAGACAACAAGCTTACTTAGCCTAGGACTTAAGAATCTCGCGCCACCGAAACGCTCATACAGGATCCGAGTAGCGTCATTCATTTGACCTCATCATTCCAAAACAAAGAACCAACTCGATTCACGCTTCATGTATCTGGAAGCCCTGATGCTGTTTCCCGTGGCCTCGCTTGAGTAGGTATAGTATTGAGTCCTAGGGCAGTACTAGCTCTTTTAGACTGGACCCCAGTAGACAGTCATCTATGCGCTGTCCGACTAAACGGATCAGTAAGGACTCAGGAAGATAGGGAAACTCGTCATTGCTTCTTCATTGTCTCTGACTACTCTCCCACTGACTGCAGCTCAGATGATTTAAAGGATGTGTTTTACAGAAAGCTTTCCGACCTCCGAAAAGCTAGCCGTTCTGATATAGTAATAGTGGCTGGTGACTTTAATGCTCAAGTAGGTAAACTAAGTGAAAGACACCTGGGTGGATCTTATGGTGTCGTGGCTAAAAGAACAGATAATGGCGACCGTCTGTTGCAGCTGTGCTCAGATAACCGCCTATTTCTTGCGAATACTAACCTTAAGCATAAGGAAAAACATCTTTTGACATGGCGACCCCCGAATTCGTCCCAATGTTGGATCCAATTAGATCACATCGCTATCAGCCACCGATTGAGGGGTTCGATAGAAGACTGTCGCTCATTCTGGGGCACATGTTTAGATTCAGATCATGCTCTAGTGCGTGCATGTATCTGTCTGCGTCTTACTGGTCGTAGGAAAGACACTGCAGGGAAGCCTCTTAGGATTCTACTTAATGATAGGCAAGCTAAGAATATATTTCAGGAACAACTAGAAAAACAGTTAGGCAGCCATGTAAGTTGTGTCCACCCCGAGGCAGCGTGGAATGACATCCGAAAAGCTGTGGAAACAGCAGTGATATCCGCTAATAAGATAAACCATAAGGTTAGGGAGAAACAATGGATCTCGGCAGCATCTACCGCACTGATAAATGCTCGTAAACTCATCCCACCTGGCTCTGAGCATAACGAAGAGCGGAGTCAGCTTAAGTGCAGGCTAATAAGAAGCCTATGCAATGATCGTGAACAGTGGTGGGTAGAGAAAGCAAGAGAAATGGAAAAGACAGCGGCAATAGGCAACAGCAGACAACTGTTCAGACTTGTTAATGAAACCGGTATTAAGAACCCAAGTGTTAGCGAAGATGGATATATTATTCATTCTCAATCCAGAAGATTGGATCGATGGGCAGAACACTTTAGGGATCAGTTCAACTGGCCTTCAGCCACACTTTGGCTTCTCACGATCCCCAGTCGACTTGAATGGCAAGTTTGTAGTGCCGTGCTTCATTAATAGTTCACTTCGATAACCGTTATTATTACCAATCGTAACGGTGTATAAAATAAGAAGGCAAAAGGAAGCGGCAACTACATTTTTTATTGATGAATGATGCAGACCAGAAAGTTATAAGCACATGAGTAAATATCAGCGAGCGAAGTAAAAATGACAAGCATTGGGTGATGGTGGGTAAGCCAACACATTTTAAGCAAGCGTTAATCAACATTTATAGTCAGACAAAAATGAATGACAGATATATGATGAATAAGATACTAAGTGTGTATACATATATACGCTCATATAAAAAGGTAGTCAAGGTTAATAAGCGAATAATTAGCAAGATCAAAATATGACTCAATGTATAGGAGAATTGGCTTGGCCAGAAGCTAGAATAAATTTATCGGGCTTAACATAACAACCGATACTACAAGTTAATGTAAATTCTCCAACTCTTTACGAGGTTGAAAAAGCTATAGGAAATCTGAAGCGAGGGAGAGCAGCATGCTCTGGTATGTTTACCCCTGAGATTTTTAAGGATGGCGGTCTAGTACTAGCAGCGAGATTGACTGGTGTCTTAGGTAGAATCTGGGATCTGGACGTAATTCCATCTGACTGGTCCCAATCACTGATTGTGCTAGTTTATAAGAAAGGACAAAAGTCCTCTTGTGACAATCACAGCAGAATCATTTTGACTAATATAGTGTCTAAAATATTAGCTTCAATAATACTTCGACGTCTAATCAAACCAAGATGGTTTTCGACCTGGAGGTGGTTGTATAGACCAGATATTCACTCTACGTCAGGTCCTAGAACATAGACATACATTCAGACATCCCACAATAGTAGTATTTCTCAACCTTAAGGCAGCATTTGACGTCATTGGTCTTGAGGTTCTATGGCAGTGTTTGTCACTGAACGGAGTACCTCATTAAGGCTCTCTACTCGAACACAACTGGTCGAGTTAGAGCTTATGGCGAACTGTCACCAGAACTGATTACCTAAAGTGGTGTTCGTCAGGGCTGTTCACTCTCTCCATTCTTGTTTAACTTTATCGTAGAAGTGCTTTTAGAAATAACACTTTCCTCATCCAAATTCAGAGGAGTTAAACTTCAACCGGGATATTCACTTGTTGACTTAGAATACGCAGATGACATATTTTTACTTGGTGAAGACGCTGACAAAATTCAGTCTCCAGACCATCTTAAGCAACAATTAAAGCATGTTCTGGATGCAATTCTCTCCTTCGAAATGCAAAATACTACTTCAGGATTGGGTTGCATCGACACCTGAACTAATAATAGGGAGTGAAGTAGTTGAGCGTATTGACCGCTTCACTTATCTTGCGAGCCTCATCAGCCCTTGTGGTCTGGTGTGTGACGAAATCTCAGCACGGATACAGAAGGCTCGTCTAGCTTTCGCCAACTTACGTCTTTTATGGCGTAGGCGAGATATCCGTCTAGCAACCAAAGAACGGGTATACTGTGCAGCAATTCGTTCCGTCCTACTTTATGGCAGTGAAACATGGCCTATATGAGTAGAGGATATTCGTAGGCTACTAGTATTCGATCATAGGTGTCTTCGAAGCATTGCTCGTATATCCTGGGACCACGGGGTAAGTAATGAAGTTGTTAGGAAACGAGTACTAGATTAGGATGGCAGATTGATTAATGAAGTAGTGAAACTTTATTAGTTGAGATGGCTGGGACATGTGTTACGTATGCCCAATCACCGACTGCCCCGACGCGCGATGTTTTATGGTGCAGGAGTGGGTTGGAAGAAAGTTAGGGGCAGTCAGACCGAAACGTGGCACAAGCTCATAAAGTCACTGACAAGTGTAAACCACCTGGTTGGGATTCGCCAGATGATAGCAATTGATGGTTAGAGACCTTGAATGACAAGGCTTAAAATCGTTTACAATGGCGAAGGTGCATCCACTCTCTGTGTTCTGCCAAATTACAATCTTCTGAATTCTACATGTCTCTATCTTTTTTCTCTTTCCAAATTTATTTCACTGTATTATACTCCTTCAATAACATATTCAAATCCTAATATTTCCGATTACTGCTTATACTCTTCCTACCTTTATCATTATGTGATTTGAATCGACAACTGTATCTCTGTATTAATGTGGTATGGCAACTCGAATTGATGTATGTACGTACGAAGTTCTATGTTGTAACTGACTGACTGACATTATCTTTATGCAAGTAGCTGAGTTTGTCAAAAATATTTTCACATATTTGATGTAGCATAAATGTCGATTTTCTTTTTATATAAAGTTTCAATTTATCGCTCATTTTTAATTGAGTGAACATCATTGCCCTATCATCGCCTCAAGCATAACTTGAAGATCGAATTGTTAACAAGATTATAGCTTTAAATTTGTTTTATTTATTTATTTAAACACATAAATATTGGTACAAAAAGCACCAGATAAATATGCGCCTCACAAATCTCATTCGATTTGTGTGAGGGCTGTGATACTGTCCAGGTGCCCAGAGAAAGCGGGTGATTTTCTTAGGGGGCCACACCCTGAGCCTTTGACCTAAAGGTCTAACCCACAAGGCAGTGGAGCATCGTAAGGAGATGCAGACCCATGGTAGCCGGTGACCAACAATAGGTTCATACGCCATTCGTTTCTTCAGGATACTGGAGCCCATGTGCACCATTGGTTTTGAATCAGGGTTTTCCAACTCCCCTAGGTGGATCCACCACATCCACCAACCCGGTTAAAGCGCCGGACATTCGCTTTTCGTCCTCTCACTTTGTGAACAACACTCCCTCCACGAGAAGGCAGTGGGTAGGACTTCGCTGACAGAGGCTATATATTCGCTGGCCATGTGAGAGCATTTCGAGAGGGAGAGAATACTCTCCCCACTCTCGGTCGTATCAGGGCATTTGGGGGGCTTTTTATAATCATATTGAAGAGTCTGTAGTAAACTCAGTTATGGTACACTCCGAAAATGAGAAAATTGTTCATTTCATATCCCCCTGATCAATCAAGATACGAACCAGGATTATTTGACGATTTTAGTTTTGTTCACAATTCAGTACATTATCCACTAGTACTTATTTCTTTCAGGCAAAAATATATATCTCGTTGAACTCATGTCAACCGTTTTTCATACTCGTATTTGTGGACCATTTGGTGCTTATTTATTAACGCTCAACTGGGGCTTAAATGTGATTTTAAATTTTAGTTTTGAACCTCATCTACATCAGTTTATCTGAATAAACACGAAAATATTTGTATTTAGCTACATGAAAGACATTAAGCTAGACGACCTTTGACCACCAACAAGTACTGAATAGCTTTTACTTCATCAGTATAGAGTTTCTACACTTCAAACCTATGACCAAACCAGGTATTAAAATCGAAAACGTTCATATATCATGGATGTCATTTTATACCAATAAGTTGATGTCTTCCATCTATTGGAAGGTCAGCATTCCGTCTTCTATTGATGTTTATTTGTTCTAACTTCATTTTCTGCATATATCATGCAAAAAATAGAATCACATAATGACATTAATTCGTATAGAGTTACATGTTTTTAAAATATTTTCTAGTATTATTTCAGGAATAGATGTTTGTTGGTTCGAATCAATAGGATAGGTCAGTCAGTCACAACGTAGAACTTCGTACATACGTACATCAGTTCGAGTTACCATACTACATTAGCACAGAGATGCAGTTGTCGATTCAAATCACATGGTGGTAAAAGTAGGAAGAGTATAAGCATTATGTGAAAGATTAGGGTTCGAAGATGTTATTGAAGGAGTATAATACAGTGAAATAAATTTGGAAAGAGAAAAAAGATAGAGACATGTAGAATTCAGAAGATTGTAATTTGGCAGAACACAGAGAGTGGATGCACCTTCGCCATTGTAAACGATTTTAAGCCTTGTCATTCAAGGTCTCTAACCATCAATTGCTATCATCTGGCGAATCCCAACCAGATAGTCTACACCTACCAATATGGATCAGTCCACTTGTCAGTGACTTTATGAGCTTGTGCCACGTTTTGGTCTCGCCATCCCTAACTTTCTTCCAACCTACTCCTACAACATGAAACACTGCACGTCGGAATAGTCGGCGGTTAGACATACGTAACACATAGATCGTAATAACTGACTCATAGTATTTATGAACCCTTCTCTATATCAAAATAATTAAGTTTTCTATTCAAATCTCATATTAAGTAGTGAACAGCTCTATGAAACCGGTTAAAATCATTTTCAAGTTCACATAAAATATTTAAAATCAAAATGAGTCTACTTACAAGTAGTTAATACAAAGGTAGAGAAATTTAATTCATAGTATCATTTTTTTTTAAATTGTTATTATTCTAAAGGAAGTTCAAATCACTTCCAACATACATCATATACAATCGAATGAAGAAAATACAGTTGAAATACTACTACTACTAATAGTAGTAGTAGTTGTTGTAATGATGATGATGATGATTATCCTCATCAGGAAGATAGAAAGTCAACAAGTAAAAAAAAATTTTCAAAAAAAAAGAAAACAAAAGTAATAAAGTAAAATCAATAATGCTTATTACGTAATAGTAACAATTCATGAATGAATTAATGTTGATTATTATTATTCTCCATTCCATTAGAAACAATGACAAATGCAATGTACGTTATAATTAGAATGTAATACATTGTTTGTCTGCTTGTTTGTTTGTTTGTCTGTTTGTTTGTTTGTTTACTTTTTTAAAAATGTAGGTTTGTACTCTGAGCTCTAGCTCACCCACCTAGGCTACAAATCTTCTCCACCATCCCAAAATCATACGAGCGTAGTTTACTTGTTCTTTTTCTTACTTTTTCATTGTATCCATGTAATAAATTTTAAAAAAAACTTCATCATTATGTAATATATTCAAATAATGAATGTAAACTGATTATATTCACATTTTATTTAAGGGATAAAAGCTTGATGTAATGATTTCAAATTAGAATTGTTCTTTTTTGACAAAATCATCCAAGAATACATTACTGTTACTGTTGGTGTCATTCGTTGTTTTATGTAATTTCTTTAGATTATTTAATATAGATGAATTATGATCATTACTAATATGTTGATTGATATCGAAATTTTTAGGGAGTATACCATTTTCTGTTTTGATTTCACAAGTAGATTTAGAATTCCTTTAATTAGAAAAAAGAAAAGTATATTGTTAAATAAACATTTTGTTAATGGTATAGTATAAACTTATGAATACTTAAGTTGTTTTATAAACACATTGCTTACTTTTAAGCGTTGGCAGCTCCCGAATGACCTGGTACAGTCGAGAGTGAGGAGAGTACACTCTCCTTCTCAAAATGTACTCAAATGACCACACGTATATAGTCTCTGACAGGGATGTTTTACTCACTGACTTCTCGCACCATGGGTGTTATTTACGAAACTGAGAAGACGAAAAGTGAATGTACGGCGATTTAACCGAGTTAGTGGACACGGCTAGTCCACCTAGGGAAGTTGGAAAACTCTCATTCCAAACCAATGGTACATATGGACTCCAGTATCCTGAGGGGACAAACGGAGTATGGACCAACTGCTGGTCACCGGCTAACATGAAACTGAATCTCCTCACGATGCTCCACTGTCATGTGGATCAGATCTTTATGTCAAAGGCTCAGGATGTTGCCCTTTAAGAAAACCACCTGTTTCGGTTTGGGCACCTGATCAGTATCACAGCTCTCACACAAACCAAACGATATTTTTGTGGCGCATATATATCCAGCGACCCCTTGTGTTTATATGAAATAAATAAATAGGTGTGGGCATCACATTAGATACCACTAGATTTCATCTTTGTTTAACGACCACCATCTAACTCACATTATTCATTTGAAATGGTACTAACCTATACATAAGGTATTTAGATTATTAGTAGGGCTTCTAATGACTTAACAGTTACGCAAATAATAAACTTCAACAATTAGTTATTAACAGTATGGAAAATCATAAATCACAAGAGTGAAATACTCGCTAATTCTTAATTTTTGCAACCAAATTAAAGATTTATTTCATGTGATTCAGCATCATTACGACTGTTGCTAAATAAAGATATGAATTTTATGTTGTGAAACGTATTGGGATGTTAGTACCTTTCTTGTTCTTAATGCTACTCACAAGCAGGATTAAAGAATAAGGTATTTAAAAACCTGGATTACCCAAAAGAATTTGATGCCTATGGCAGATTTCATTGACGCTAGCATTGACGCTAGCCCATATAATGTCGATGTAAATCTGATGCAAGAAAATTTAATTTCTACTAATGATTATAATTACATTCATGATACAAAAGCTGTTTTATATCAGTATAACTGTTTAGTTATAAATTAATCTATATAAAAACTTACTTTGATGTGACACCATTACATTCATGAAGTTTTCTGTGCATTTTCATGCCACGTGGGGTTTGACCAACGTAACCACATGCAGAACAACGTAGTTCAGTTGCTCCACAAGGTTCCCAATGAGTTGAATTTGATTGATCTGTTTCACAATCTGTATTAACTTCTTGATTGATTTGTAAATTACGATTTGGTGACAATTTTGAACCTGATGGTGATAACCTATTACTTTTAACACTTTCAGCTTCATCACCACTACTAGATGTAGACGAATTTGTCTGATTGTTTGAAGAACTTCCAGTATGATTTAGGTTATGACCAGTAGATGAAAGACTGTCAGTTGTAGTACAGCGACGTTTACTAGCTGGTGAACCGGTTGTTGTAGTGCAATTTAAAACAGTATGATTACCAGGGGAGGTAGGTATATGTGATGTAACTGAATTTGTAGTGGATGTGTGTAATTGTTTCATAACTTCTTTTCGACCTTGACAGTAGAATTGTTGATGGGCCTGAAGAAAAAATTGCAAAAATTCAGAATAAGTAAAGCAGTTATAGATAATATTTCATCTATTTCATATACTAATACTTAATGTCGTTTGACCACCTCTGTTTCCTCTCCAATCTAATTTAGCCACTATTCTACGTTTAATTAGATGGTATGTATTACTGAAGATTCACAGTCTCATCAACTGGTTCATTATATTTACCTAAACGTAACCTAAATATTACTCATATATTGATTCTGTTATAAGCAATCGATTCTTTCGAAATACTTATCATGAATTACTATCAACTTGCACTAGTTCTTAGTAGATTGACAAGGAAATATTTTTCAGAGCGGAATTCGATTCATGTGCATTTTTGTTTTAGAGAAAAACAACTATTTCTTAGCATTTTTTTAAATCCAGATGTTTCTTTATCTCGACTAGAATTCATATTCAATAGCATCATCAGTTTAAGACTTCATTGACAAAACCACATTTTCGTTAGAAACTACAATATGATAGATTCATAAGGTGAATAGAAGCTGTATACATGTATGTATGTATGATTAAAATATTATCAAGCTCTATTTAATACTATATTAATAAATAATTCATCCATATTTATATTATTTATTTAAACACATAGATATTTGAACAAAGGGGCACCAGACAGACTGAAACACCTCAACTTATTTCCGTTATCTTACCGGCGAATACGGGGTGATCTAATATTGGCATATCGTATCCTGAACGATGACCTTGGTACTAACATGTCCTATCTTTTCCTCCCGTCTAGGGCTGATCATTTGAGAGGACATTCTAAGAAAGCGCAAAAACCGAGATCAAATCGTCTACGTCTGGAGTTTCGTTTCTCGCACCGAGTAGTGAATTACTGGAATTCTCTACCAGAACACGTAATATCAGCACCTTCTGTTGATATATTGAAGACGAGTTTGGACCTCCACAGTGTAACAAACTGCAAGGATTAAAATAGGTCACTAGACCTCCTATCCTTATTACTGAAGACTGAAGACTGAAGATATATATGCGCCATACAAATCGAATGAGGTTTGTGTGAGGGCTGTGATACTGCACAGGTGCCCAAACTGAAGCAGGTAATTTTCTTAGGAGGCCACACTTGGAGCCTATGACCTAAAGATCTGGTCCACAATGGCAGTGGAGCATCGTCAGGAGATGCAGTCACATGATAACAGATGAACAACGATTGATTCATACGCCATTTGTTCCTTCAGGATACTGGAGACTATGTGCATCATTGGTATGGAATGAAAGTTTTCCAACTCAACTATATGGATGCACCGTGTCCACCAACCCAATTAAATCACCAGACATTCGCTTTTCGTCCTTTCAATTTCGTAAAAAGCAACCCCATCACGAGAAGGCAATGAGTAGGATTTCCCTTTCAGAGGCCATGTAAGAGCATTTTGAGAGGGAGAGCATACTCTCTCCACTCTCAGCTGTACCAAAGCATTCAGGGGCAATTCATTCATATAAATACTACTTTATTACCATTACCATTATATAATGAGTACAAAGTATATTCAGTTAGTAACTATATTATAAATAATTATGCTTTGATAAATGTTGCTTAAAGTATATAATCAAGTTAAAAGTTTACATATACATTTTTCCCTTTATTCATTAACTAATTGTAGAATATAGAAAGTGGACTAACAATCAATTACCAATATTCATTACTGATCAATTTTTCAGGGTTAGTTTCAGAAATGGAAAGGTTATTCTGTTTTTTTTAAGGCATAAACAAAGCTTATAGGATTTACCAATATATTATACAATGATCAACGAACTTTGATCAACGTGAAAGATTAAAAATATGATTTCAATGATTGGTTGTCATAGTTAATGGAGCCAATATTGAGCTATTATCTATTCATTCAAATATATATGAAACAAAAGATGAGTTTGCTAGGGTTTTTTTTTGTCATTTCAACTACTAGTTTCAAAATAATGTAACTTAATACTCTAGGTTTAATAGTTTTCAAAATTATTAGTATATATATAAATGGAACAAATAAATCATATTTACAGTTGAAATCATGAGTCAATTGAAGCTAGACCATCACGGAAAACCTGGAAGTACTGGATGGCTATTTCGTCCTATTGTGGGACTTCTCAGCAGTGCGCATCCACGATCCCGCCTCAGGAGATTTGAACGTAAGATCTACCAGTCTCGCCGGCTCGGTGGTCTAGTGGTTAAGCGCTCTGGCGCGAGAGGACGAAAAGCGAATGTTCAGCGCTTTAACCGGGTCGGTGGACACGAAGAGTCAACCTAGAGGAGTTGGAAAACCCTGATTCCAAACCAATGGTGCACATGGGCTGACTCCAGTATCCTGAGGGAATAAATGGCATATGAATCAATCGTTGGTCACCGACTACCATGGGACTGCATCTCCTCACGATGCTCCACTGCCTTGTGGATCAGATCTCTAGGTCAAAGGCTCAGGGTGTGGCCCCTAAGAAGATCACTTGCTTCGGTTTGGGCAACCGGGGCAGTATCGCAGCTCTCACACAAATCTCATTTGATTTGTGTGGCGCATATATATCTAGTGCCTTCTTGTACCAATATTTATGTGTTCAAATAAATAAATAAATTATATGACTTCTAAAGGTATAATATTGTGGTTCCAGTAAGTTTATGTTGCCCATTCATATAGAAAGTCATTCTAGAAAACACTGTCTAATATATAAACTACCGATCACTAATAAAGCCCTCACAAAATATATAACAATGACTATTTCAATAAGATTGTAGATATTATTCAACCCACTAATATAACAAATAAATAAATAGACTCTCCACAGAATCCCTTCTGTTAAAACTAGAAACCAGTAACCATCCTACTATAGTTCTTCTTGTCCTAGAAACAATAAGATATACTTAGAAGATGAATAGTATCCTTGTTTGAATAGTTTCCTTTAGTAATACTTTTTATCTCACTATTTGATTTCCCTTCTCTTTTTCTCTCCCTTTTTGTTAATGTAAACAAGTAAACATTCCTAATTTGTTCTTACTTCATCCATATGTGTTATTTCAAACAAAATGAAAGTTATAATTCAATAGAATAGTAACATAATAACATGGTATGTCAATATATATATATAATCACAATAATTCAGCTTAATACTAAACTTTAGAAAAGGAAAATTTAACTGACATAAACAAGGTAAACAAAATGGTAATCTTACATATATAATTACATTACAGGATAGAAGTAATCATGTATAATTGGGGTATATATGATAATATAAATAAGATTACATAATCATTAAAATAGGGTATTAGTCTAATATGATAAAAAACATATGTTATAAATTAATAGAATAAGAAGAAACTATTCAGTGAATATTTCCATTTTTTGTTTATATTTATATGTATATATTGGAATAGATGAGATCATGAATCCATTGAAGGTAGACCATCATGAAAAACCTGGAAGTACGTTCAATTTCGTCAATTAGTTAAAGTTAGACATTAACATGATTGAATGTCGGCCAGCTTGGTGGTCAAGAAGTTAAGCGCTTGAGCGCGAGACTGATAGATCATGGGTTCGAATCTCGAGTGGTGGGATCGTGGATGAGCACTGATGAAAAGTCCCACAACAGGATAAAACAGTCACCCAATGCTTCCAAGTTTTACATAGTGATCTAGTTTATAAAATTAGTAATTTTAAAGTTTTCCTACAAAATTTTGAAAGACATGTATTATCCAATGTCAAAATTTTTAGTATACACTTTTGACTTATTATATTCTATATTCAAGGAGATTAAGTGAATATTTCCTTTTTTCTTTTTTTTCATATTTATTTTGAATCATTGAATCAAGTTGTTCAGAATCTAGAATAAATAAACTTGCAGCAATTCATTGCATTACACATAGATATTAAAATCAACTCTGATGTTGTGGTTTAGTGTTTAATTATCAGACATTTAACTCAGTCAGTCAGTCAGTCACAACGTAGAACTTCGTACGTACATACATTAGTTCGAGTTGCCATATCACATTAGCACACAGATCCAGTTGTCGATTCAAATCACATAGTGGTAGGATTAGTAAGAGTACAAGCATTATGTGAAAGATAAGGGTTTGAAGATGTTATTGAAGGAGTATAATACAGTGAAATAAATTTGGGAAGAGAAAAAGGATAGGGACATGAAGAATTCAGATGATTAGAATTTGGTAGAACACAAAGAGTGTATGCACCTTCGCCATTGCATTTAACAACGTCTAACTATAAAAGTTGACAAAAATTAATTAAGCCTAGATGTTTGCTAGGTTTCCATTGAGTTCTACGAAATTGTTCCATCTATTATACACATGAAATATACGTCTGTCAATAGCATACTTAGTATACTGCTTAACAGTCCTATCTTTATTAGTTCATGGGCGGAGAACATAATTTATGATTGTGTATGGGTTAAATTTAGTTAGTTAGTTAGTTCTATATACTTTCAAAGCATTGTTTATGCATTGACGAACCACCAAATTTGAAATATTGAGGTTAAGCGTAGAGCTTTAGATAGAAATATTCACTTAACTGATTAGGTCATAAATATCAATCAACCACAGTTCAGCATGATACCATATGTTGACTGGCATAGTAACAGGCTTGAAAAAGCTCGTGGCAGCTGAAATACAGGATGTTGACTAACTGGCTTTTAAACTTAATAATTTCAGTTGATGTTATCCTGCAGGTTGTAATACATGAATCGATCTCAGTTTATGATCAGAGACGTTAAATAAAATGGTTCAAGATCGACTGGAGATTGCATCCCTTCCTTATTTTTATTTAAAGTCTACTTTTTTCCCAGACTTACAATTCTTTGATCTTATTCGTTTATCTCAAACTATATTTCTTATATTTAGGTTTCTATTGTGACAGATGTTGTTTTCTTTCTTCTTCTTCTTTCTTCCATTCTAATAATTTCGCTTCTCAATGTGCTGTCGTGAATTTTGGCAATTGGTTGACACACACATATGCATCCTAAATTCTATGTTGCTCATGAGTGAATTTTAATTTTTTACAGAAGGGGGTTTCGTGGAGATTTTAGTAATTTTATATAGTTGTGATCATCAGTCAATTGAAGCTAGATCACTACGGAAAACCTGGAAGCACTGGACGGCTGTCTCGTCCTATCATGGGACTCCTCAGCAGTGCGCATCCACGATCCCGCCTCACGGGATTCGAACCCAGCTCTGGCGAAATACTAGTAGGTTCTGAGTTCTAATCTCGTGAGGCGGGATCGTAGATGCGCACTGCCAAGGAGGAGTCCCACAATAGAACGAAACGGCCGTCCAGTGCTTCCAGGTTTTCTATGGTGCTCGAGCTTCAACTGACTCATGATCTCAACCATATTTAATTGTTTTACTGGAACTAAGCCCATGATTAAATGCTACTAACAAAATACTTTGTAAAACCATACTCATGTCGATGCATTCCTACTTCACCTTACAAAAGCTTGGAATAAATATTCGTAGATAACTTTGTCATTAAAGAATCTACTTTTAAGCCTATTTATCTTAATTTTACTACTTAGATTATCTTTAAAGAGATTTAAGTGATAAGCATAAGCATTACATAGATGTAACAATTCCAGACTAGATAAATTTGTGCCTGGTAACAGGGAGTTTGGATTAATATGATAGAATCAAGGTCTTGTGCCAGATAAAGCATATCATGTTTGCAGGTAGATAGTTTATTTTTTGTTTTGTTTATCATAATCAAATGATTGACTTTTTCCTTCTTCATTACCAACAGACCCATGATGACTATCTCTTAGTTACATGATAAAATGACCAATAAATGGCTTTACAAGAAGTATACATATTAATATATCTTAAGCTAATGAATTCATAGACTGGATACACCGGATACACACATTTATAGACCACAAAAAGAAAGCTAGAGACTGATAAAATCACTAAAGTAAGAACTAGTTGCTTTGAGATATCTAATGATTAATTGATTTCAATGTTTATAAATTAAAAATCCCTCAATAAATTACCTGGAAAGTACTAAATGCCTGGAAACGAGTCCGACAAAATTTGCATAAATAAGGCCTTAAAACTGTTGGTTGTGGTGATGTGGCTGGACTAATCAATTGTTCTGTATTTATTCCTCGTGTTGATAACTTGCTCTGTTTTGAACTAGAGCATGAATCAGTATTTATCTGTTGTATTTGAGGTTCATGTTGTTGATGTTGTTGTTGTTGGTGGTGGTGGTGGTTCTGTTCTATCGTTGAAAATTGAGGAAATATTGATCCTAACAATTTAAGAGCTGGAAGTAAATTTAAAACTGATGAACTACTATTATTATTACTACTATCATTAACACTGGTACCGGTAATACCAGTTGAATTTGGTTTATTTACAGATGGAGACGTGGAAGTGAAATGTTGACTTGAATTGATTGGTATATTATTGATTACACCTGTAGGAATAGTGGAGATCGATTTTGTCATGATAGGAAATGTGCTTTGTAATGTATTATTATTACTTGATGTATTTATTAATTGATCAGATGATGAAGAAATTAAAGGATTAATACTTATTGGAGAAAATGGTATAGAAGATAAAGAAATAAATTTTTTATACATATTACTATGAATACTACTCATAAAAGTAGTATTGTTAGTACCATTATCGCAGTTATCTGTTATCGTCTTAGCAACAGAATTCAGGGTATTATTTGAATTAGATGGATTAACTGAATGGGATATTGTATCAGGTGAAATAACATTAGTGACATTACTTGACACAGGTTCAGTCATCAATGTATTTAAATTAAATGATGATTGAATACTCATTGAATTAGTTGCTAAGGAAGCATATAGCATAAATAAAAGTTGATTGACGTTAAATGAGAATGGTATGGTTTGTGAATTAGTTGATAATCCATTGGCTTGTGATAACATTTGAGAAAATGCATGAAGTAAATTTTTATCCACATTATTATTATTCTCGATGGGTGTTTGATTATCTAATAAAGATACAAAATCATTACGACTATCTTCTGTATGACATGGGACATTGAGTAATGAATTATTCGGAGGATTAAGAGTTCCATTAGAAGAAGAGCTAGAATCTTTTACCATATCAAATTGTTCTTTTTTCTTCTGTGGAAATAATTGGGATTGACAGTAACTTTGTTGTTGTTGTTGATTATCTCTGAATTCATTTATTGTATTGTACAATTTAAAGGAGTTTAATAATTGGGGATTCGATGGATTCGCTGATAAATCTAATATGTTTGAAGTATTTAATCGAGGTAATGATGATGATGATTCAGGTTGTTTATTACCAAAGAAGTTTGTAGAAGTAGTTAGATAACCTGAAGGAGATAATGTTACTGAAGAATTGTTACTATTATTTGATGAATTCAATGAATCATTGATAAATTCACATGATGAAATTGGTGTAGTGCATTGTCTTTTATTATTCAGTGTTTGGAAATCGTTGTTATTAGTAGTATTAGTATTAGTAGTAGTAGTAGTAGTAGTAGTATTAGTACTTTTAAAACCATTAACGCTCTCATTGTTTTGATACTTTTCTGAATTATGCTTTTCTGTAAGTTTAGAGTTTAAATTAACAGGAATGTACTGCAAACCATTCGCCGTTACTAACGGAGCAGCAAGTATTAGTCCAAATCGATGAGCCATAGATGAAAGTTGTGATAAAGTCCATACCATATCATTGCTACTTAACATATTGTCTACGCTTTCAATATTTTGATTCATCAAAGATGTTTCACCGGAATTTATCATAAAAGGTTCTAATTTGTTTGAATTAGGTGGAAATGTAGAAAGATACTGGGATGTATATAATTGTTGACAGTTTGGACAAAAAAGAACTCTTGGTGCTAGGTGCTCTGAATTATGAGACTTATTATTTTGAATGTTTGATGTATTAAACTGAGTAGTGCTTAGGTGAGTTTCTGATGAATCAATTTTCGTTGTAAAATCAGATAAATGATTGTTTGTCATTTTGTCTGATGTTGATGATGGTTGTTTCATAACTGTCGGAGATAAGGTATGATTAACAGATTGATTGCATAAAGGAATATTCAAATTTGATTCATTCCCTTGTGTGTCAAGATTTATTGGTGGAATAAGACGTGATATCATCGGAAGCATAAAGTAAGCCAAAGGATTTTGAAACATTTGAGAAAGATATGTATTATCACCGACTCCAAATAAATTTAAAAATGTAGGATTAATTAAATTACTCATTTGGATTGAATCAAATAAATTTTCTTCATGTATATTTACTGGATTCGATTCGGAGTTATTTTCTGCTATTGTGTTGTATTTGGCAGTAGATACTGAGGAACTTGAGTTAACAGGGAAATTGGAACCTAATGCATTAGTTCCAAAAGATTGAGATGAAGTTTGTCGTTGATCTAAAAACAAGTTACATGCATATGGTCAATTAACTTATGGCATAACATCGAACATATATGGCGTATTAATTACTTAAGATATACGACTAACAGTTTACCCCCTCTCAATTTATTATTACTAGTAATCATGTTAGACGGTCAAATAACTCAAGGAGCTGTGTACTAAAGGTATTTTATCTAGATCCTTAATAACTATATGTATGCTTAAATCTGACTTTTTTCTTCTGATAAATAAACAGACTTTTTAACATAGCATCAATTTCCAGATAAACAGCACTGATTGTGGTAATTATTACTACCGTTGTCTCGTAACCGCAGACATAGTTTTTGAATGAAGGGTATTGATTTATTACAGCGTTTGAGCTATTCCTAGAGTTATAATTTCTACCTTTTTCTAAAAAGAGAAAAATGTTTTTGGATGAAGGACTGTGACGTTCTAGGTCAGTTCATTTCATTGATTATGGTAGTCACGCGGACCTCAACCAAGTAGTCTGCATCTACCAATATGGCTTAGACTAGAAGTTAGTGACTTCAAACACTGATGCCACGTTTTGGTTTGACCACCCCTAACTTTCTTCCAACCATCTCCAACACTAGTCAGCATATCGCGTCGTGGTAATCGGTGTTCAGGCATACGTAACAACACGTGGTACAACCATCTCAGTCGATGAATATTTGTGATCTCATCAACTGATTTACCATCATTTCCTAATACCCTGTGTCTAACCTCACTATTATTTACCCGATGATCCAAGTGGATGCGAGCAATATTTCTAAGACATCTGTGGTGAAATACTAGTAACTTACAAGTATGTTCTACTCTTAATGGCCATGTTTCATAGTCGTAAACTAGAACAGAGTGAACTGCTGCGCAATATACTTGTCCTTTAATTGATAGACGGATATCTCGTTTTCGCCATAGGTGACGTAAGTTGTCAAAAGCCAAACGAGCTTTTCGAATCCGTGCTGAGATTTCGTCAGTCACCAACCCATTAGGACTGATCAGACTTCCAAGATAAGTGAAGTTGTCCACGCGTTCGACTACTTCACTCTCTATCCTTAGTTCGGGTGTTGACGCAGACCAATCCTGGAGTAACAATTTACATATGGATGGGGAGAAACGCATCTTATTCTTAGTTCAGAAGAAGTAGGATAATTATTATTCAACTTTTATTACAAGTTGTTTTATTTAGTCTGCTTTCAGTATCAGGGTAATCAGTACAATGATTAAGTTTCGATGGAAACATAAACACCAAGAATTGTGTACAAACAATTGGTATGCTTCGTCTCAGATTATACTTTTACAAGCTAAAATTTTCTCTTAAAATTCATGGTATGATTAGTTTAATAAATCAATGTGTTTAGTTTTCAGAGGGAGTTTTCTGGAGATTTCAGTATTTTTCAAAGTTGAAATCTTGAGTCAATTAAAGCTAGACAACCATGGAAAACCTGGAAGGCCATTTCGTCCTATTATGGGACTCCTCAGCAGTGCGCATCCACGATCCCGCCTTGCGAGATTCGAACCCATGACCTACCGGTCTCGCGCCAGAACACTTAACTGATAGACCACTGTTCAGTTTTCATAAGAGAAACTTTCTCCTTTTTTACTGAAATTAAAATCATTTCTAACACGGTTAAAAAGGTTTTTTCCAACCGGAGTTTTATCATTAGAAATAATCATCAAACTAAAGAACAACAGACTAAATGAATGTCTGAAAATGTTATTCTGTTTGCCTATAGTTACTGATGTAAATAGTTTTCGCTGTTCATTTTAATCTAAAACTACGCCAAAAGTTCTAACCATTTCTCTTTTTTTTCCACTCATTTACTGAGCCCCTTAAAATTTTATACAAAACTTTGTTTTGTGTGTAGTAAACTAGCATGATATCTATCTATTTATCTATCTATCTATCTATCTATCTATCTATCTATCTATCCATTATGATCACTCGTCAATTAGGTCTCTCACACTAGCCATGGTCTTGTTGGCTTTCGTCTTATCTCCTGCTATCGGCCTCTGATTGTATACATAGATATTTAACTATACACATGTTCTATTGTGCATACTGACATATATATAGATACATATCAATATTCACACACACGCACATTCATCTTCATAGCCCAAAAAAATCGCTATCTGATAGTGATTTATCTAAACAAACAATCTGAAAAACGTGAATAAAAGATAAGATAAGACAGTAGAACAAGAGATAAGTAGAACTGATAAGTGTTAAAAAAAATGAGGCCATGAGAAGATAAGTATAAAAGATAAGCAACCGAATAGAAAGAGAATCAAGGCGAATCTACACGGAATTAAGAATTAACACAACAGAAATGATTATTATTATTATTATTGGGTTGGCAGGAGACAGAGAAACTAAGATAGAAAGACAGAGAAAAATATTTTTTTTAAAAAACAGGGTGGTGTCAGTAATAAAAGATAATGAGATCTGAATATTGTACTAAGTCAATGTAGCTTTTGTACATGTTAGTACTATAGTATTGTTATGAACATACATATAAGTCATAGCAAATGCCTCTCATTATTATCATTACTGATTTTTAAATGAAATATCCTTTGTTGTAGATAGCAAGAAGACGTTAAAATAGATCTATCAAGATGAAGTTGATAAGTCTTTCTATTTGTTAACTTAACATTGTATACAAATGTATATACATATATGAACGAACTAGCCTTAATGCACCATATGTGTCTACGCCTTATACAAATAGATTCAAGCAACTAGTATATGAGGAAAGTGAATAAATGTAGAATTTGAATTCTGAGTGTTGAAGTGAATGGAACAATTTTTAATGATTTACAAAAACAGTACAACCCATAGGGAATGAATAATAACTAACATTTCACTTTGACATTCAAATAAACTTGTGTTAAGTTAAACCTATAGTTGAACATTTGGTCTCAGGCACTGTCAAAAAAACTGTTACAATAAAGTAGGATTATTGAAAGCCTTGCTGAAGAATCCCACAATAAGACGAAACGGCTGTCAAGCAGTGCTTCCAGGTCTTCCATAGTGGTCTAGCTTCAATTGACTCATGATTTCAACTATATATTAAAAAAGCCTTTTCATTAAAGATTTATTTACAAGTGTTGGCTTTTATAATCATAACCTCCATTACATAATCTAAATATCTTTATGATATTTGATATTTAACGTCAACCAACATCAAGATCAGAATTTTCAATACAAATGTCAACACAATTCTACTATATGGGGCGGAAACCAGAGAACTACGAAAGCCATCAAACAGAAGATACAAGTGTTTATTAACAGTTGTCTACGCAAAATACTTCAGATCCGTTGGCCAGACACTTCTAGCAACAACCTACTGTGGGAGAGAACAAATAAGACTCCATCGGGTGGAGGAAAAAATCAGGAAGACGCGCTGGAAGTGGATAGGACACACTTTGAGGAAAGCACCCAACTGCGTCATTAGCTCTCACGTGGGATCCTGAAGGCCAAAGGGGAAGAGGGAAGATTAAAGAACGTATTACGCCGCGAAATGGAGACAGACATGAGAATGTACAAAAATTGGGTAGAACTATAAAGGAAGGCCCAGGACAGAGTCGGTTGGAAAATGCTGGCCGGTGGCCTATCCTCCATTGGGAGTAACAGGTGTAAGTAAGTAATTATTTTATATATAATAAATTAGGTACTTAGATGAATCAAATAGCCAAAGATAATCAAATTTATTTTTCAGGGTTTATCATTATAAACTTGATTGACCATAAATTTTACATACATCATATTGCTATTGTACTCCAACGGCCTTGTTTGTCCCCTTTTTTATTAACTATACATACGTTTAGAGGTTAGCTTAAATCCTTAAAATAGAATCAACACCGTAGCGTCACTTAATAACTATGTGACCTACTAGTAAGGTTTTACTTGAACCTAACCAGTAGTTTTACGTGATCAGAGAAAATGTAATAATTATTTAGAAATTGAACTGGAAGTATATATGACATCATTATGTAGAAAGTTGAAAGATAAGAGTTAGTGTAGTATGACTTCGCCTAACTAATCAGTAATTTATTATACATTATCTATATAACACGAAGTTTGTGTGAGAGTTAACGTAGACTTAGCTTTTCTAGATTAAAACAATTACTTACTGTTGAACTTGTTATTTGTACTTTTATTTGTTGAATTGTCAGAGTGTGTTACAGATACAGACACTGATGGCTGAACACCAGCTGAAGTCGATGAAATTAGTCCTGGTCTTCGAGAGCAATAATGTGTCATATGTGCGTTCAAAGTATCCAGATTGGAAAATGATATTCCACAATGTGTACACTTTTTATCCCGCCTAGGTCCAGTAGAAGGTAAATTATTTGAAGATGATGTTAAGATAGAAGTTGATGTCGATGACTTTGTGCTGTTATGCAACGTTGAACTATGACCACTCGACATTGATGTTTGTTCTGCTTTCTGACTGTCTAATTAAGAAAAATGAAAAAAAATCATGAATTCACAAATGTTTTAACTTCAATAAGGTCAAATCCATCTAGTGGTACAAAGTTTCGGACGAATGACTTAAAAATACAACTCCAAGATTACTCATATTCAGAGTAGATATTAAAATCTAGCTTCTTTTAAACAACCAGTTGGTAATTAAAATGTGAGAAATTGGGATTTTGTATATCAAATCGATGCGGCGTTTTAAATGTGTACGGGTAGTTTTCGGACACTTTCATTGAGACTAACACTATACGCACCTGCCTACGTTTTCATACAACTAAAATATATTAACCCGGTTGATATAAAGAGAAGTACTGAACAGAGTAGTCATTTGGTATACTCTATTTGATTGTATTTAACAGAACCGACGAACAGTCATTTGTCTGATGATTAATAGCACGGAGTCAAGTGGTCAATCACAAGGTAGAACTTCGTACGTACGTACATCAGTTCGAGTTGCCATATCACATTAGCATAGAGATGCAGTTATCGCTTCAATTGACTCACGCTTACAACTAAGTTAATGAGTTTAACATTTATAAACATGGAACTATGTTTTTAGAATAGTTACAATGATCTTATTACGCAATACTGAACTGGTGTGAATAAACACAACACATAACGATATATGCATAGTGATTATGCAATCATAGATCTCTTGAACAATACAAATACCGATCAATAACAAATCACTCAATGATTACATGATTTTGAGATGGTAAAGAAGATTTGTAGCTCAGGTGGATGATTTTAACCAAACCATCCAGCTCAGAGAACAAACTTACATCAAGATTGCATGATTATCTATCTATGTAGTAAGTTATCTCACACTAAATAATTAAGAAATCAATCCCATTACCTACTAACCATCACCCTTATGGGTTTATCTACATTGAAAAAACAAAACAAAAAATCAATTTATAGGGTTTGGAAAGTTAGATAATTCTTATCTTTAAGAGAAAGATAAAGAGAGAGAGAGGGGGGGGAAGAAATAAGAAAAAAACTTTTTTTTAAAAAAATGACATAATCCAATAATTTATCTATTCAATCTGTCGTTCGTTTACTAAAGAGAAAAGATACTTTAGAAGATAGTATAAGTGTTTATTATCACACAAGAGTTTTCTTTCCATTACTGAAAATTCATCATGATATATATATACCTATATCTGCCTATTCATTAGCTTCTACTATTCATCATCGTTAATAAGACTACTACTATTCTACAACATATCAGTAGTATGATTTGTATGTATATATATTTATAATTTAATCAATCTAATATAGCATTGATTTAGAAGTAAGATATTGTTTTCTCAATAATAATAATAATAATAATAATATTGTAGGGTATGATAAAATGTATATAATCATTAACTATTTAGATAAGCTTACCTGATACAATACGTACCACACCTATCAGGAAGTCTTGTGGATTAATATCTGATCTAGTTTGTAATGTAATTGTTTTCAAAATAGCTGTCAATGAAAAACGAATGAAAAAAATAATAACGGTAAAACAAACAAACAAAGAAATTGTCCAATAAAAATGTAAACAATGTTAGAAATTGAGTATGTAATATAATTCATTATCATATTCATTTATCATTGTCATAATTATTCTTATTCATAAGCTGTCAATATCAAAGTTATACATAATCTTATCGTCATCATCATCATCATCATGAATGTCGTCGCCGTGATTATCATTTCTTTTTTTTGTTTGGAAGAATGACATATAGCGTACAGAAGAATCAGATCATGACAAGTATACATTCACTAACTTGTTTTTCTTCAAACTTCACTGATGTTTATTTTGTTTAAAAACAGATGATAAACTGTGATTAAACGATTGAAACAACAGAGTAAACATGATAGAGGAAGTTCAAATAATAAAGAGATAAACAATAACTGTTTGAATAATACAACATGATTTGAATCAGTAAAAACGAGTTATAATAATGAAAAGTATAAACATGCTGTTCGAAAATTCTTAATTCATGATCGAATAATTAACTATGAATGATACAAATTATTTGCAATAAGGATAAGAGTTAGTTGCGTGGACAGGACAACACTATGGAGGCTTCTTCGACACTGAGGCATGCCTAAGAAGAAGGTCAATAACATACGGAATTCCTATGATGGATTAAACTGCAAAATCGTGCATGGAGGACTGTTGACAGACTCGTTCGAAGTAAAGACCGGTGTCAGGCAAGGTTGCTTCCTCTCACCCTTTCACTTTCTTTCGGTGATTGACTGGATTATGCAGACGTCAACAACTGGGGGAGGGAAGCACGGGAAGATTTAGAGTTCGCAGATGATCTGGCTCTTCTATCGTAAACACAACAACAAATGCTGGAAAAGACGACCGGTGTAGCAGCAGCCTCAGCAACAGTAGGTCTCAACGTACACGAAGGGAAAAGCAAGATTCTCCAATATAACACAGCATGCATCATTTGAATCACACTTGCAGTAGAAGTTTTGCAGGATGTGAAAATCTTTATATATCTGTGCAGCATCAGTGATGGACACGGTGGATATGATGCAGATATGAAGGCTCGAATCGTCGAAGCGAGAGCAGCATGTCTACGATTGAAGAACATCTGGAACTCAAAACAACTGTCAACCAAGATCAGAATTTCCAATACAAATATCAGACAGTTCTACTGTATGGGGCGGAGACGTGGAGAACTACCAAAGCCATCATCCAGAAGATACAGCTGCTTATTAACAATTGTCTACGCCAGATACTTCAGATCTGTTGGCCAGACACTATCAGCAACAACCTACTGTGGGAGAGAACAAATCAGATTCCATCCGGCGGATGAAGAAATCAGGAAGAAGCACAGGAAGTGGATAAGACACATTGAGGAAAGCGCTCGACTGCGTTACAAGGCTAACCCTTACATGGAATCCTGAAGGCCAAACGAGAAAAGGAAGACCTAAGAACACACTACGCCGCAAAATGGAGACAGATATGAGAAGAATGAACAACAGTTGGACAGATCTAGAAAGGAATGCCCAGGACAGAGTGAGTGGGTTGTAGAATGCTGGTTGGCGGCCTATGCCGGATTGTGGTTAAGAGCTAATTAGTGGAAATTTTCACAGAAAGTACTCTCCTTTTACATTCCCTTAGAGGAACATTTTAAGGTTAAGTCTTAACATTAGTTTGTCTTTATATGCATGTGCACATTTACTAGAAAATGAAGGGGACTGAAATCAATTATTAAGCTTTTTTGAAGATTAATACTATGATCTGTTTAATTGACATGTTTCAGTATCGAGAAAAAATTTTGATTACTCTCTGGGTTTATTTCACTACATAATGCTATTTATTATGAACCCCGCAACTTCATTGTTCCATTAGTCTTCTATGCATTATCATATGTTAATGTGATTTGATAAACTCTCTGGTAGGTAATGCAATCATTTTAAAAGACTAATATTTGAACGAAGAATATTCTTTTCGATAAATTCATCGTGTTTTGGGGAACTACGTTTATAGTTTTCTACGCGCCCAATGGTGATACAAAGGTTAAAAGATGAATTACCTAAAATGACCACCTCATTTTGTATTTATCAGTTCGACTGTTCCTGTGGAGTAAGTTATGCTGGTCGAAGTTCTAGGAATTTACATTTTCGTGCTCATGAACACCTCCTAGCGTGGCTAAGTAAAGGTTTGGTGAACAGCTTGATATTGGCCCATTTAGTACAAAGTGGTCATATTGCCAGTATAAACCAATCCTTTTCAATTATTAATAAGGTCAGTAATTTTTTGCCAAAGCTTGTCAGGCTTAAAGTCCTTCAAACAGCTGAGGCAGTAGCCATCGGGATGAAGAAACCTGAGCTATGAGTACAAAAGAAATATCTCCAACCTCTGATCCTCCCCTGGTCAACCATAAGGCCAATTAGTTAATAGTAACCTTAGCTGTTGGATGACCTAATTTGACTATTGTGCTTATGACCTTTCGTAGTCAAATCTTTCTATTATTATTATTATCGGTTAAATATCATTAATAATTTCCCCAATACATGATTCATTCACTTCGCATTCATCCCTCCTTATTACGTCTTATTAAATTTTCACACAATTTAGTCTTCCAATTGATCGACTTGTAATTGCACTATCATATCTCTCTCATCCTATCTGATCCATATTTATTCTGATCATGGATCTTAAATTTTCACTTAACATATATGCATATCTAAGTTAACTTTCTATATGAGTCATATCAACATTAACAATTTTATTCTATCTGGCTTGACAATCCTAAATTTACATGCATTAAACGATGTACTTTGCCCTTAACCTGGCCACTTTTCGGGTTATTAATTTGGATATATAATTGTAGAACCTGAAGAGAGAATTTATCGAAAAAAATATTCTTCATTCAAATATTAGTCTTTTAATAATAATAATAATAATCAAAACCAAGTGAATTTAAACTTCACCCCATTGCATAAGCAAGTGGCTATTAGGACACAGTAGCTACGTGGATAACGCAATAGCGTTTGAAGTGAAAGGTACTGGGTTCCAGTTCCAGAGTGAACATCAACTATGAGATGCAGGTGCATCCAGCTGACGAGTCCCAAATAGGGCGAAACGCACGTCCTGGATTTTACTGCTAGCCACCATTTATTTTTACTTATAATGTTTGTGAATTAAGGCAATATCGAGGCAATCCGCACAGTATGCCCATACGCCAATAAGAGACTGATCAATTGCAATCCTAAACATCAATGGGAAGATTCAAACAAACAATACCAAGTGAATAATAATCATTTGTTTAATGTTAAGCTCTATGTAGAATCATATGATCATATTACTTGTTTAATAATCAACTAAACAACACAATAAAATTTTTTGACGACCACTTTCAACCTACAACTAAAAAGGAACTATTTAGTTTAAATATACTGCATAAAATGTTACTTCTCATACTTACGATCAACTAAAATATCTAAATTATGTTCATTCTTATCAGAACGAAGACCAGTCTCGTGTATAACTCTTATCCATGTATGTTCTTCTCCAACAGTTAAACTATTTGCATTTTCATGAGTGGAATCTTTGTTCTAAAATTAAAATGAAAACATTTAAAACTAAATCTTATTAGTGTAATTAGAAAAACAAAATCTGACAGAAACATTTAAACCACAATTTGAAATGTAGTAAACACACATATATTATCAGAAGGGGTTTTTTGTGTGGAGATTTTAGTAATTTTATATAGTTGAGATCATGAGTTAATTTAAGCTAGACCACCATGGGAAACCTGGAAGCACTACATGACGGCCGTTTCTTCCTATTATGGGACTCCTTAGTAGTGCGCATCCACTATCCCGCCTCGTGAGATGAGAACCCAGGACCTACCGTCTCGCGCCAGAGCACTTAACCGACAGACCACATATATATTATGCATTCTTTGAATAAAAAAATGTAAAGTTATATGCATTTCGACAGATTAGATAAGATAATATATATGAATGCATAACTGGTTTAAAAATAGATGCATCTAATTATGTTTGGTTTATTAAGCGAAATTATATTTTATTTGTAACGAAGGTTTGAACCCTTCCCTTGCTATTATTATTATTATTATTATTATTATTATTATTGATGGCTTCATTCAATATTATATTTGTGGTACAACATAGAACTCTCAGTATAAAGTATTTCAATAAGTTCTCTTCTCTTGTTTCTTCATTGATCATGACGATAAATATTGAGTGATCGCCAATTAGATATTAGCAGTTCAGAAACCAACACCTGGATAATGTTCATTCATTTCAATGCATATTGTCAGCCATTACGATGTTTTTGATTGTACTTTTTTATAACTTGTTCAGAGAAAGGTCGTAAGCTTTCATAGTTTATGCGGTTAATACATATAACGATGTGTCAAAACAAAAAAAACTGGATAACTTCTTGAACTATCTAAATGGCAAGAACAGGTAGCCCAGATATTCAAGCAGGTCGCCAGTGGATAACATTTTATGCTCTTGAAGTGGAAAGCAATGCTCTTTAACTCCTATATGAAAATAAACAGGGGGTGCAGGCACATCCAAACCATAGGCCCTTAATAAAATGAATTCCGCTGTTAGCAAATATCCAGCTCTCTTGAAATTCTAATTTACTGATGGTCAAATTGCTCTGTCCGTTCTCGGAACACATATATACTAGCCAACTGATCCAGTTGTCTAATACTTCTTTAGTATGGGTGAAAAACTGTCAGAATTCTCCATAGGGAGTTCATGAATCACACTTTTCGGCATTCTTTCGACTTCAGATAGATTTTTGTGATTTAAGAATATCATTAATTTTCAGTAAAACAGATGCACATCCACGGTCGCGTCTCAGGAGATTCGAACTCAGGACCTACCAGTCTCACAAAACATTTATGAATAAAGCTCATTAGTAAAGCATATTTTACGGAAATACTATGTTTTGTTATATGCCATAGTTGTTACAAATATTGATCAGTAATTATGAAAATTACGTAACATTCTAGAATGTTCCCCTAGTGGTATTTAGATGGAATGTCTTCGGCTCATCTGGGCTTCTTGAGGCTTCCTTGAGTTTGCCAATGAGCCATCCTTACAATAAATTTTACATATCATCACTTATTCATACCAGATCTAAATAAAAAAACCAAGAAAACAATTCTAGACCAACTCGCACTTTTACATGTTGTCAGTATAAATTACCCAAGTTGCTTTTACTGATGATCAATTGTATAGTTAATTCATTAATAAGAAAACTCTGTTTACGCATGATCATACAGTAACTGTTTCAGTCAGTCAGTCAGCTACAACGTAAGACCAGGCACATTTATGCATGGGTCCAAGTTGCCATATCTCGTTAGCACAACAAGATGAACACCGAATTCATAGAAGTAGTTAATTTAGTGGTGGTTGTTTATAGGATGTTTATAAGGATAAAGTATAGGAAGGAAGAACGTTATGAAGCAATTTTAATCTCAAGGTTTAAGGGAAGACAGAAAGTGTATACACCTACACCATTGTGATCGATTCTCAGCCATGTCACACACAGTCTCCAAACATTGGTTACGATAGTCACGCGGATCCCCAACCAAGTAGTCTGCATCTACCAATATGGCTTAGACTAGAAGTTAGTGACTTCAAACACTGATGCCACGTTTTGGTTTGACCACCCCTAACTTTCTTCCAACCATCTCCAACACTAGTCAGCATATCGCGTCGTGGTAATCGGTGTTCAGGCATACGTAACAACACGTGGTACAACCATCTCAGTCGATGAATATTTGTGATCTCATCAACTGATTTACCATCATTTCCTAATATCCTGTGTCCAACCTCACTATTACTTACCCAGTGATCTCAGCAGATGCGAGCAATATTTCTAAGACATCTGTGGTTAAATACAAGTAACCTACGAGTATGTTCTACTCTTAATGGCCATGTTTCATAGTCGTAAAGTAGAACAGAACGAACTGCTGTACAGTATACTCGTCCCTTAATTGATAGACGGATATCTCGTCTTCGCCATAGATTACGTAAGTTGTCAAAAGCCAAACGAGCTTTTTGAATCCGTGCTGTAACTGTTTATTCTCAAGATAACTATAAGTCAGATGAATAGACTAACAGTAAACCATTAAATGTTCATTCAGTTACTAATCAGTATATTTACCCTTAAAACAGTATTAGTGGTAAGTTTCACAAATGAGTTTGAAAAAATGATGAATATGAATAAGTATTCAATTTTACCTTTACAGTTAATGTAACTAAGAAATCAGGATCAATTTCTGTTGAATAAGCTATAAGCTTTTGTCTAAGTTCTGAACCAATATGAATAAGATATGGTCCCCATGTATGACCAATTGAAAAATGTCCAATAGCACATACTGTTAAACACTTGGATTCATTCATAATAGATATTAATCCTGGTGGTATATAAGATAATGTATTCATTTTGCAAGTAGTATTTGTAAGGTTATTATTATTATTATTATTATTATTACTATTATTATTATTACTAGTAGAATTACTAATTGGAATCAGATTAGTTGAATCAATTGAATATGATGTAATCAATTCTAAATCATTTCTTTTCATTGTTATTTCATCATTATTTATAATGGATTGATTATGTAATATAGATCCTGTATCCCATGGAGTTGTACCTGTAATGAAATCAATAATATAAATATATCATTATCATTATTATCTTTGTACATCCTTAATCTATTAATTTAATGTAATCAGATAAAACCTAGGCAATCAATAACATAGCTATGGGTTTTCTTTATTTATGATTACCAGTAATAACTTAATAAATATAAAAGGATTTTATCATAGTTTAAATCATGAGTCAATTGAAGCTAGACCACCATGGAAAACCTGGGAGCACTGAAGGGCCATTTCGTTCTATTATGGGACTCCTCAGAAGTGCTATCCAGTTTATTTATTTATTTAAACAAATAAATATTGGTACAAGGAAGCTCCAGATACATATGCGCCATACAAATCTCATTCGATTTGTGTGAGGGCTGTGATACTGACCAGGTGGTTTTCATAGAGGGCCACACCCCGAGCCTTTGACCGAAAGATCTGACCCACAAGGCAGTCGAACATCGTGAAGAGATGCAGTCCCATGGTAGCCGGTCACCAACAATTGGTTCATACGCCATTTGTTCCCTCAGGATACTGGAGCCCATGTGCACCATGGGTTTAGAATTAGAGTTTTCCAACTCCCCTAGGTGGACTCGCCTTGTCCACCAACACAGTTAAGGCGCCGAGCATTCGCTTTTCGTCCTCTCAATTTCGTAAACAACACTGATGTCACGAGAAGGCAGTGAGTGGGACTTCCCTGGCAGAGGCTATATATTCGCGTGGCCATGTGAGAGCATTTCGAGAGGTAGAGTGGACTCTTCCCACTCTCGGCCGTACCAGAGCGTTTGGGGGCCAGTGCTCCCAGGTTTTTCATGGTGGTCTAGCTTCAATTGACTCATAATTTCAACTATGGAAATATTGAAATATCCACAAAAACCCTTTCTGATCTATAAAAGGATTTGATGTAAATATTATAGGATATGATTCACTATCCCATTAGTTTTGTTTTAGTAGTAATTTTATACAGTTGAAATCATGAGTCAATTGAAGCTAGACCACTATGGAAAACCTGGAACCACTGCTTGACGGTTGTTTCGTCTTAGTGTGGGACTCCTCCGTGGCAATTCGCATCCACGATCCCACCAGGCCTGTTGTGCAATATCAACTCACTGAAGACATTGGTGAATGGTTACTCAACTTCGTGGATTGGTTGAAGTCAGACATTAACACTATTGGATGCCGGCCGGCTCAGTTGTTTAGTAGTTAAGCGATTGCGCACGAGACCAGTTATAATGATAACTATTCTATTTTTTACAATTACATTTAAATTATACAAAAAATTTTTATTTTAAGGTTAACGCCAAATGTTTTTATCTTTTAAAAAAATCTATTTCATATTGTCCATCGTTTGTTACCTAGTCAATTTTTGTTGTTTTGTGTTATTGTGTGTGTGTATTTTTTTTCTTTTCGCTGTCTCATGTATCCCAATTTTAAAACTTTAGTCGATGTTATTAATTAATGGGATTGTTTTTAAAGAAAACGGTAAAAAAATTTCTCCATCATCTCACAATTCATTTAAAACATGAATTAGTATTTTTTTCAGTTTTTATCTTTAGGTCAATCTATAAAGGTCAAATGGTTACCGATTTATAAATCTCCCTTCATAACTCTCCCTCTCTCTCTATATATATATAAATTAGATACTACACTATACAGGCAAACACATCAAACAAATAAGAGTGAATGATCAAAATGTTTAAAAAAAGAGAGAAAGAAAACAATTAGGGTTAATCTATTATCAAGATTTTGATAAAAGCCAGGGGAGTTTTAATTTTCTATCCAATATGCCCGAAATTATTTTACTGATAATAATGATAATAATAAGAGAACCATTGTATTTACTTACTGGAATATAAAATCTAATATGTACGCATTTATGTTATATGTACTAGTGATAGTAAACCTATTAGATAACTGATGAAAATCAGCTGGAATCCTTAAAACTATATTTCATGTTAGCTAACATGTCAACTAACTTCAAAGTGAGAATCTTCAATATGGAGATGAAACGTGGAGAACTACTACATCCAACGTCATGAAGGTACAAGTATTTATAAACAGTTGTTTACGCAAAATACTGAACATTCACTGATCGAATACTATCAGCAACAACATTTTATGGGAGAGGACAAAAGAGGAAATTAGGAAAAGACGCTGGAATTGGATCGGATATACATTAAGGAAATCACCAATGTACATCAGGACTCAATCCCTAACTTGGAATCCGGAAGGGAAGCGGAAAAGAGGAAAGCTAAAGAACACACTACGCCGGGAAATAAAAGGAGATATGAAAATGATGAATGTTAACTGGAAAGAACTACAAAGGATTGCTTAGGATAAGGTTGGATGGAGAATGGTAGTGTGCGGCCCACGCTCCTCCACGAGGGGTAACAGACGTAAGTAAGCAAGCGACATTTCTCAGTTTGTTATAGCTAGAATTCCCAGAGAAAATATATTCACTACACGATCTGAATAGGTGTTAGTAAGTATCATGGTCTGATATGTTCAGATTGTAGTTGAAATGCTTAGACAATTTATTGTAGAGTCACATTAAGGACTGAAGTTAGCCTGATTAATAAATTACGATTGCATACTAGTGACTAATGAAGTGTCGTATATCATTTTTATAAGCACTAAAAATGATAGCTGGAATCATTTTATATCATCATGATAAAATGTCCCTGCTACTTAGTGACTCATTACAGATGATCACATCTTACTTTTGGATATATCTTTTTGTATCAGGATATTGGATGGTTGTCTAGACCGAAAAAGGCGAAACAACCTATTGCTTCAACGCCAAATATTTCTACCATTAAGGTACTAACTAAAAACTGCTACACCGAAACTTCAAATGAGTCAATAAATTTAGGCAAGATAAAAAAACACACATTTGGGATTAATTTGAGAGAATTATTCGCCAGTTTACACCACGTACACATATAAATGATGTGTTCAGTAGGTTTAAACCAAGAGTATTATGATGATGAATATCGGTGTTAATTAATATAAATCATTTATTAATAGCTAACATCACGGGATATTGTGGGCTAAGACAGTCAGCTACAACGTAGAACCAGGCACATTTATGCATCAGTCTAAGTTGCTATACCTCATCAGCACAACAAGATGAACACCAAATTCATAGAAGTAGTTAATTTAGTGGTGGTAATATATAAACGAAAGTTTGTATATAAGGATATAGTATAGGAAGGAAGAACGTTATGAAGCAATTTTAATCTCAAGGTTTAAGGGAAGACAGAAAGTGTATACACCTACACCATTGTGATCGATTCTCAGCCATGTCACACACAGTCTCCAAACATTGGTTACGATAGTCAAACGGACCCCAAACATGTAGTCTGCATCTACCAATATGGCTTAGACTAGAAGTTAGTGACTTCAAACACTGATGCCACGTTTTGGTTTGACCACCCCTAACTTTCTTCCAACCATCTCCAACACTAGTCAGCATATCGCGTCGTGGTAATCGGTGTTCAGGCATACGTAACAACACGTGGTACAACCATCTCAGTCGATGAATATTTGTGATCTCATCAACTGATTTACCATCATTTCCTAATATCCTGTGTCCAACCTCACTATTACTTACCCAGTGATCTCAGCAGATGCGAGCAATATTTCTAAGACATCTGTGGTTAAATACAAGTAACCTACGAGTATGTTCTACTCTTAATGGCCATGTTTCATAGTCGTAAACTAGAACAGAGTGAACTGCTGCGCAATATACTTGTCCTTTAATTGATAGACGGATATCTCGTTTTCGCCATAGGTGACGTAAGTTGTCAAAAGCCAAACGAGCTTTTCGAATCCGTGCTGAGATTTCGTCAGTCACCAACCCATTAGGACTGATCAGACTTCCAAGATAAGTGAAGTTGTCGATGCGTTCGACTACTTCACTCCCTATCCTTAGTTCGGGTGTTGACGCAGGCCAGTCCTGGAGTAACAATTTACATTTGGATGGGGAGAAACGCATCCCAAACATCCTGGTATTATTACTCAGTTCTAACAGAAGACTCTGCATTTTGTCAGCGTCTTCACCAAACAGGACTATATCATCTGCGTATTCTAAGTCGATAAGTGAACCTCCTGGTAGGAGATCAATTCCTGAAAATTCAGTCGAAGAGAGTGTTATTTCTAGCAACAGGTCTGTAATGAAGTTAAACAAAAATGGGGATAGTGGACAGCCTTGACGGACACCACTTGAGGTTGTAAAATCATATGACAGTTTGCCATAAGCTCTCACTCGACTGGTAGAGTTCGAGTAAGGAGCCTTCACAAGGTTTATGTATTTCTCAGGTAAACCTTTCAATGACAGACACTGGCACAGAACCTCTCGGTCTACAGCATTTGACTCTGTAGACCGAGAGGTTTACATCATGGGCTAAACAATTACTGAAAACCATGGATACTGAATAGCTGCTCCATCCTATTCTGGGACTTAGCAGTGCACATCAAAGTTACCTTCACCAGGGATCGAATCTAAGACCTTCGGTTTCACGTGAAGACTTAACCTCTAAACCATGGAACCAACACTCAATGAATAAGGAAATCAAATTTTATGAAGTTTCGTGACTCAGTATAAGCCATTTCTACAGAGAATAAATGACCGAATCAAAATTAATCCAAGTCTATTTGTAACAATCTACCCAACACTCAATTTATTTGAAATTATCAAGTTAAACCTTGATAATGATACCTACAACACTTAATGGTTTATATATTTAATTTCAATCAATTACTATTATTGCACGACCATCTTCTAATGTACTAAATGGATAAATACTTCACAGTATCCCATACTTGGACGAAACCGCCGTATAGTGCTTCATGGTTGTCAGTAGTTGTTTAACTACGATCATTACGTGATGTTAATTGTGGATTTGAAGAGATCCCAGTAAGCCCCTACAGTCGTTAATTTTTAGTTTGATGGCATTATGTAGACAAACCGATCAGGTTTAAGATAGGGCCCTCTTGAGTTTTTGCCGGA